TTCCGGACGCTAACATGGTTGATGTAACCCGCATGAGCTATTACTGTACCTGAAGAGGATAGCTCTCGAAAACATCTTGCGGCTTGAGCAGCTGGGCCGCATCTCGCGCCACAACCACTATCAGGATGTGCTCAATGCCATCGCCGTCGACATCCGAACCAAGAGCCGGCGTAGGGTGCAGCGACAGCGGGAACTTGAGGGCGTCCGTTTGATGATTGGCAACCTGCACGACAAGGCCAAGTATCTTGAGCAGCAGCGGAGAAGCTACGACGACTACATTGAGCAGGCGATGGCCACGCTCCAAAACAAAAAAGGGTAAGCGATCCACACAGAGACATCTTTTCCACAAAAACATCAACTAACCTCTTGCCCCTCCAGCAAAAAACGTTTCCTCCTCCCCTTCACAAAACAGTACAACCACCAACGCGAGCTCGAGCGCTCGGGCCGGGTGCCCAAGTTCGGCTCGTACAAGTACAGCGTGCGGGCGCTGTCGGACAAAGGCGTGGTCGTCTCGTGGCAGGGCATCCCCGAGCGCGATTGGGGCCAGATCAACCTAACCATCTCGTGCGACGAGGTCGGCGTGTTCACCATCGAGGGCAGCCGCGGGCACATCCAGATGCCCGGCGCCAGCGCGCTCGTGCCCATCGAGGACCTGCTGCAGGCCCAGTTCGAAGCCCACCAGTTTATGAACCTGTTCGAGGGCGGTCTGAAACTCAACGTCAATCTGCTGTTGCACTTGCTGTACAAGAAGTTCTATCGGACGCAGTAAGTGGGTCGAAAGTTTGGAGGTTATCAACTTGGTGGGGAAACTGTTCGTCAGGGCTAGATAGGTTTTTTCTTTTTTCTTCTCTTTTGGGGTTTCTTCTCTTGTGGATGGCTAGTCTGTCTGCTGGGGTGGCGGATCTCTTGTTTTATTCCCGGCTTGTTTTGTCACAGATCAAGAAGATAAGCACCAGAGAGCGAGGCGCGAGGATATGACGAGGGCTTGGGTCTGTTTTTGTTGTGCGAAGTCGGCGGTCTGCGAGCGGGTGGACAGGCGGCTGGGGATGAGAGATGATGGGTGGATGATGGACGACAGGTGGTGGCTGGGAAGGGGGAACTGGGTTTGGAGATATGGATGGATGGATGGATTGGGTGGGTGGATGGGTGGGTGGACTGTTTGTGTGTTTGGGACGGAGGAAAGACGAGGTGCGCCGGATATTCACAGTGTTATTTAGCCTTGGGAATGAGTGAAATGATACCTTTAGTTTCTATTCGTAATAATTGCGTTGGCAGATCAAGGTCTCGTGCATGTTTCCACACCATATGTTGCTGTATACTAACCCCTTTTCCTCGGTCCTGCTTCGTCGGTCTAGTGGTTTCGGGTCCCTAAACAATACATTTAGGACTTGGACCAAACGGAGCGAGCACGGGCTGTACTGGCCAGGGTCCCCTTCAAGCGTCATGGTCTCGCCTCGAGTATAAGAGCTACAGTTATGAAAAGTATGAGAATGGATGGGCGGTTCCCGTATAGGGTAGGTGTCCCTTCTATACCCTATTATACATAGAGACGACTGTAAACAAAAAGTACTTGGATATGACCCTCGCTCTCAACTAAAAAGCATAGACACGCCGACACACTCTTGCTTTTATCATTTTATTGCTATCCCCCAAAACGCAAATGGCCTATATACAAGTATGTTTTCCCAAACCCAACGCCTATCAAGAACCTTGACGCCGTCTATGCAAAGATGCACGCAAAATTACCGCCCCATCAACACATTTCCACTCTCATACCACGCATTAAATGCCAGGACAATCATGCCTCATACCCCGTCATTTCCCACATTCACATCCACACCCCAACCCGCCTCACCTCGACACGCCATTAACAGTCCCGTACCCCCTCGCTCTCCCCCTCTTCTTAACAACCTCCTCCCCTTCCGAGTCCGACACCGCAATATCCCCATTCTCATCATCCTCACCCCCCTCACTCTCACAAACCACCCTCCTCCCCCTCAACAAACTCTCCCTCTCCCTCTCACCCCCCTCCTCGTCATCCTCCTCCTCCTCTTCCCCTTCAGAACCAGCCCCCAAGCTGCTCGTCGGCCCATCGCCCTCGACAATAAACCACGGCGGCACGGCCCCCACCATCGCAATCAACGCCAGCATCCACCACGGCGCAATGGCATAGCCCTCCTTCACGCCCCAGCTGAAGACGGCGCCAGCGGCGGCGGGGCCGACGGCGCGGCCGAGCCCGCTGAAGGTGGTGGCGAACCCGTTGAGGGTTCCGAGGATGCGCAGCGACGAGGCGCTGTTGGTGAGCAGGATGGTGGTGCAGGGGAAGCCGATGATGACGACGAAGCCTTTGGCGAGCATGATGGTCAGGAAGACGGCGTAGCGCGTGGTGGTGTCTTGGATGAGCGCGGTGTAGGGGGTGAGGAGGTAGATTAGGGGGAAGATTAGGGCTGGTGGGGGTTGGTGGTGGTGTTAGCCGGCTTGGGTTTCTATTTCTTTTTATGAGGGGGGTGGGGGGAAGGGGAGAGACGTACTCGCTGTCCGGTAGCAGTTTAGCACGCCGAAGCGGGCGCACAGGGTCGGGAAGAGGAGGAATTGTACCACACCGCAGGCGATGCCGTAGACGGTGTAGATGGTGCCGATCTTGTCGGAGCTGAGGCCGAAGCCGCCATTGAACTTGAAGGGGAGGTGGGTGTTGGTCTCGTCGGGGATTACGCGCGGGTAGTTGAGGAAGACGGGGAGGACCTGGTCGTAGGCGACGGCGTGTAGGGCTAGGAAGGTGTACGACAGGAGGTTGATGCTCGTCTGGGCGGTGAAGATCTCGCTGTTGGAGACGGGATCTTCCTTGGCGGCGCTCTGCTCGGAACCAGACATGACCGACTCGGCTAGCAGGGGCGCTGATGCCTCGTCGTCGACAAACGACAGTCTTCTCCGCTTAGCCTTCGTCTTTGATGGTTTGAGGGAACGGGTTAGTTTCTCGCCCAACACTAAACCCCAGTCGCGCCTGTGGCGTTTACTGTGGAGTGTTTCCTGGAGAAATATTAGCTTTGTTTACATAGCCCCTGATTTTCTGGACTCACCTTAAGGAACATCAGTCCTGTCATGAAAGAGATAAAGAACACGAAGCAGGCCATCAGATTTGGCAACACGAAAGGATAGCGCTTGAAGTACTCTATGTTACCAAAGAGGCCGGGGTACTGCTCAGCAGGGCGGGCGAAGAAGCCGCCAAAGGCAGGACCAAAAACGGAACCAATACTCCACACAAGAGGCATGAGGGAGAAGGCTTTGGGCTGGAGTGACTTTTCTGGCACCATCTCTGCTACCATGGTTCTAATAATACCAACTGTTGTGTGTTAGTGGGGGAGCCCCACGATGAGCAGGGTGAATCAAAGGCGGACATACCATTGCCATTGCCGCCTCCCATAATGGCACGGACGGCGATGGCCATCGGGAGGCTGGTCGACATGCCCCAGATCAGGAAGCACACCATGGTACTGGCAAGACCGGAAAGAATGATGGGCTTGCGGCCGAACTTGTCGGAGGCCCTCCCCCAGGCGACAGCAGTGCAACTCTGAGCGACGGAGAAGATAGCTCCCGTAAAGCCCGCCCATTTTGCGACGTCGTTCTTTTCAACGCCAAAGCTGGCTATCATCTCTGGGAGATAGGGGAAGACGGAAGTTAAGGCTAGGGGCTCGGCAAACCTAGCAACGGCTATAATGGATTGAGGTTAGCTATGGTGACACAAGATGGGGACGGTACCCGGGGCCCTATGGAGCCATGGGATTATTGGTATGGTTAAGCCAAAAATGAAGCAAAAGCATCGTGGAGCTCCGTATCATCGACCAGGGAGGGTTGCTGTTGTTGTTGTTGTTGTTGTTGTTGTTGTTGGTTGGAATGATACTCGGGCATCGGACGTCGGAAGAGACAACGAAACTGAAAGAACAAGACATTTCACAGTAATGCGAACAGATATATGCGCTTACCTAGAATTGCCAACTGCTGGGCAGGCAGCTTTGGCCCTTTTTTTATTTGATTGGTCATGATGGACGATGATGCATGGACCAGGAACGAAGTGTTACAGGGCGTGTCTCTCTCGGTTGTCAATGGCACTGAGAATCCGAGACTGGCGCGTGTTACAGAAGATGACTCGCTTCTCGGCAAAACAAAACAAACTGTAACCTGTATTTTAAGCACCTATGCGCAGAGTACGGAATACAGCCAACTAGAGACAGCCTCGACAGCGATGGCGATAAGATGGAGAGAGTGTGGCAAGAAAAGAATCCGTCGGAAATAGCGGAGCAAAGGGTTGCTTTGTACTTTGTATGGGAAAAATACAGTCATGGGCGCGGCAAAGTCTGACCGAAGAGCTGACAAAAACAAAAAAGTTGGAGGCCATCATCCATGCTGTGCAGCAAAACTCAGCCCAGGCGCCACCGACTCTTGTGAACATGATTGGCTTGCATTCAATTGTTGGTGGGCAAGGTGGGGAGCTGTCGGATACGGGCCCGATCTACGGCTAGGCCGAGATCAGAAGTCGGCAGCCAAGTCGGAGCGGCTTCGGACATGAGTGGTCGGCAATGGCCCGGGGATGCGAGAGCCAAGAGAAGACGGGCGTTCCTCTTTGAGCTTCCAAATATTTAGGAATGGAAGCACAGAAAGTTAGAGCAAGCTATGCCCACATATGATGCTTTACGCGTTTGTTGTCATCTGGGATATGACCCTGCTGCTCTGTAGAATACGAGTAGCGAGGATGATGAGCCAATCCAAACGCCGACGGCCATGAGGTCAACAGCAGGAAGCGGCGCAAACGAGGGTTTCAAGAACGATGTTGGAGGTTGGGTCGGCTCAGCGGGTCCGGCTGCGGAGCACCAAAGCCAAGCCCGCCATCCTCAAGCAGACCCCCACTTGCCCTTTCAGTGCTGAGGTGACTACTTGGGAGGGGGGAGGCGCGATGTTACAGGCTGCCTCGACAGGCCATGCAAACGAGGAGTCACAGCATATTACTACCTACCTCCACTACCATGCACAATCTTACGGTGTAACCTGGACTTCGAGGTTTTATCATGGGATCCGGGGCGGTTCATGCACCTCGGCGGCATGGTGGGCTAGCCGCGGGACGTACCCCAGGTTCCCCGGCGGCACGGTGGCAGGTCCAAATGTCCAAAATGTCTTGGTGCAGGATGGTGAGTTGGCGCCTGTGATGAGATGTCTCAACGCCGAGAGCTGCAGGCGGATTGAGGTCGTGAAATATTGTTTGGGGTTGAAGATAGACTACAGCTTACCTTGAACTGCGAACATCTAGGCCTGAAACGGCAGCCGTTCGTTCAATTAGGACCGGGCCACACGGCAGATCCCGCATTGCGTCAGCGTTCCCCCAAGCACCTCTTGACCGGCCAGCCAACCACCCACTCGCCCACTGCAACACACCTCCAACCACCACCGATGTACCAACCAACCTGCAACTGACTGAATTTCCAACCTCTCACCTGCCCACTCCGTCCAACCACACCTCCGACTATCGCGGTAATCCGAAAAAGAGCTGAAGCTGTGAAAAAGAACATGCCAACCTAATCCATAATTTCGAAAACCAATTGATGTGAGATTGCGAGGCTGGGATCGTGTTGCTGTGAGTGTGACCTGTGCAATTTATCAATTACATCCATACCCCATTTCATGTTCTGCCCTGGGACCTACATACAACACTGCATTAGTTTGGCAGTAACAATAGAGATAGATCATAATGAGACTGACCGTCACAAGCCAGATCTGCAACAGACAGCCATGTCTTCGGAGCACACGCCGCTCCTCACCAAGGTCCGGGTCGCCGCGCCCCGGCCCCGGTACCCCCATGCCGTGTTGCGCCGCTTTTGCACCGTCGCTCTTGCATCCATCTTGATATGGTTCTTCATCGCCGTGGCCGTGTCCATGACACTTTTGGAAGGCCACTCCCACCACGAACCTAATGACAAGTGGTCATGGCCCGGCTGTGGCAAACGGAAGTTAGACTACGATCAGCTGCAGCGCATCCTCCTGGACACCCCTACTAGCAAAAACGCCGAGGAATGGAGCAGGTACTACACTTCTGGGCCTCATATCGCAGGCAAGAACTACTCCCAAGCGCTCTGGACCAAGAACAAGTGGGAAGAGTTCGGGATCCAGGCTGATATCGTGTCCTACGATGTGTACATCAACTACCCGGTCGATCACCGCTTGGCTCTTTTGAAGAAAAAGAAGCATGACGACGGTACCTCGGCTTGGAAGGTGTCATACGAGGCTTCCCTTACTGAGGACGTGATCGAAGATGATCCGACAAGCAGCTTGTCCGACCGGATTCCCACCTTCCACGGCTACTCTGCCTCGGGCAATGTCACCGGCTCGGTGGTTTATGTTAATTATGGCACTTACCAGGATTTTGCGGACCTGGTCAAGGCCAACGTCACACTCAAAGACAAGGTGGCCATTGCCCGCTATGGCGGCATTTTTAGGGGTTTGAAGGTCAAGCGCGCTCAAGAACTCGGAATGCTGGGCGTCGTTCTGTACAGCGATCCCGGCGACGACGGTGACATCACCGAGGAAAAGGGAGAGAAGCCCTATCCAGATGGGCCCGCCCGCCAGCCCAGCAGTGTGCAACGGGGAAGCACCCAGTTTCTCAGCTTTGCCCCAGGCGACCCGTAAACCTCACTCGACCTCTTTCCAAGGACTCTTCACTGACCACGCCGATAGGACAACGCCGGGATACCCGTCCAAGCCAGGCGTCCCCCGCCAGCCGGTGCACACGGCCATCCCGAGCATTCCGTCTATCCCCATCTCGTACCAGGATGCGCTCCCCATTCTGAAGGCCCTTAACGGCCACGGCCCAAAGGCCGACGATTTCAACCAGTACTGGACTCGTAACACGGGGCTGGGGTACAAAGGCGTACACTACAACGTCGGGCCCACCCCCGACGATGTCGTGGTCAACCTATACAACAAGCAGGACTACGTGACCACGCCTTTGTGGAATGTCATCGGCGTCATCAACGGCACCATTCCCGACGAGGTCGTCAGTATGTAGACCTTCCACGTTTTTTCCACCAGTGTGGTACGCTAATCGCACCATTTCAGTCGTCGGCAACCATCGCGATGCCTGGATTGCAGGGGGAGCCGGCGACCCCAACAGCGGGTCTGCTGTGCTGAACGAGGCGGTGCGTTCCTTTGGGGAGGCAGTCCGTCAAGGGTGGAAGCCTCTCCGAACCATTGTCTTTGGAAGCTGGGACGGCGAGGAGTACGGACTTGTTGGCTCCACTGAATGGGTAGAGGAGTATTTGCCCTGGCTCAATCACGCCAACGTGGCCTACATTGTATGCCCCGCCACTCTTCCCCATCTCTGTCACCTTGCTAACCCCAGTAGAACACCGACGCCTCGGTCCGGGGCACCGAACTGCGGACATCGGCAGCGCCCCTGCTTCATAACCTCATCCACGCTGTCACCGCTGTGGTCCCGTCCCCGAACCAAACCGTCCCGGGCCAGACAGTCCACGACCTATGGAACAAGCAGATCAGGACCATGGGCAGCGGCAGTGACTTCACCGCATTCCAGGACTTTGCTGGCATCCCATCCCTCGACATCGGTTTTATTTACGGCCCCGACTCACCCGTGTACCACTACCACAGCAACTACGACAGCTTCTACTGGATGGAGAAGTACGGCGACCCGGGCTTCATCTACCACCGGACCATGGCGCAGGTCCTCAGCCTGCTCGCCGCCCGGCTAGCCGACCTCCCCGTCATATCCTTCCGCGCCGCCGATTACGCCCAGTCTCTCGACCACTACGTGAAGCAGGTCGAAGACAAACTCGACGCGGCCCTCGCGCCCCGGTCCGCATCAGCCCTCGAAACAGCAGCCCCCCTACTATTGGACGACGACGCCTACTTCGAGCTGCGCGGCAGCACCCGCAACACTTCTACCACCCTCTCCGCCGCGTCCACCTCTTCCGCCGAAACCTTCAAGGCCTCCCTGCAGCGCCTGCACGAAGCCGTGGCCAAGCTAGCCGCGCGCGCCGCCAAGCTCGACAAGCGCGCCGACGAGCTCGATGAGAAACTGCGCGCCCACATCCCCTGGTGGAAGTGGCCGGTCAGGCTACACCTGGGATGGCAGGTCCGCAAGGTCAATACCAAGTATAAGCTGATGGAGCGTGCGTTCTTGTTTGAGGAGGGGTTGGATGGGCGGCCGTGGTTCAAGCATGTGGTGTTTGCGCCGGGGTTGTGGACCGGTTATGCTGGTGGTGAGTTCTTCCCTCTCTTTTGTTTCTCTTGTTTACTCTACTCTATTTTGGGGAGGGTTATGTGATTGTGAGGAGTGAATGCTGACATGGGGTGGTGGTAATAGCGGTATTTCCGGGGTTGGTTGAGAGTATTGATGACGAGGACTGGGTGAATGCGGAGAGGTGGGTAGATATCATCGAGAGCCGCTTGAAGAATGCTGCGCACCGGTTGTGAGCACTTGGGAACCATAAGAGTTGGAAAGGTACATATTAAGGATTGAATTATTCAACATAGGAGGAGGCTAGATTGTCGTGGAGACATTGGCTTGGTCTAAGTATATGATCCATAGGCTGTACATGAATGGATAGATTGTAAATCGCCGAGCTACTGCTTCTTCCGACCCTGCTCCTTTCTTACTTTGTTCAGTACACATACAGTAGGAGGCATCTGGTATCAGTCAGTGGGTTTGGTAACTAGTCGAATTATATCGTTCTTTGCCTAGAGCCCCTGAGACTCCCAAAGGCCGCTACTTGACTAAACACCCTGGGTATACATCCCTCACAAAATCACAACAAAACAAACAAACACCCCTATTCAACCACACCCCGTACACCAACTCTCCCACCACACGCCACTGCATACATCGGCAACCTGTATCTATAAAACCACCTCACCCCCTTCTCCCAACAACAACCACCACCACCACCACCACCACCACCCCTACCTACGCACCCCCATGCTCACCAAGCCCAACACCCCATCACTCATTCGCACCCAACTCCCCCGGAACCAACCCCCCCTCTCGCCGCGGCGGATTATACTGCTGTTGCTGCTGCTGCGGCGGCGGCGTCGGCTGCATCTGCGGCGGTCCCCCGACCGACGAAGGCGGCGCCTGGCTGTCCCCCGTGGGTTGCGGCACAATCGGCTGGGGCTGTTGCTGCTGCTGGGGATGGGGCTGGGGAGCATAGAACCCGCCCTGCGGCGGCGGAATCTGCTGCATGGGGATGGGCATGCCCTGGACGGGGACAGGCTGGCCCTGCATGTGGGTCATGGGCACGGGGGCGTAGCCCGGGGCGGGGTAGAAGGGCGGCGGGGCCTGGCCTTGGAGGTGGGCGGGGATGGGTTGTTGTGGGGGGTAGGGTTGTTGTTGTTGTTGTTGTTGTTGTTGGTGGTGGTAGATGGGGTTGCCTGCCTTGTCTGTGTGGATGACGACTGGCGCGGGGGCGGCGCTGGTGGTAGGCTGGCGGGGCCCGGGGGGTGTGCCGGGCGTGCAGTGTAGGCCGGCGGCGCGGTGCCGGTGGAGGTGGATGGAGTGGATGATTAGGGAGACGAGGAAGAGGACGCTGGAGGGGTGGGTTAGACTTATGTCTTTTGGAGGGGGGGAACCTGGGAGGGGGGATGGGGACGTACAACTCGACACCGCCTAGTCCGGCGGCAGCCGCCTGCGCCGCGAGCCAGATGAGATCGCTATCGGACAGGGAGTAATAGCTATATGACGAATAGCTATTGACGAGGGAGAAGAACTGCCCTACGCGGGCTGCTAGCAGGGCAAATGAGCAGAGCCACATGACGACGAAGAAGATATCGAGGCCCAGGATGACCCAGTAGTTGTAGGCTGCGGGTGGACCATATTTGGCGACCAGGTTGTAGATGGAGTACAACAGAGTCATTATGGCCTAGAGGGTTGTGGTCAGTTTTCATGACCTTCGTTGAGTGCGTGAGTATTTGGTATGTCCTTACCACTGCCAAGATGAAGTTGTTCCCGTCATACGGGCCGAGGGAGACGGCTTGGGCTGTTAGTCAAGCGCCCGTCAAGCGAAGCCCAGAAATAAACATACCATATGCGGCCAACCCGAGGATGATCAAGGACATGACGAGCTGCACAATCCTAATGGCAATGAAGCCCCTGGGTTGGATGGGAATATGCTCCCGCCCCGGGGGCAAGCCAACTGGAAACTGTGGGTTACTCATCGTCGACGGTGCTGTGTGGCTTCTACAAATCTGAGCGACGAAGGTCGATTCTCGAAAGTACTGAGGTGAGGTCGAGAGAAAGAGAAAACCGAAAGACAGGGAGCACAGCAAGGAGAACGGTCGCCCAACGGTGAAGGAGGGAGAGCGCCCGAGTCCGAGCCTTGTGCCATCTTGGGCGACCCTGTCGACCTTTTCAACAAGGGCAGTCCGCCTCGTCAAACACGGCATGAACCCGCCTTTCCCTGTCTTCGGGCGCGGCGGGGGCTGCAAGCCACCCAGGCTTCCCCAAAACTAGCGTCCCTTTCGGGTGCTGGCCAGACGCATGGTGTCTTGATTCGTGCCAGGGGGTGTGCGTGCGGCTGAGAAAAGCCGAATATTGATTGGAAGAGGGTGGATGGAAAGAGGGGAATATGGCCGTGCCCAGAACCGTCCCGTCGATTTACCGACTGTCCATTGATGGAACGTCCGTCGGTACCCTTCAATGAGGTTCCGAGAGAGTGCTGGTCGGGCCAAGGCCGTTCCTGGGAGCTGTGAGACTTCGAAGCCTGAACTTCGCGCAAGAAAGAGAGAGCCGGTGTTTTTTTTCCAAAGCATTAGGGATCGGGAAAGATGCAACGGGAAAACAATGGCTATAAAAAGTCATCTTGCAAGTATGTATGTACATTCATCAATGTTAGACCCCTGTGCTGCATGTGCCACGGTGGGTGGAACATTAACAACTATGTGGTGAATTGTCTTCCACATCTATCCGTCCATACATATAGATATATCGGGGCCTTTCGTCACTATCATTGCCTGCTCTTGCATCATCTGCAAGCTCGATCTGTACATAAATAACATGCGAAAGGCTCGCTCGCCCTGCCTTCCCCCTGTATATAAGACCACCACCCAATACTCGCCCGAGGACGTCATGTAAGTAAAGTATGGCAACCATATCCGAATGAAAATGCCGCTGGAATGAATCTCGAAGATAAAACGGGGCCGGTAATAGTAAGCAAATGGCAAAAGTGAAAATAGAAAGCAAGAACCATCGACAGACGATGAGAAAAAAAAAGCCAGGGGCCATGATGGGTATCCGAACAAAGCCTAAGCAAAGGAAACTGCAATCCCTCCCTCCAACACCTACCAACCCGGTGTATGCAACTCAAGCATCAAAAACCGGAAGAGACAAGTCTCTTATGCAAAGTCATCTGCGCCGCCATTCAAAACGAGCCGGTCGAGATTCTGCACGAGCTCCTTGGTCTCGCGCCTAATCTCAAAAGCAATGGGTGGTAGCGTCTGGCTCCACATATGCCACTCGCGGCTCGTGCTGTCGCTGCCACCGGCCGCGAGGTCAAGCCCGCGGCTACCGGCCTCCATGAGACGTTCGCGGCATGCCACCAGTCGCTTGACCAGCTCAGGACCGTCGGGGCCGGGGCCCACCGCCGCCTGCGTCTCCGCCGTCAACTGCCCGACTACGTCCGTGATGACGCCGATCTCCTCTGTGACTTGGTTGATGTTGGCATCATCGCGTACCAGCTCGACGAGGTTCTGGATCGTCTGGACAAGGACGGCATTTTGGTCTTCAAGGTAGATTTTGAGGTCCTCGATCCGTCTGTCGGGTTGTTGGGGGGTTGTTGTAAAAACCGTTCCCGTTCCCGTTGGTGTTGGGAGCGATGGGTAGGGCCTTCTCCAGGCCCCCGTATTCTCCCCTTGACCGCTCCTTGGCAGCCGCCCCGTTGCGAGCCATTGGGCCCTTTGCAAACGACTCGCGCGGCGAGCTAACTGGGCTGTAGGCGGATGAGTCGGCGCTCGCCCGGCTCCCTAGGGCCCAAGCCCTGAAATGGCGGGGGTGGCGGCAGCGAAGCTTGGAACCGATGTGATGCTGGATACCTTGCTCTGCCCGTTGCTTTGCGGGGAGAAGAATCCGGTCGAGTCCACAGGGGTCACTGTTCCGTCATCATCTTCTTCCAACTCGTCGCCCGGAGTGGTGCGAATCTTGGCTGCGCGAAGCAGCTCAACGACCGCCGCGACCAGGTGGGATGCCGCTGCATCAAGCAGCGATACTGGGGAAATGCCAGCCGAGGTCGCAAAATTCTTGGAGGCTGTGATCATGTTGTTGGCCGTGGATGACACCCGGGACTTGGGCTTTTGATATTGCATGGCCGCTTCTCCATTTTGCGCCGAGGTGTCGATGTCTTTGGTGATCCGCCGGACACTGACCACGACGGCCTTCATAGCGTCGATCACGCGCTCTGGGTCCGCACGAGCCTGCTTGAGAAGATCGTCGATGGCGAGCTGGAATTTTGTGACGTGGATATCCTTAACCAATCCCCCGTCCTCAACAAATCCCTTCTCGCGGACATATCTGCCCGCGTCCTGGTCAATCGTGAGCCCGGCAGAGGAACCGCGCATGTCGCGCAACTGTGTTTTGGTGCGCGCATAGCGATTCTGCCACTCTCGTACTTCATTCTCGAGCGACTCTATCGTCTTCTCCATCTCGGATTGCCTATCCCAGGTGGCGCCGCTTTGCTGGGAGATCGTCCTCATCTCCCGAAGGAATTCTTGCGCTTCCCGCCGCACTTCCTCAGTCACTTGCTCCTGCTCTTCTAGTGCCATACGTAGCGCCTTGTTCTCCCGTTCGAGCTCGGTGTCGGCCGCTCCACTTGACACCGAACGGCTTGCGCTCTTGGCCTGCTCAAGCTCGTCCCTCAACTCTTGCGCCTCATTTTCGTGCTCACCCCGGAGCCTATCGATCTCCCGCTGTAGGGAGTCGTTTAGCTCTTGAGCCTCGGCGAGTTTATCCTCCAGGTTCGCGCGGGTACTATCCCACTCGTGTTTTGCCGAGTCCGCCGCGGCCGCTTTCGAGCGTTCGCCATCCAGAGCGCCGTTTAGTTCATCATCCTTTCGCTTTAATGTGTCCTCCATGCTGTTGACCTTGTCCTGCAGCTCCCTGATTTGCTGTTCGTATTCTTCAATGAGCTTCTTGTCCGGCTAGAGGCTTGGTGTTAGTGATCAATGCTCAGGGGTGCGAGAAGGAGAAAACAAACCTCGATTTGCCCGGCGGCGCGCTGCATCCCATATGGAGCGTTCGGGTCCGGACTCGTGGGGCTGATGGCGTCATCGTCCTCTTCTACCATCGTGCTCTTATTGGGGACGATGGTGTTGCTCTGAAACTGCTTCGGCATTGGTCTCCCGTAGTCGCCATTTGGTATGCCTGGTGATGGCGGAATCGGGAAGCCAGCCTGCAAAGGCGTTGGCAACCCGCGCCCGCTCCTTACCGAGCTAGCTTCGGAGGGGCGTCTCCGACTCTGGTTCCTCGGGGGGTACCCGTTCATTCCGTTTACGGGCGTCTGCGAGCGGCTCTGCGGTCCTCCACGGACCGACATCGGGCTTCCTACACGAGGAACATCCGGACCGGCAAAACGCGGAAACCTCCGCTCCAGCTCGCAAAAGACGTCGGTGGCCAGGTCACGGAACCGCGGGGGGCCAAGGGAAGAGAGTTTCTGGCGTGCTTGGTTTCGCTTTGGGTGGAAATTTTCCTCGGGTAAGAGGTAATCAGGAGGCCCAGAGCCGGGTGGAGCACCTGGGGGTACTCGGCTCGCAAGTTCGCGTCGTTTCAACTCGTCATAAACATCGGTACTGAGTTCGAGAAACTGGACGCCGGTGAGGCGTTGCAGCTTATCGCGAGCTTTGTTCGGTGGGGGTTTCGGGTTGCCATCGCGCGATGTTGCTGAGAGGAATCGCTTGAGAGAGACATAGTGCTCTGAGAGCATCAGCTCCTGGTTTTCCGACTGGCTCTGACTCCTCCCGCTCTCGCTCCTTGCATATAGGTTGGTGCCGGCGCTCGATCGCCCGACGGAAGCGGGCGGCGAGGGGCCGCCGACGCTCCTCGGCCCCGGTGGGAAGTTGTTCATCGGCTTGACTGGTCCGGCAGAGTCGGGCGGTGTGTTGAGTTGACCTCGGTTATTCTGGTATGGAAGCCCGTCCTTATCGGTGGTTGGATATGACCATTCGCTACCGCCTACAGAGACAGGTGACAGTGGTGCATTGCGGCCATTCATGGTATTCGGGTGTGGTTCGTAGTGGGCGTTGGTCGTCGCAAGCGGGCACTCGAGAGAGCAACCGGCGGGCAAGGGTACGTGGCGCCGAAGGGCGGAAATTGGCGACGCTGAGTGGCGGCGAGTGCGCACGCAACGAAACGAAATTATTACAAAGGATTAAACCGGACGACGACGCAGCGGGGAACGGTGGTCGAAAGTTGACACAGCATGAAACGCCTTGACGCTCGGCCAACGAAGGGTCGCCAGGAGCGGCGAGCGAGCAGCTCTGCTTCCGCTAGAAAGAAGGCTGAAGTGGCACGGCCCGGCCACACGGAACAGTGCACACAAAGATATACAAGATCTGGTCCGATATGAGGCGGCCCGGTCTGTTGGACTGCTGATTGTTGTTGGAGGATCGTGTGCTCGTAGCTGGGGGGCACAGGGATGGCCGTCGTGAAAGGCCGTTTCGTCGTCTGATCTCGTCTAGTGCGGTTTCGTCTTTACTCGGCTGCCACGAAGCTGCAAATGAGTGGCGGAAAATAGCGAAAAGAATGGAAGTCGAGCACGAGTCGGGAGAGCAAAAAAGCAGAGCAGCAAAAGGAGCAAAAAGGAGCGGAAAACCAGCCGGATTGTCTGCGAAGCGCAAGCAAACAACGACCGCGTCCTTTTAGGCAGCGTGTAATTACAGATGACCACCGACGACTTTGAGTGCGGGTCGTGGGAATCACCGAGACGTGGGATTTGGGGGTGCAAAAGATCACCAAAAGGGCAATGAATCGCCCAAGCGCCCCTGATGACGACCCCGGCAGGGCCACTGCTGGGTGGCGATTGGTTTGGCAGCTGAACTGCTGGGGATTGGTGCTGGGGGTGCAATTTCCTTGTCCAGGTAGTCGCGCGCTACGGCAGGAACATCTCGGCGAAAGGAGGCGGGAAGGCGGAGACAGGGATGGGCGGGGGATCGACCCTGCAAGTCAACTTTTTTTTCCTTGAAGCCGATGCTGTCGGTCGGTCGAGCCGGCTCTTTGCATCGAGACAAAGCATGGAGAGCTGAACCGAGACTGTCTTTGGCCGCCCAGGGAGAAGAAATCCGGGGATCTTCGGGGAAAGAACAAAGGGATGCTTTGTATCTCTAACTACAAAGTACCTACCTAGGTAGATAATCTGGGCCGAGTTCCGTGAAACATAACGCTTCCCCGAGACATTTGCGGACTCCCTCGAAACTCAAAGACTCTTTCTTCTTTGGGCCTTCTTTCAACTCCCTTGCCCCGTTCATGGGTGGGTGATGAGGGGGTCCTTGAATTGAAATGCCAGATGTAAAACATGAATTCTGCAGATACAAGACACCCATACGGGTCCTTCGAGTGGTTCTATGTACTGAGAAGAACGACATATATTCGTCGTTATTCAACAACATAGTTCGGTTATACAGTAAGCTGATCACTCTTGATAATCCGGCGATACCGGTTGTGCGGCTCTCCCCGTCACACAAGGTCGACGCAGGAACAAGAGCTGTCAAGTCCCGTCCGCATTGGCTCCCGGGCCCTTCTCCGCATATCCCCCATACTACGGCGTTTGATAGCCCGGGTGGCGGATAAAGCAACGATTTCCCACTTATGCCACTTCACTCTCCGCTAGCCAAAAGCTTTCGCAAGATTTTTCGAAGCCGAGTCATCATTTGTTTCGTCGCGAGTCAGCCAGGAACCTTTCCTTGGAGAGGAAGGCCTCCCACCCCACCCCTGTCACTTTAAAGCAGCAGCAAAACCCCGGGGCCTCCCAGTGTCCACACTAGCTAGGATGTTGGAGGCTGGATATTAGTTGGTCCTTCGCAGTTAACTGATCATCACCCAAAGTTCCCTTCTCCTGTGATGATAGCGGGGCGGCGCCCCATAACTGCTTGTCATAGTATCGTAGTAAAACTCATGGCATGATAATGCCTGGTATCTCTTGAGCCTGCCCTAAACCCACCCCAATCCCGTACTCCGAGTCGCCCAACCGTTAAACGCCTCTGTATATGAAAAATGAAATGGAACCACTCAAAACCAGGACAAAGTCCACGTAGAAGGTAGACCGGGCCACCTCTCCTGCCACTCGCCTAAAACTTCGGGCACCCGTTCGTCAAAGCTCGCACGGCTGGCAGCGCCCCCGGCATCGAAAACGGCCGCTCCTACTTTGTCACGTTCCTCCATTGCGGCTCTGTTCAGAGAATCTGCGAGGTCGACCATAGCTCCACCGCCAATCGAAGCGTCCTGGTGATTGTCTTTGATGTCGATGTTGATGACGTGAACGGGCCGGTTCAGCGGAGAGCCACGGTTGAGGAGGTCATCGACCACGGCGTCCCAGCAACGCTCCTCGCAAGTGATGACAATGTCGGGCACGCCAGCCTCCATGCCTATGCTCCCTTGATCCTTCTCGTGTTTGACTCTCGGCATCCCGACTTGCCAATCCTGCCATCGCTCGGGACCCCATTTGATGACGCGGTTCCGGCCCAGCATATTCAGCAGGCCGTTTGCCCGGTACAGACGGGGATCCTTGGCTTCGAGCTCCCGATAGATGCTATCGTATGAGGTCTCATTGAATTTGTAGACGTTGGGTTGGGTAATGGTGGGCCCTGGCAACCGTACGAGGGACCCGGTCCCGAAGGAGATGACGGGGTAGTTGGCTTGGGCGAGGCGGAGATGCCCTTCCATTGACCTAGTCCACGTTAGTTTGTTGCTGGCCGGATATGATTGAGTCACGGGTGTTCTTTACCGGTTCTGGTTGCTCGCACAGACAGTACAGAACTTCAACTTGAACCCTGACGCGTCTTCCTGTTGGCCGTTTTGGGCCGTGGCCGCAGAGCCCGCATTTCCGTTTGCGGTTTCCATGGCAGGGTTGTGAGAATAAAAGCGGTGGTCGTCTTCGATGGTGCTTATCGCTTCACCAAGGTTGCACCCGCACTTGCTCTATCAGCGACGTTAGTTATGATATCAGGAAACAGGATTCCGTGCATATTTCCGCAACAGCCATGTACGATCAGAAAAAAAGCGTAATTATAAAAGTTGTCATCACCGCCTGCGAAGCAGGACTACAGACAGCTCCAATAAGGCTCATCATAAACAAAGAGGGGTCGAGACAATCGGGGATAGCGAATGCGCTTACCTTCGGGGGGAAGAACACCAGAGCCGCAGTGCTATGTTCTCATCATGGGTAATGAACCATGTAGGAAGTATGGCCCGGGCGCGAAATGGACCGGCGGGGCTAGAAAGAAGCCTCTGGGTTTTCTTTGGGTCGGTTTGTTGGTTTGGGTCGGTTTGGCAACAGCAGAAGAAAGCTTGTGAAATGTTTTCCGCGATTGGGTCTGACCTTGGCAGAAAGGTCCCGACCCCATCGCCCAATCAAGATACTGCCAGTCTCGACCGCCCTAGTTATTCGGTTGGCTGGTCCCTGTCGTGTGCTTGTACTTGCTATCCTTGGACGAAAGAACGGCACAGAACCGCCCCCAATGTCCTTCGTGCTCGTGAGAATGAAATGGTCTAATAAAACTGGCGCTGCCTCGCTTCGGCTTCTGGGAAAGTAGTTCCCGCCATGTCCTCGAGTTGCGGCTTTTCATCGTCCCTCACAGCGAATTCAACGGAACATCACAGAAACGATGAGGCTTCCTTCACTCTGGGCAGTCGCCGGCCTGTCGCTTGCGGTGAGTGCTCGCTCAGATGTCCCCAATATCGAAGTTGGTATCGTCCACCCGCGCAACACCACCTACATAGTCGCGGAGGTCTTTCCCTTATCGTCTTCCATATCGAATACCTCCAATGGGTTAGGCCGCCTAGGAGTGAATTGAACATCTTTTGGGACGTCATGCCTTGTGGCGAGGGCGTCAGGCCGGGGGGCATTTATTATGATAAGGGAACGCTCCGGGTCTCAAATGACACCGACTTGGAATCCAATTACCTCATCGCCACCACCAACGTCACCGAATGGATCAGAAGGTCATCCCGCGATGACAGATTCATGCCCCAGTGGTCCTTTTCGTTCGACTCTTGTGGAGACGATGTTTTGACCAGAGGGCATCTGATGTTCAACATCGCGACCGAGGAGGTCATAACATACGAACCGGGCGAGATCCATCGGGTTATGGACGTCCCAGGGTGCCCCGAGCTTGGAGCGATCATCCAACTTCGGGATAACGCGACGGCGTCCCAATGCCCCCTGGGCGAGGTAGTCGAGGCCGCGGAAGATGTGCTACGCCCAGGTCACTCGAGGTGCATACAGCAGCATTCTGAGCCACGCATCTAGTTTGGCCGCTCCAACTTCGACCACTACATCGGCGACATCAACGAGTAGCGCCGGGGTTGGGCCAGCGCGTACGGTCCAAACGGCGCTGGCGGCGGCTTGCCTTCTCGGCGGTCTGGCCTTGTGAGGAAGGAAACGCTACGGACGGTTTGATATCGAAGATGGAACAACAATGTGTGGTACATTACCTACATAATGTGTTTAGTACGAATATGTAATTGGGGCAAATGTATTTATTCGACATATTCATGGAGTTATCCAGCAGGGAGGTAATTAACTACAAGTACGGGAGGTCACAGCTCGAATCTTGGCCTCGACAACGGCCTCACCCTCATTGGACCTCCCACCCAGAACCAGTGTTTCAGACGCAACCCCTGCTTGTCTGCCCAACCGCGCCCCAATATCGCAGACTCCACACCGGCAAGCTTCGGTCGAGTGCAACTCTCATGAGCGCGCCGAAGCAGATTCTTCAGCCAGAGATGTCACTCCTGACAGAACAGAACTTTAATTTGGCAGTTGGCAACTGTCGAAGGAGTGCCACGGCCACTCGAGAGAATCGCCTCGATACACTGGACAGAGGACACCGACGAGGACAGATGAGATACAAGGCATTTATTCTAAAAATAGTCTACAAGCTGAAGTTTATTGGTGGGCTTGGGTGAGACGGCTGGTGACAGACCGCCGTCAAAGCTGTCGTTTCTGTCTAAGTTACGTACTGCCTTGCCTTGCCGGCGACCTCTCCATGACGAGGCCATGTTTTTCGTTGAATCCCCAATGGGAGGGTGAAAGGCGAATCCAGGAGGGAGCCCTGTCGGAGCCCGCGTGGATTCACGAGCCACCTCCCGGTCGTCAATTTTCCCCCGGAGCTCTTGGAAGGACGCCCGGCTGGCTACTTCTCCCTGTATTCCGTGCATTCACCAATTAGAGATGCATCAAAATATCATGCAGTTGGGGATGGTGATATTGCGTGTGGACAGCTGGAGGCGGCTCTCGCCTAGATTGAGAAGACCTGCCCCTGTTGGTGCGTGTCCCTGGTGACCCAGGGTTCGCTCGCTGGTTGCGAGGAATGGAACCTTCGAAGTTGGCCACCAGCGAACCCCGGCGGTTGCTGGGTGGGGTCTTGCAGGCCTGCTGGAGCGCGCTTAGCAAGGTGCCCGGCCTTCCATTGCTGGCCAGCCGCCCACCCTTTGTGCTCTCACAGCGCTCAACTTCTCCACTCTTCAACCCCCTGAGGGGCGGGCAGTTTTCATCGACCTTCTCATCTTCGACTTCTTCTTTCCCTCGCGACCTACCTAGATTTGCCTTCCAATTGTGCTCGCTCCATCCCGGTGGCCGGACGCGCTGGTCCTGAGTGCAAATTACCGTGGCGAGCGAGTCCGTCGCTTCAGGGCAAGAGACCGCCGGGGCCGTTCTAATAATACAATCCCGACCGCCGGGAACGACAAATTGTGGAGAGAGTCTGCCCTGCAATTGTTCCTTTCCTCTCTTGGCCTGGCGCTGTCTGAGCGCAAAATCGGGCAGTCTGACGAAACACGCATCCACGCATCCACGTTTCCTGGCAACACAGACGGGCACAAGAGCCATCGATTTCCATTTACCGCCTGTCAAACTTCTCCACTGCAACTGTGCGACATCGATAGCGAACGGGCTAGAAGAGGCCCCTGGCGCCAAAAAGGAAAAAAAAAGAAAAACTGCAACGATTTGACAGACCCAAAGACGAGGGGTTCGCGAGTTTTCCCCTTTTTCCAAGTTGTTCCCAACCCTCGGTTCCCCCGAACTTGCAGTGGTGGCAGCGCCGGCGTTGCTGGGGGTCCCACCGACACAATCCCCCCCAAGCGCCCCCCGAAAGCGAGCGAGCCAGGGCGAGGCGCAACCAACCCCACACTCTCAGCAATCCCATAATCCTATTGGATTCTTCCCTCGTCGTTAACTCGCCCTTCCCCGAAACCATGATCGGCGGTTCATGTTCGCCCCGGGCTCGTCTTCCTGCGAACTTCGGCCGCCCGCCATCTTCATCTTCCAAGCTCCTAACGCGGCGCAATCCCCCCCTCTTCCACCGCTTCAATTACCTCCGCCGCTGCGCTTCGCAGGGAGCAAACCCTGGTCGCGGCCTCTATGTCGCCACGTTTTCCAGGAACCGCTTGTCGCAGTACTCGACGGCGAGCTCCATCCCCTCGAGGTCGCGCCCTGCCTCGCACATATTTCCGATTTACCCCTCGAGCCTTTCCCTACACACTCGTGCGAGACTTTGCTTACCCGGTATCACATCCCATGCACTATGGCCCTCCGCCCGAACCCTCACGACCCCCGTCGGGCATGTTCGCCCTAGGGAGCGAGCAACAACGTCTGTCCGATTTGCCGGCGTGGGATACCGGGACAAATTGGGACACCCACTCGTGGAGCCGCGCCCTTGCGAACCGGCCCGCCGACTTACCCGCGATTCACTTTGGTGACGGCCCGCCGTGGAGCGAGGACGAGGATTTGCAGAGCCCCGTCGTTAGCTCGAGACATAAGAAGCACAAGAGCGCATCGGGCGGCACATATACCAAGAGCCGGGTCAGTCGCGATGCCCAGGCCGAACCACAGAGTTTCGATGGCGACCGGGGATATTATGTCGGCACCAGCAACGACGGCAGCGAGCGGTACTATGTGAACCAAGGCAACGAGGCCAATGGGCCGGGCGGCGAGTATGTCACATACCCCCCAGACGAAGCCCGTCACGGGGGCAACGCATACCAGCTGGCGAGCCATCAACCCCGCCAGTTTGGTGGAGCGGGCGATTTTGGTTCGGATGATTCGAGCGCGTGCTCGTCTCCGAGCTTCCACAACGTGGACGAGTCCCGCTACTCGAGGGACTACCAGTTTACCATTACGTCGCCAGACGAAGAAATGCACGGGAAAGCCGTTGCGCTTTTCGACTTTGAGCGGGAGAACGAGAGTGAGCTGCCCCTGGTAGAAGGCCAGATCATCTGGGTGTCCTACCGGTACGGCCAAGGCTGGCTGGTAGCTGAGGATCCCAAGACCCAAGAGAGCGGCCTCGTGCCTGAAGAGTACGTGCGGCTGCTGCGCGATATCGAGGGCGGCTTGAACAGCCTGGCTGGCAACCTGATCACGGGCGATGTCAGCCCTGCCAGCCCGAGCAACGACGTCGGCACGCCCACACAGGCCGAACACACGCCGGCGCCGCAGTTGCCTCACTCGCCGGGCCGTAACCACGGCCAGCGGGTCGTCGACGGCAACGAACAACACGGCGTCCACTACTACTAATACTGCAACAACCAATGAGCTATCATCAGCCGGTCCTCTCTACCTTTTCCACTTCGAGCAAGGACCTCGATCCTTATCCGCAACATCTGCTCGGCACCCAGGCCGGTCAGCCCCCACCACAAGTTGTCCATTACCACGGGCAAAGAGGCGGCAGCCAAGCAAATACCCCGACGCTGGCCATTCATCAAGGATTTGGATCCCGGCGCGCTAGTCAGGACACGATATCTGCCTCGGCCGCAGGCGGTGCAAAGAAAGGTGAAGCGGCAGTCAGCGGCTTGGAGACACTTCCCGATGCGAAATTGGAGAGGTCAGGCTCCGGGGCCGGGTTGCCGAAGAAGAGGGAGTCGAGGTGATACATCTGGAGAACGCGGTAGAGGGAGGAGAACCAGGGCCCCAGAGAGGAGAAACAATAAGGGGAGGCATGTTCAACGGAGCATACTCATCGGAGGCTGCATACCAGGGGAAACGGGTTGGGTGGCTGCTAGGCTTCCCACGGGTTCGGGGCTTGGGGGGCTGGGGTGTTGGGAATCTTGTACCAATACGGCTTCAAGCAGGGTCGAGCGATGGGCAAAACCATCGCATCCGTTTCTTCTTGTGGTTTGATGTTTTATGATTATGATGGGAGGAATATATCTCGGCGTTGCCTTGGCTACTTCTCTGGGCCCTTGCTTTCGGCACGATATGAGTGATGCTCTTCCGATATCTCTTCTGCTCGGCTCGTAGAGCTGACCTCCAATAGTCGACTGATTCGTAGAGCTGTTCCTCGCTCGGGTCCGATAGACACCTTCAAGGTATTGTGTCGACGCGCCTTACAATGTCGAAAGCTCCGACCAGTTCGAGAAGTTGAAGTAGGTATCACATTCAGCCCCTGAAAGTCTGAAACCCACCCAGTAAAGGTCGCCAAGGGGAACGCGGCTTCAGTGGGCTGAATGACGTAAACCGCCCGAACTTGGCAGGGCGCCCCCCAAATCTCAATGGGCAATCGCAGGGCAGGGCGGGAGCAAGATCGGAAGGACGAACAAGCTCCGTCCATGTCCCGCCGGTCCCGGCTGTTTACAAATCGTACCATCTTATCGCAAACCCCCAGCCCGGGTTGTCGCACATAATTCTCTCTCCCATTGACAAGCGGCCACTCGTCCCGCATCCAATTACAACCCAATTGCCGACATCATGAGTTTGTTTGTCGCCAGTCGATCTGCCTTCCGGGCCGCCGCGCCCCTCAAGCGGGTGAGATTCCACTTCTGCCCCTCCATCCGTTTGCTTGACCATGTACCTCTCCTGCCACTCGCAGCTGTGCAGCTACTGCGCAATTTTGTAGCTACGTGGCTCGGCAGCTCTAGCTCTATGCAGTCTCAACCTCAATCCTTTTATTCCTACTAACCGTTCTATAGCAATTCCAGATCCGCCGCTATGCCACCGAGCCCCCCTCCGCCGACGCTAAGAAGGGCAACAACACCCTGCTCTATGGCGCAGCCGCCGCCGCTGTCGCCGGTGCCGGCTACTACTTCCTCGGAGGCACCCCCGCCGCCAAGAAAGCCGAGGAGAAGGTGAAGGACGCCTCGAGCGCCGCCGCCGGCAAGCTCTCCACTAGCGAGGTCAAGCAGGCGCTCACGGGCGGCGAGCAGGGCTGGGTTAGCCTGAAGCTCGAGGAAGTCGAGATTGTCAACCACAACTCGAAGCGGCTGCGCTTCCGCCTGCCCGAGGACGACATGGTATCAGGCGTGCACGTTGCCAGCGCCATCCTGACCAAGTTCAAGCCGGTCGACGCGGAGAAGCCCGTGATCCGGCCGTACACGCCGACCAACGACGAGGACGCGCGCGGCTACCTGGACCTGCTAGTCAAGAAGTACCCCAACGGGCCCATGAGCACGCACCTGCACGACATGGTGCCCGGCCAGCGGCTGGACGTCAAGGGCCCGCTGCCCAAGTACCCATGGACGGCCAACAAGCACGGCCACATCGCGCTGGTGGCCGGCGGCACGGGCATCACGCCCATGTTCCAGCTCTGCCGCGCGATCTTCAACAACCCGGACGACCAGACCAAGGTGACGCTCGTCTTCGGCAACGTGCGCGAGGACGACATCCTGCTCAAGAAGGAGCTCGCCGCGCTCGAGAACAACAACCCGCGCCGCTTCCGCGCCTTCTACGTGCTCGACGACCCCCCCAAGCATTGGACCGGTGGCAAGGGCTTCATCACCAAGGACCTGCTCAAGACGGTCCTGCCGGAGCCCAAGGACGAGAACATCAAGGTGTTTGTGTGCGGACCCCCCGGCATGATGGACGCCATCTCCGGGAACAAGAAGAGCCCCAAGGACCAGGGCGAGCTCAAGGGGATCCTGAAGGAGCTGGGCTACAGCCCGGAGCAGGTCTACAAGTTTTAGATGATGTGAACGTGTCGTTCGATTGCGTTTTCTGTCTTAGCCTAGCCTTGCCTTGCTTTGAGCGGCAGCTTGTAGAATAGAACATGGAATTTCGACCGCTTGTGAAGAATTTGATATCCATTGACAACTAACCCAACCACCTCAGCCATCATCCTATCCGTTCTCCCCTTAACAAGCCCGTAGGTCCGCAAACTACGACAACCAACCCGCTGGATCTACCAAACACGCTTGGACACGCACACCGAGGTCATTTCATTCCTCAGGGCATACAGACAGATGGGGGGTTCCTTAATCCGGCATGAACGACTCATCGAAGTTGTCCCAATATCTTACGACCAGTTAGAACAAGTTTCTGAGCATCCATGTCACATCACCACAAGTTATCACGAAGAGAACAATTGTTTGCAAAAGGCAGTGTATTTCCCCAGTCCAGGCCAGAACATCATAAACAACGCCTTGCTCATCGTAAAAGCCTCCAAAAAAACCTCCCAAGAAAAAAGACATAGGTAACCTGCTCCTCCACCGGCTCATCCGCCCGCCTACAAAAACGCCAATTCTCCATGTCCCATGCACCACCAGCAACAACCTTGCCACACTCCCGAAATACATGCCATCCATAAACCCATATGCCTCGCCAGGCCAATTCTTTAGCGTCATTTTATGACGAGAGGACCTCATTTTATGATTGTTATCCCCTTTTCCCGATGCCATGCCTCGCCGGGCCAGGCCTGCTATGTCCTTCAACACCAATCTATGACAACTGTCCATGTCGATCCGAGAATATGTACCCTCCGTTGCACGAGACCGTCAGTTTATGACGTGTTCCCAATCCGAGCACATGCGCCCTTCCAACATGAGATCGTCGCTTCATGACTCGTTTTCATCGTCACCTTGTGACTCTCTTCTCGGCGTCACTTTATGACTTGTCCCGAGTGTCACCTTATGACCTGTTCTCATCGTCATTTTATGACTTCTTCTTCTCGGGCGTCACTTGATGTTCCATCACTTTTCTGAAGTCCGCTTAGGACACTTCTCCGTTTGTGTGCAAAGCCTGTGACAGAAAGTTAGGCAAGGTTCCAAATACAACAGGCAAACAGCGTGAGGAGCGATGTATTGTGTCAGAGAGAAGATTGACTCGACATGTTCCAGCTTCGAGACATGGCCCAAGAACCCCCATGGGGAGAGGAGCCACGCCACGTCTCGGCCAGAGTTCCGGCTAAGGATGACGATACGAAAGATCTCATCATGGTGGGTGTGTTAAACAGGATATAAGAGGGTGGCGACTTACACTTTGGTTTTGGTTTTGGTGCGTACACGGCTGTTTTTTTTTGGGTTGGGTTGGGTTGTGGTGAACTGGGCGCGGCGCGATCCAGCAAAAACTGACGTGGAGGAGGTTTGGCCTTTTAGGATTTGGCATGTTTGATGTGTCCCTCCCCCCGTCCTCAATCGTCGTAAGAGATGCGACGGCGCTGGATCGCGCTAGCTTTGACCGGCTGGTTGTTTTCTTCGCCGTAATCGAGAGTTGCTAGGCCCTTGTCCACCACGTCCCATGTTCGCTTGCGCAGATCAATCGGCTCTCCCCCGTTGGTCGTCTTGTTTTTCTTAGACTTGCCGCGTTTCCGCTTTTTGGATTGTTTTGCGGTGGTGGACAGCGCCGACGAGACCTCGCCATCTTCAGACATGTCGTACGCCGCATCTTCCTCGGGTTTTACGGTTGTGGTTTTCCCCGAGCTAGAAGACTCCCTTGCGCGGCGCAGAGCTTCGAGTTCCGAGTGTCTAAAGATGGCAATCTGCTCATCGGTGAGGGTTCGTTTGACGCCGTCGGGGTAGTAGCCGAGCCCATCGTCCTCCTCTTCGTAGTATTCTTCGTCATCCGCCGCATTGTATGTAATTTCTTCTGCGGGCGGATGATTGGGTCGGAGGAACTGGGCTTGGAATTGATCTGTCGCGAGCCTGGAGAAATGAGCTTCGTGGAATGCAATCATCTCAGCCTGCAACAAAGAAAAGAGTCAGCGATCTATCTTCAGATTAAGCGCTAGGCGTCATCCTTACCTGGCTGATTTGAGGCACTTTGAGTGATGTGCCAGCCATTTTGGCGAGAGCGACGCGACCTACCGCGCCCGGTTCGGTGGATGAATGGCCGAGATTCTGATGGGTCGATGGCCGGGGTCGATGGCCAAGGTCGATTTCCGGGATCGGTCACGTGCTCAATACGGCGAGGATGCTCCCCGAAGCTGCTTCAGAAGAGTTGGCTTTTTTTGGTCTTTTTTGATTATGTTTTTTTTGGGGGGGGGGTGGGTTTTGTGGTGTTTTTCGTTTGTTTGATTTTTTTGGTTGGTCTTTGTTTCTGTTTGCTTTGGCCGCAGTGGGAGAAGAAGAAGAAGCGACCTCTCAACCGGTGCTGCGCAGGTCGGGTCGAGGAGGGTGCAATGGCCAGCGGTTTTCTGGCAGCCAGGGCAATGGGAATTGTGCTAGGCTCAGGTTGATTAATTTGTTAGGAGCGTTGATTCTAGTGTTGCTCAGAACCCGAGCCCAGCGCCCTAGCTGATAAGCCCGCCAGAAGAATTGCTCAGTTCGCCGCCAGCCGTAACTTGCGACCCCAACCATGCATGCGCGCCAGAAGAGGTGTGTGTGGGTTGTAAAGATGACGCCCCCGAGCCTTGAGGGTGCGTCCTGGGATGGAGGAATGGTTGGAGGCTAGGTTTGGCTCAGGAGCGCCAGCGCACTTTGGAAAGCGCGGACAACCTCTGAGACTGTGCTTGTTAGTAAAACGCCCAATGGCCATAGAGGTAGGGTTGTACCCACGGTGCTTCTTCTTTTGCGACAGACTCTGCTCAGCGATCTTGACGTATCGCTCCCTGGTCTGGAGTCTCTTTATCCCACGCTCAGTATCATTGACCGAGGCAGCAGAAGCCCAAACATTGAAAAACTGTGCGACGCTGTCAGCAAAGGTCCACCGCATAGGCCAAACATTTGGGCTTGGTTCACCTTGACTAGTTCCTCAAATTCTCGCACGAGTTCCTGCTCATCGCGATCGGCGTTGGCAAGCGCCTCTTCGTAGCGAGCCTCGAATTCATCCCAGTCAAAGGGTGCCAGATGTCCAGGTGTGCTAGGAGATCTTTCGCCGGGGTCTTTGTGGCCGTTCAGACGATCTCTGGACTGGCGAGGCTCTGGGGTCTTGACCTGCGGGCGATTGCCTTGATGCTTGGAAAAGGCAGTCTGTGCATCTGCCATGGTGTCGGGAAAGACGGGTTTCAGAGGATTGTTTCTGGTTATCTCCGCCTGTGGAACGGGAAGAATGGGTGACTCGGGTGACTCGGGGGTCTTTGCCGGCGACTCGTGACCGGGCATCTGGGAGGAAGATTGAGAGTGTGACGCGCTGGCCATGAGAGCCGATTGGATGTTTTGGTTTGGTTTTGGTTTGTTTGTTTCTTGGTGTTTGGCTCGACACCATGAGGTAACTGGGTACTTGTATTTGTACCCAAGCCAAGCTTCGGGCTTGGCGAGTGCCCCACCACTGCACATGCTCAATGCAGCTCACGGGCTGGGAGGGGCCAATGAGCTACTTGGGAGAAATGGTGGGCCAGCCGGTCGAAGAGCTCAAATTCCATACGTTCCGCGGCCTTGGGGCCGGCCAGAATCTCTCCCATCATATCTGAACCAGGCGGGAAATCCTGTTCATACAACGGTTCTCCTATCCCTCTCATATTTGTAAGGACCGCCTGGCGGAAATGCCAGCGAAAGAGAGAATCCGGCGGGCGGCGGGGATCGTTGAGTAGGCGGCTGTCGAGACTTTGCCCAGCTAGTTGGTCCAAGTCGTCAATGAAAAAGATAATCTTGTATCCGTTCTATACAAGGTTAGTGGCTGTAGAATACACAATGATAATATGGAAACGTACGTCAGGATTAATAGAGAACGCATATTGATCGAAGAGCTGATGGAGATCGGACCTGAGAAGAATACCATTCTGTACAGAATTGATCTTTCCCCCTTGAGGTGGATCAGTTGTGATCCAACGGCCATAACCGCTCTCTATCCAGTATTGTTCGTATGCAAGTGGGAAGATGTGTGCCGCTTCAAATCCTAACCACATATCATACTGAGCCCGACGATTTTCGACTTTCGAAACAACACAACCACCGTCGCGAGCTTGGACTTGTTCTTTAAATGATTTCACTCTGGTCCCTGTATCGATGGAGTGTGCTCGCGTATATGCCACTTCGTTGTTGACCTTCGTGATATCATTAGGAAAAAAATCAAGCTGAACACTCATCTGGCAACTCACATCGACACTGTCTGCAATAACAGTATAGTCTCCAGGGAGAAGGGGCTGGCCATCTTGGAGGATTTCTTCCCCATGTTCGTTTTGAACAACGCAATCGTTGGACGTGATGAGAAGGATGTGAAGCATTTGGTGGAAGTCAGTGTTGGTGATGCCGGCTGTGAGGGTCAAGCCACCCAAAGGAATGCGATTTTCATTGTCGCCGTTCAAATGCCAGATGAACACGTTGCGAGAGAGAAATCGCTTGCCCGGCATCTCTGAGGTTTTGACGCGTCGCGAATGAGAGATCGTGGGGGTGGTCGACTGAGATGCCGCGAGCAGGGGGGATTGATTAGTGGCTTGTGGTGTGGGGAAGGGCCACCTTCTGCCCAAAAAATGCTGAACTTAAAAAAGGAGCGAAAGTCAAGAAAAAGAAAAGGAAATGAAGGAAACCAAGTTAAAAAAAGGAAAAAAAAAAAGAGAGAGAGAGAGGCGAAGAAACCGGAGTAAAAGAACTCAAATGAGAGAAATCGAGGCAAAAAAAAAAAAGGAAAACTTCGTGTTCTCGAATGGCTTCTTTCGTTCTTCTCGTCGAAGACTTCGTCGTAGGGGTTCGGCTTTTTTTGTTCTTGGGGTGCGTGCCCAGGCTGCAGCGCGATAGTTAGAGGGCCCTTGCACTGACTGACTGTGGTTTCCTTCGTTGTCCGTGAGACTTTGAGAACAGGTGACTCGAGATTTTGAAGTCACCCGATATCCCCCAGCTTCCACTGTTTTCTGGTTTGGTGCGGAAGCCGTTTCTGATTTTGTTCTCCCGAACAACAAAGGAAACCCGAGATAGATTCCCAGGTTGCCTCATGATCAGGACCATATCACGCCGCCACGCGATCCGATCCCTGAAGTGCAAGGCCGCCACAGTGCAGCAGAGCCAATTGCCCGAACATATAAAAGGCCTGCCTTTGCCTGCCCGCTGCCTTCCTGCCCACATTTCTTCTCTAAACACCCACAAAACCGACGAAGCTGGCCATGATGAATTGCAGCATTTGCCACCGCCCGCACCATGCGAGGAAGCTGCCGTTTCTTTGTGCCATGGATGCGAGGAACTGCCTGTATGAGAGCCGAATCGACTACGTCCAGGCGCTGATTGAGAACGAAGATGCTGAGCGCCGGGTTGAGGCCGTTTTATCGAGCGAGGCCGACCGGTTGAAGACTGAGGAGGCCGCTGCTCGCGACCGAACGAGCCAGATCATTGCGCAAGCCGATCGGTTGAAGAGCGAGATCGATGCTGCGCAGAAGGAGATTGCTGCGAGGAAGGATGCAATCGCGAGGAGGAAGTCGGATCTGGCGTCGGTTTCAGCTGGCACTCAGGCAAGGCGCAACAGACAGCTGGAGGAGGCCGAGCGATCTTGCCAGAGGCTGAGGTATAAGTGGAATCGCTGTGCCGACAGTATCGCCGACGTCAGAGGATTTCTGTGCGAAGGGTCTGCCAGGCTATATGGCCTTCGTCAAGTCAAGAAAGGCAGCATCAAGCGGTATGAGATTGGCGGGGTCGAGATTATAGACCTTCATGCCATGAATAGTAAGTTATGTGTACTCGCTTGATGGTCGCCGCTGCCGGAGGAGATGTGTTCTTTTTGGAGTTGTTGGACTCTTGACTGACGATGCTGGCAGGTTTGTCGCCCGAGGTGATTTCGACCTCCCTTGCGCACATTGCCCATATTTTGGTGTTGGCTGCCCGTTATTTGGGGATTCGGCTGCCGGCGGAGATCACGGTTCCCCATGCAGACTACCCGCGACCGACCATCTTCTCGCTTGCGTCATCTTACAAGCATGGAGAGGTGGCTTTCCCCGGATCGCTGGTGTCGCAGATTCCGTTCGTGAGAGAGGATGGTACCGATCTGGAGCATGTTCCGCGGCCTCGTCCGTTGTTTCTCGACAAGTCGCTCCCCACACTGGTTAGGGAAGATCCCTCCGCATACAAGTTATTCTTGGAGGGGGTGTCTCTGCTGGCATACGACATCGCTTGGGCATGTTGCTCGCAAGGTGTCTCGTTTGGCGACAGGACTCGTATGAGGATGTGTGTAATATGGGCCAGAATCTGTGGCGTCTCCTCATCGGCGACCAACTGCACCGTCGGTCTGTCGAGCCGCCCTTCCGCTCCTCGCTCACTCCGCCGACAGGGAGCCCTAGGGATGAGGATCGTGGCGAGATGACCAACACAAAATCGACTATGGGTCGTTGGTCGCACGCGACGTTGCACAGCTTTCTTGGGGGAGCCGAGGGTAGCGAATTCGTTAGGAGCTTCAAGATCATGCCGCCCCTCAAGCTCACAGATCAACTCAAGAAGCGCCTAGCGAGCGAAGCCCCGATGCTGGAATGGGAGAAGATCGAGGGCGACGAGTTCGATGACGGTTTCGACGACGGCGTGTTGGTGCGTGGTCATGATAGCGGTGGATCGAGTATCGGGCGCGGCGACCTCGGCGCTGCGAGCATCATGACAGTGAGGACTGTAGGGTCGAACGGCGGCGTGTCCGACAACGCGAAGAGGACCAGTGGTTGGACAAGGTTGAAGAGCCGGTAGACAACATAGACTAGACAATGGTTGCGGAGACAACAAAAAGACCGGAGGCCCCTTTCTGGCCCACCCTCCCTACCGTATGCCAGAAAGAGCTGATAATGCTCGCGGTCTTGATGTGTCCCGGTCCCCATTTTGCTGCCTGCAATGATTGAGCCCCTTCTCTGAATCGCTCTACTCCTCCTCGCTCTCGGTGGAGTCGTCCCAGTCGACGTAGTCCTCTTTATCCTCTTGGACCTCCGCTTGCCGCCTCGTTCGCTCGGCGGCCTCCGCTTTCCGCTTCAATCGCTGGGCGGCGTCTCCTTCCGGTTGAGCGGGACGGTCTGGAGCGGAGGTGTCATCCTCCCGGCTGAGGAAACGAGCTTCCTCTTCCCCGGACTCCAGCGATGAGAGGGGAGTCGGGGCAGCCTTCTCCCGAGCGGCAGACTGTGCGACGGCAAGCGAATATGTCAGGTTGAACTTCTCCGCCGCCGCAGCTTGCGCCGCAAGTTGAGCTCGCACGGCCGCTCGCGCTGCAGCATCCGCCCTGATCCCAAGCTTGGCCTTGGCCTTCCCCTTGGGGTCGGCCGCGTCCTCCTCTGCCTGGGTATCAGTCGTCACCTTGCCATCGGATCCGACGTCGCCCTCACCGCTCGTCGCCGCCGACGACGCAGCCCGACGGGCGTTCTCCTCGTCCATCTCCGCCTCGGCCGCGGCGAGTTCCGCCAAGACGTCCTCGTCCAGCTCGCACTCGGACGAGGCGGCGGCGGCAGCAGCAGCACCCATCTGCGACGACTCGGCCACGACAGCCTGCACCTGGGCCGGAGGCAGCCGCGAGAGTCTGCCCCGGGCGGGGAGGATTCTGCGCGCTGCCGGATTGGCCGGCACCAGGCGCGGGGCGAGCTGAGGACTGGCGGCCTCGGAGAAAACGGACTCCTCGTCGTCGGACAGTTCGGTCGGGAGCGCCGCGGGTGTCGTCGCCGTTGAATCCGTCCCGAGGACGGACTAGAACACCGGCTCGACGGGCGTCGGGATCGTCTGAGGGACCGTTGTGGTTGGTCCGAAGTCGATGGGGATGGGCGGGCCGGTGGTGGTGGTGGGTGCGTGGGTGGTGGTGCTGGTGGCGGCGGGGGTGGTGCTGGGCGTGATGGGCAGGAAGAGGCCGTTGGGGGTCACGTAGGCTATGCCGTCGTATTTGTCCTTTGTGTCCTCATCGGCCTCCCCCTCCCCATCCTCCTCCGCCTGCGCCTGCGCCTCTTCCTCTCCTTCGTCGCCAGAGAAGTCGCCGAACAGGGAGTCACCGTCGGGATGGCTGCCGGGGTCGAGGTGTTGCATGTCCCCGTCGGTCAAGGAGGTGTCCGAGATGTCGGAGTAGGTGCCCCGGTCGGCGAGGGCGTCGATAGCCTCAGGCCAGTAGCCAGTGTTGGATCCCTGCGCCAAGCGTTCCTCGTCGGCGTCGACGCTTGCGTAGTATGCATCCAGCGCCACGAGGGTGGCCTCTCGGGTCGCGTCCGAGCTCGCCGTCAAGTCGCCGTTTATGGCGTTCTGCCCGCCCTCAGCAACAACCCCGAATGTCTGCTCGGGCGCAACGCTCGTCATCTCCTCCACCTCGGCCTGCGTTGGGATCCCCTGGCCCAACTCCTGCTGGTGGACTTGTTCGAGATGCGGCTGCTGCTCCGGGCTGACCTGCGGATGCTCCTCTGCCAAAGACATGACGCGCCCCAGATACTCATGTATGGTATCCAATATTACCCCGCTCTCTATGGCGAGTTCGGCGGACTGAGGGGCGGCGAGCTCCGACTGCTCGGACATCTCCGCGTCGGCACACAAGGGCTCGTCGGTGGCCATCGGGTCGTCGGCACCGGTGTTCTCGCCCATGACGCAGTCCTGCTCCTCGTTTGAGGCCTCGGTCGTGGTCATGTTGACGGGGCTTGTGACGTACCCGACCGTCTGCAGTCCGTAGGCGCCGAGTATGGAGGGCCGGAGTGGTTGGGCGGGGTGGTGTAGCTCGGTCATCTCTTCATCCTCGGCCGGGGGTGAGATGTCGAGACTTGTCATGGCCAACTGCGCCGTCTCCAGATCTTGATTGGAAGCGCCGGTCTCTGGTTCGTGGGCGTCGGGTAGCCAAACCCCATCTTCCTGCTCCGCCATGGAGGTTTGTTCGAGGAATGGCTCCACTCCCATCGTCACATCCTCCTCAAACGAGGTCTCAGTGACCGACTGCGTTGGTGGGTCGGCGTCCATTGGTTCCTCGGTAACCTCATCATCAGCCTTCACCGTCCTCTCCATAGGAGTCTCGGGTTCCTCGGTGATGTGGTCAACTCCGACCTTGGCCTCTCCCTGCTCCACCTCAGGGGTAGTAGGCTCTTCGGCGAGTGACAGTTGGGGGTTTGTGATGGTAACCGGTTCGGCGAGTGTGACGGGCTCGGCCTCCGGTTCCTCGGCCACCTGGTCCAGCTCGGCGGCTTCCTCGCTCGCCCAGACGTCCTCGAACTCAATGTCGGATTCCTCAGAGTCCGAATCCTCTGGCTCGGGGTCCTCCGGCTTATGATCCTCCGGCTCGGGGAGGGTAAAGCGGACCTTCTTGGGCGCCGTTGCCCTCGCGGGCTCGGGCTCTTCAGGCACCGCGGCCACAAACACTGGCGCAACGGCAACCTCAGCCACTGCCACGGTCTCCTCACCCCGCCCCTCCAATGAAGGCTTGGGGTGGTTGTCTACCGTGGCGACGGTGGCGGGGTCGGCGATGGCAGAGTCAACGACAGGGGTGTCGATGACGTCGGTGTTGGGGATGGCGGCGCTGGGTGAGGATGCCGTGGCGACGACGGCGGAATCGACAAAGTCAGCGACTGTGCTGACGGTGGTGACGGCGTTGGTGTCGATGTTGGTGTTGGGACCGACGCCCAATAGCCCGTCCAGCCGGCTCTCCGCAAATGCGGACTCGAGCACGGCCGTCTGGGTGGCAACCACAGCGCGCGCGGCTTCCCATGCGGCCCTCAGCCGGCTCTCCTCCGCCAATGCGGACTCGAGCGCGACCTCGGCTGCCCGACGGGTCTCGGCGGCGGCGATGCGCTGTGCCTCTGCAGCCAGAGCGCGAGCTCCAGCCGCGTCCTCGGCGATGGTTGCGTGCGAGACTTCTGTCGTCTCGGGGGTGCGGTCTCTGTCGCAGAGGCGGCGCTTAGCCCGTCTTTCGTCCCGGCGCCTCTCGACGTACTCCCGGCGGAGAATATCGGAACGACTGGCGATCTTTCTGTTAAACTCGTGGGGGGTGGTGGCAAAGCGACCGGCATCGCTGGCGGCGCGGCGCTCCACGCGCACCCGGTCCTCGTGCTCCCGCCGCAGGTGCTCCTGGTGCCGCCGTGCCCTCTAGGCAACAGTGGAACCCAGTCGCTCCTGGGCGGTGCGGACGAGACCTTCTTCTCTCTCTGCGGGAAGGTGGGTGGGGGAGGCGGCGGCGGCGTTCTCCTCGGCGGTCGGCGGGGAAGGAGGCGGCGGAGGGAGAGCCAGGTCGGTGCGACGTCGGGGAGGCGGGGAGGCGGGCGGAGAGGGGAGAGGGGCGGTATTGGCGGCCGGGCCGGGGGAGTCGGCTTCGGCGGCGGGGGTGACGGTAATAGGAGCCGTGTCGGGGGAGTCGACAACGTCGAGGATGGTGGAGGTGGTGGCGGCGGCAGTATCCTCCTCCTCCCGGATCCACTCCTCTGGTCTGCGGGTGACGATTCTGGCGGTACGCGCAATTTCCCATTGTCGGCGAGATTCTTCCAGAATAAACGCAGTGCGCTGGTCATCCTCACAGTCCAGAATCTGGTCGCTGATTCTTTGGATCTCTCGTGACCTGAGCTTCGACTGGTCCTCCAGCTTGGCAATGCCTTGCTGGTTACGCTCCATTGCCGCTTCGATGCGAACAATAGCTTGTTCGGACCAGTAAACGCTCAGGTCGATCCTGTGACGCAAGCGGTACCAGTGGCTGATGGGGGGAACCGGGCCGTCTTCAGGAGCCGCGATCTCAATCCGACCAGTGAACTCAGTCAGCCGAAGCCTCTTGAACTTCTCGGTTGGCCATACCTGAGCCTCGCTCCAGGCATTATTGGCATCCAGAGAAAGCCGAGTGACTTCATCGTTCAGCTTGTCGAGTCTGTTCTTCTGCTCGCTATACTGGCGTTTCACCGACTCGAGTTTGCCACGCTTCTCGACCCGTTTCTCCTTGTCGACGCAGACATAGTCTGCGAAATCTCCAAGCTGGTCCAGTGCCCAGCTTTTCCAAAGGAAATACTTCCTTTGGATCGGCAGGACGAAAGGACTCACAGCGAGGAGCAAGAGAGGTCGGACGAGATTGCGGTACGCCCAAGAGACGGAGATAACGACAGTATTCAACTTGAAGGCATTGATGAACCTCCAAGCAGCGCCGAAGACCTGATCGCGGACCAGAGTGGCCCAACGAGCGGCTTCTGCAGATAAACACGCCCGGATCTGATTGATCCGGTCGGAAATCACGGGGAGGCGCTCCCGAAGACGGACGGAGGTGTAGCGGTATACGCTAGCCAGGGTAAATACTACGTGGCATGTTAGCCATTCCGGTCGCGTGCCTAGTCAAGAGAAATTCTAATTGATTGCGATGAGTTTACGGCAACCCGAGATGAGATGGCTTACAGGAGGTGATGATGTGGACGTAGTCCACAATGGATCGGGGCCCAAAGATGAGCTCACCCATCACCTCGAACACGTTGGTGTCGTCGCCGCACCAAGCTGTGCCGATGGTGATGAAGGCCATCAAGCCCACGAAGACGAGGTAAAGAGTTGTCGAAAACATTTCTATTGAGCGAAGGGTTCATCAGGTTAGCCAAGCTGTCTCTCTTCTTGACCCCATCGCGAGATGAACCGACCGATCGACTGGTCTGGCGACCGACCGATCAAAAGTCAGCGGTTTCGCGATGGGAAAATTAGAAGAGAGAAATACATACTGTTGAAAATCGGCAATTGACAACAATCGTTCTTTGGCAATATATTTTCGGTTGGATGTTTTGGACTGACGAAGGCAAGAGGAAATCTGAGAGGGGAAGAGGGCGAAGTGATGGGGGATTTATAGCCGTGGGCGAGCGGCCAACACGTGCGGCAGAATTTGTTTTGAAACTTGCTGGCTGTGAGCCCTACTTTGCGTTTTTACTTGGGTTGAGAATAAGAAAGCCCTACTTCCTGCCCGGTTCTCAAACTTTCTCACTGTGCCGGCGTGGAGGCAACCACTGGGCAAAAAACAAGTTATGAATCACCATCCAAGGGTGCGGCTGGGGGTAAACAATCCGCCTGTTCTACGGCAAGCGGAATAACGGAATAACGCCTTTGAGAGGACATCTCCTAAGTATTGTAGTAAGCGTTGGACTCGGCGAGCAGGACTCTGGCCCTCGGACTCAATACTTGTCGGTAGAGGCCCGGTCAAATAAACTTAAATATGTTTTAGGGCAACAAGTATTGCTTGCTGCTTACACATGGCATCACTTAAATAGGAATGCCGTGCCTCCCCTGGATATAAAACAGTTAGACAAGTGAACCCAGGAGTCACTGTGTTTATTTCGGGTTCCAAGTCTGGGTTGGAAGTACACCTGGCGTTTGGCAAGCAAATCCTGATTGTGTGATACGGTAAAACGCATAGCTACCTAGAACAACGTGTGTCAAGTGGCAGTATGTTCAGTATGTTCATTGTTCTGGTACAGACAGTGCTTCAACGCCATATCGAGACTTTGCTGGGTCCTGATCACTACTTGCAAGGTAGAAAACGATTGGGCGTTTTGGGGAACCACATTACTGTCGAGCTCGGAGAACAGAAAGTCTGATCCAGCGCGTTTATCACAACCCGTTTAATTTTCAAGTGTACATCCCAAATGTCTGAGAGATTCCTATTTCTCGTAGGTGCTGGTTACCAGTTGAAAGACGAAATCACGCTCTTGAGGTTTTGAGTCAGGGCAACGCGAACTCTGAAGGCAAAAATGAGCAGCCCTTCAGTTTCTACATTGCAAAATTCAAAATAAAACCGAGTATAAACTCAGTACTATACCATGGGCATCATTTATTGCCGAGTCCTCCCTCGCTTGGATGGTATTGTTTGTGACCGACCTTGAAGATTCAGGGGCAAAGTCTTGGCATCAACAATAGCACTGCACTTTGTTCAAATTAAAACAATAAAAATGAACGGTGAAAACGCTGGATGTACGAGAAGTGATTTTCTCCCAAGACGCTCAAGATTTGTTTTACAGCCGGGCACTCACGAGGGAAGGGTGATGATGGTATTTGTGAATTGGGGGTCAATCAATGACGAACGACAAATTGCGTCAACATGAACCAAGAAGCATTAAAACGCGTGCGATAAATATATGTAAATTCCATAACTGTGATTTGGCTTGCAATTTGGCATATGATTTTCTATGGAATAACTAAGTGGTTTTTTACAGTTTTCCCTCGTTCTTGCCCACGAGAGTTGTCGGGATGACCGAGCTGACGTTGGGTCGTTGCGCGGGGCAACGTTGAGCCGCAACACCAATTGGGGATTGAGCGCCTTGGTGGAGGGCGGGGCAGCATCACCATGCAAAGTTCCAATTTTTGAGGATCAGGCTTCAATAAACAGGCATACGGAGAAGGCAGACATATATATTCCCGTAATCATGATACAATACATTCGTCATAGGGTATTATCGCATTTCAACCTGAGCTTCCCAACCCCAAACCGTGCCCTCGCACCCAACCCAGACCAACCAAGCCAACCCAGCCCATAGGACACTAAGAAACCGTTCCCAAGACCATTCACTGCTTCTGCTTCCCCTTCGCCAACAGCTTCTGATACAATTCCAAAACAGCCTCATCCCAACCCATCTCCCCACCCTCCTTCCCACCATCCCCATCACCACCAGCACCACCAACCCGCCCAATCCTCCCCGCCAAAAACTCCGTCATCTTCCCCACATTAAACGGCTCCCCATACACCACCCTCACCTCCGGCACAGCCACCACCTCAAGCCCACCACCACCACCATCCCGACTCCGCGCCTTCAAAGTAAGCACAACCTCGACCCTCGTCTGCAACGGCGCAACCAACACCGACGCCGTGACAGCCACCGCCGAAGCCGATGGCTCACCCTCACCCTCACCATCAGCCAACGCCACCGCGGCAGTGGTGGTCGGGAACGACAGGTTCAGCCGGCGGATATGTTCCGTCACGGCGGCGGCCTGTGTCCATGCCGCGCTGACCGTGCTGAGCAGGTGGCGGGGGGAGGTGGGTGGGGAGGTTTGGAGGTGGGCGCGGAGGTGGCGCAGGACGAATTCTTTTTCGAATGGGCATTGCCGGGGGGAGTCGGCGATGTAGTGTAGGTGGATGGGGGTGTTTGACTGCTGTTGCTTCTTTGGCGGTTGCTGGAGCGTGGCGAGGTCAAAGACGAGCTCGATTTCGCGCTTGTAGCGCATTGTGAGGGTGGTGCCGGCAATGGAGGAGATGGCCCAGCCGTGCTGCTTCTCGATTGCGTCTGTTTGGGCTGCGTATTGTTAGCGTGTGTTTGTCATGTATGGCTCGGTGTGTGCACGAGGGCTTACCTTTGTGCTTGCGGATCTCCTCCGATGACCACCCCCGGCACTCCTCGCGGATCTTGTCGGCTTCCTTGATTTCTTCCAGGTATTGTTGTTTTTGTTGTGTGAGTGCCTCGACGCTCTGGACGGACTCGTCCAATTCTTGGCGGAGTTCGGCGAGCTTTCTTGTCTTTTCCTCGATGCTCTTATCCACCGACGCCAGTTCGCTTCGTGCATCTTCGAGATCCTGCGGGTCGCAGTCCGCGAGCTCCTGCGCAACGGCCTCGAGGTCCCCATGCTCTAGTTCCAGCGCCTCAAACCGCTTTACCATATCTGGCAAAATGGACGATATAAGTTCTTGTTGCTTCGACAACAGCCGATCATCGTCGTCCATGCCTTCTGCGGTCTTCAGCAGGCCCTCTTTAAGGCCGTCCTGCAGCTTCATACGCCACTCATACCACATCGCTTTGCTGAGCAGCCGCGCGTGGGTCTTGACGTTCTTGAACTGGTTGTCCATCAAGACCTTGAACTCGGGCGACGCCGTCATGTACTCTCGGAATAGCGGCGGGTTCTCTTCGAAAGTCTCGGTTTCAATCTCATGGACGATGCGGCGGCCCTCGGAGATGTATTTCTTCAACTCACGGCAAGACTATGCACAGTTAGCACCGCGTCATTAAAACATTGGAGGGCTGCTCCTTACGTGCTGATACAACTCCCAGCCATGGGCAACGGTGCACGCGCCCCGCAACGACGCATCGTTCAAGGGGACAAGTCATCTTTCGTATCCGCCGAAGGTACTCTCTCTTGGACGCCCCCGGGAGCAACCGTGTGGTCTCCCTCTTGGGTCGTGGTCAACTCCATGAAAACGGATACTGAGTCATGGTTGAGGGAAACTCTTGCAAGTGGAATACGCTCTCCACTCATCTGTCCTGCGTGTATTTACGTTTTACATCCCGTTGGGGGTAGTGTGGTCGAGATCAACAGTGGCCGTTGGATGGTCGTCACTGGCACTCCTGAACCGGCTTTGGCCTTTAGGAGTTGTCGCTCTCTGTGGAGAGCTTGCCACGGTCGGCGTGGCATGGTCGTTATCGGGTTCAGACGGCCTGATGCTAGCTTTGCGTTTTCCTCCCGGTTGTAGTTTCGGCCTTTGACGGTGGTGACTGTAGTCTTATATTTTTGACCGGACTGCCTTGGTGGCCCTTAAGGCGCTTGACACCGTCCGTTTCTGAATCCTCGTCGTCTTCGAGCTCGGCCGGCCGTTTACCCAGGAGACCTCGGGCGCTACCGACATGGAGGCTCTTCCGCCCTCGGAAAGGGTTCTTTTTGGGACTCAAGCCTTGGATCATCTCCATCAAGTTGAGGGTCCCTTCGCGATCGTCCTGAGAACCGTTGACCTCCCGTTCGAGGATCCTCCTGCTGTCTTCCTTCTCTTGTTCATCCCGACGCTCCCTGTCAATTTCAGCCTCCATCTCTCGCGGATCCGCAAAGGCTACGTTCCGCCGGGGGTTCGCAGGTTGGCTCGGCACGAACTCGGGCGCTGCTTCCCCGATAGATTCTCTGCGGTCGAAGATCTCAGCAACTCGTGGCGAGCCCAGACCAGGCCGGTCAGCGCCGACTCCTGATAGCCGCCGACCCTGTGGCGTGAGAACGACATGAGGTGTGCTGAGCCCGGTACTCGGGTCTTGATGAAAAAGCTTCAATCTGGCGGGCGAACGCGGCGTGGCCTTGATCGGAGACGAGAGGTTTCGCATCGGTGAACTGGACCCGCTGCCAAATACTGAGGGCGGCGTCTTCGCGGAGCTCTGCCGTGTCTGAGCTGTAGTCCTCTTGGGTGACGGAGTGTGCCGCATCGGGGAACTGCTAGGTTGTGCTGGTGACTTGGCGACTAGCGAGGCTGCTGGCGAGATTGCGCGAGGTGGGCTGCGTCGAAGTCCCCTACCTTGGAATGGCGAACGCGTAGGGCTGGCGTTCTCGTCTCCAGCGTGAACAGTTGGCCGCTCTGGAGATGCCGAGCGTTCAGCGACTGGCGCAATAGATAGATGAGGCTCGTCAGCTTCCTGCTCCATGATCTTCCTTGCTGCAGTTCGCGCTTCTGGTGTCGATGCTGATTTGATGATGCCTCCCACAGCCCATTGTTCATATCCCATCCCCCATTGTTTGGTCTCCGTCCTCGTCCCCCCGCTTCAGCCCGAGAAAATCCGACCAACACCCACTGTCACATCCATCATAGCGCCGTCCTCGTCTTCATCCCTCATCCCTCTGCAGCTATTGTCCGCCGCCGGTTGTTCTGTCGGCCACCCGGCAAAAGGCCACCCATAGCGGTCGTGAACTCCATAGACATGTCTTCATTGACCTCCGTGTCGTCATGAGTACCGTCGGATATTCGGGCCTGTTGGATACCACCGACCGCCGTTGTGAAATCCATAGTCTGCTCACCAGACTCGCCGTGTTCTGGTTGAGCATCAGGGATGACAGATTTGCGGCGTAAGAACGCCTTGGCTTTGGAGAGAATTCCACCGAGGGCTGTCGTGACGTCCATGGATAGATCCTCGTTTATTTCATCGTCCTTGTCGGGAGACGGAAGTTGGGGGTACAAAATTCCACCCGCCGCGCTAGTCAGGTCCATATCCATATCCATATCTGAGCCTTGGTCGCTAGCATTGTCGCCGGGGGGTTGGTTCGCCTGCACATTGCTTTGGTTAATACTCTCCTGCGACGGGTTTTTTCTGCCCCACCCCGCAAAGCCCGCGATGATTTCTTCGTCTTCGTCAATGCTCTGAGTGACAGCCCGCCGGGCAGCAAGCCGAAGATTCTCATCAAGACTCCCAGATGTGTCGCCACCAAAAGCGGACCTGGGGGAAGCTGTTGATGCCGATGTCATCTCTTCTGCGTCAACCGTCATGATGGTCCCGTCCTCGTCACTAGAACCTTCCATTTCTACAGCCTGAATTTCGGCATGCTCAAAGTCGGAATCGTAAACAGTAGAGGCAATGGTATCGTCGGATCCATACGTAGATGACGCGGCAGAGCTCCGCCGACGTTTCCTCTGATGAAGCTCTCTTTGGTTGGCTGGGGACTCGGCGATAGGGTCTTCTTCGATCTCATCCGGCGGGGTGGATGGCGGGTCTGAATCGGGGTGTTGCTGCGGTTCCTGCTGTTGTTGCTGTTGCTGCTGAGATGCTCGGCGCGTATGATCGGTAGAGGTGGTGGAGTCCTGCATTTCCTCAAGATCGTGGAACGTGTGTAATGTCGCCTCTGCCGCAAAGGACACTCGGCGGTTGGCGAGCGATTTCCTCCTTGCCTCTCTCCTGTCCTTTATCTCCTTTTCAAGCTGGACACGCTCCCGTTCCTCCCGTTCCCGCGCCGCAGCCTGTTGCTCCTCCTCGGTCCGCAAGGCAACCTTAGTCCCCCCGGTCTCGTTCGCGACATCGTTGCTTCCTGACGCTTGTTTCGGCTTAAAGGACGGGATATCGGGGATCAATGGTACGGTAGGCTTCAGAATCGACCGCGGGGTTGCGACAGCTAGGGACTATCAGGGGTCAGCAACCAAGTCTCCGACCGCTTCGGTGTTGGGTAGAGAACTCACAGCCCTGCGGTTCCCGTTGCCCATCTTAAGGGGATCGAGTCCGCCAGGCCCCATGCTTTTGCTTCGAGATTTCTTCCTAGTGGCCCCCGTAGCACTGCCAACATCGAGTGTCGCATTTTCCTTATCGAGTGTCCTCCTCGTTGATGGGCCGCCTCCGATTGACTTGCGAGTTCGACGCGTTGCCGGAACCGTGGCTTCGCCTTGTGGCGCCATCTTCACGCCGTCGATTCCCACGCGTTTTGTGTGTGTTGTAGTGGACGGGAATTTGTGTAGGTGCTGGGGTCGTTTCGAGACGCGACGCGGGCCCTGAAAGTTCGCGACAGGCCGTTTGACGGCGGAGGGGCAACTTGTTGACCTCCTGCACTGCTTGATTGGGCAACACAGAGAAAGTCAACAAGAAGTGTGCTCACTCGTTCACCATGCATATGGAGCTGGGGACTGTGGCTCGAGCACCTTGCCAAGTCAGCACCATCTCGTCTCTCTTTGTATCTTCAGGTTGACCTACTTGTACCTGCATTGACATGGGGTGCAGCAAAAGAGACACTGGAAATTCTGGTGCTCCCTGACTCAATGGTACCTTAAATGCGGTATATCCATACCTCAAATTCTCTTGTTTTTCTCGATTAGAATTCATCTCAGGACACTGTTTACATGTAAGATCAAAGATACGAATGAGAAAAGAGACGTTCTGGGTTCTAGCTGCTGCAGATTCCTATCCATCCTCTTTAAGCATTTTCAATCCTTGGTTCGGCCTAAACCGCATGGCCGTTCTCAAAACCACATCACAGTTGTTGCTGGCTTACACGTCCAAACATCCTCAACTTCCAAACTCTTTTGGGTGGAAGTGGGGCTTCAAGAAGGAGTGCTGGCCATTAAACGTCCGTGCGCTCGGGCACGTGAAAGAATGGCCCGAGCTTCTGCACAATCGTAGCCAAGCAGTGTGCGACACCCACAAAATTCAATAGGCAAAAATTCCGAGAATTTCGACAACCGCCCCTCGACACCAGTACATCTTGGTTCACGCCCAACCGACAATATGGCTACCGAACTGACCGTCCAGAGCGAGCGCGCTTTCCAGAAGCAGCCGCACAGTGAGTTTTTCTCGAAATGGCTGCATTCGAGTGCAGCGAAGAAATAGCGATGAAGCGGACACTGACGGCAGCAACCCCACAGTCTTCCTCAACAGCAAGACCAAGGTCAAGTCTTCCCGGCCGGGCAAGGGCGGTCGGAGATGGTACAAGGACGTTGGTCTGGGTTTCCGTACCCCTACCACTGCCATTGAGGGCCAGTACATCGGTACGTAAACGAAAAACACGCGCGCGCGCTCCCAGCCGACCGACTCGCTCCGATTCCACGCGACGACAATGACGTTTCGCCGACAAGAGAGGAATTGGCGGAAAGAGGTGGCCATATTGGTGTAAAGAAAAACAGTGGTTGACAGGTGTTTCTCTGCAGACAAGAAGTGCCCCTTCACCGGCATGGTTTCCATCCGCGGCCGTATCCTGACCGGCACCGTTGTCTCTACCAAGATGCACCGTACCATCATCATCCGCCGCGAATACCTCCACTACATCCCCAAGTACAACCGGTACGAGAAGCGCCACAAGAACCTCGCCGCGCACGTGTCGCCGGGCTTTCCGTGTTGAGGAGGGTGACCAGGTTACCGTTGGCCAGTGCCGGCCTCTGAGCAAGACCGTACGTTCTCGAGATTTCCGCACCATTGGGCCATTCCCGCGAGGCGCAGCCCAGACGCGCCGCAACATAGACTGACTGGCTGAAACAGGTGCGGTTCAACGTTCTCCGCGTGCTTCCCCGGACCGGCAAGGCGGTCAAGAAGTTCAGCAAGTTCTAAAGGGTTGGCGGGGTCTTTCCATTGGGCATTTCTGGCGTGGTTTGCTTTGAGGGACTTGAGCTTATCAGAAACGGGACGGCTAGGCAGGAAAAAATAACTGCTCCGGAGGACATGATCATGTGCCATAGAGGCAGGTCTTTCTGAATGAAATCCGCCAAGTGAAACTTAACAGGCGCTATGATACCCTCGCAAGGGCGATGTACTGTAGATCAGTTGCCGCGAGCTCGCAAATGACGAGCCCAGATGAGACTCACAGTCCCAAATCAACCACCAGTCAAGCCATCGCTTGAGTCCCATCAGTGATTTTCCCATCCATGTCCATACGATAGCATTCAACCGCTTCTCTAGGCCTCGCAGGCCAGGCCTCCTGGCAAGGCATTGGGGTTTGTATTGGTGGGAGTGATAGCATACATAAAACTTGATCAGTCCGTATGCTTTTGAGGGGGCCAATGTACCTATGTATGTACCACCTCGTTAGTATTTGAATTAGTATTAAAGTACTTGCGGAGAAAAAAGCAGGCATAGTGGCATATTCGGCGTCTGAATCTCCCTCAACGACATATTTACAGTTAAGTAGCCAAATAACGTTGCACCCGAGCGAAACCTTCATCATTCTCAATACCGAGCCACAAGGATGCCGTTATGAACAGGCTGACACGGCCTTCAAGCCAAGTCAGACATATTGAAAGACACAAGTTGGATTTATTACGCCCCTTGATAAACCCGCCCATCATGATAAGAGAGGCAGTACTAAGCCCAAGTCCAGACCACGAACCAACCCCAAACCACCCAAACAATATAACAAACATGAAACCACCACCTCCTCTTTCTCCCTTTCATCATTTAGAAAAACTCTCCAGCCTATCACCGGGAGACATGCATCTCCCAGCTCCACACCCCACATAACCGCCACGCCCAAGATCCACGTCATACCATGGCCCAAAGCACCGGAGGAGTGGTCCCACAGAAAGCCCGAGTTTCAACGCCTTAGACCCACGAGCCTCCAGTCCTACCGCTCATCCATCCAAGCGCAGCGAGCAGAAAATAGGTGTACTACAAGCCCTCTCCCAGCAAGAGTGTAGCCGCCCGTGCTGCCAGCGTGCTCGACGCCGTGGAAGGCGTCTCCGAACGCCGAGTCCTCCAGGTCCAGGTTCAGCTCGTCGCCGCTCGGCGGGTCGTAGTTCGCCAGCGCATCGCCGGCCGTGTCGAGGTCGCCCAGCGAGCCAAAGTCGTTGTTGTCCGCGTCTAGACCACCGGCGATGCCACCGCCGACGCCGCCGCCAGGTGTGACGGCCGCAGAGACGAGCTTGTTCTCTGCCGCTGTCGTGGTGGCGGCGGTAACGGCGAGTTGAGTTGCCGAGGCGGTAGCTGCCGGAGAGATGGTGTCGTCGTTGGAGACGACGACCCAATCGCCGCTTCCGGTGCCTTGGTCGGGTGCGGTGGCAACGTCTTTGGGGGGTTCGACATCAACCATTTGGGTGTCTTGTTGCACTGGGGGTTGAGAGACGGGTACAGGCGCAGGAGAAGGAGAAGGGACGTGGAGGTTGGATGGCGTGGCAGCGTTGGAGGGGATGGCGGATAGGTGAGGCTGCGGGATTGGGAAGCTGTTCATTGGGATTGATGTAGACGAGAAGCCGGTATGCATATCCAACAGGCCGGCCGCTGTGCCGCCCATGTCAATGTCTGAGTCGCTGATCATGACTCCAGACCCGGCTTGGGATGGCTGCCGGGACATAGCACCTGGTAGGTTAGCACCTGCCGGTGCCTGAGGCTGCGGCTGCAGAAGTTCTGGTTCAGGCGCCGGTTGCTGATAACCGCCGTCCTGAACGCGGTGAACGTCGTTGACGACGACGGCACGCTTGCTGACCAGCTCCTCAACACGAGCAACAATCTCGTCCAGCGACTTGGACGCGCCCTGGTTCCACTGACTGCCAACTTCATCACCGTCCTCGAGCCGCCCCTCAAGCCGCCATATCTCAGTCCCGGTGCTTTCAACGGCGCCGCGCAGGTCTTTTTCCGCATTCTTGATCGCAGCATTGCCCTTGAACTTTGCCATGACTGCTTCGTGTTGCGCCTTGAGTTGTTCATTCTCGGCCGCGATGGCCTCATTTCGCTCTTGGACCCGCTTGCGGAACTCGGCCGCAAGACCTTCCCCGAGGTGGCCGGTGTATGGTTTCTTGGGTCCCGCGGAAACCGCATCGCCCCCCTGAGCCTCGAAAATCCCCTCAGTGAGCGAAGCAAGTTCGCCTTTCCGTCCCAGGCCAAGATCCGCCGCCTCGATCTGACCAATGCGATACGGGGAGGATAGTATCTCCTCCATCCACTCGTGGTTTTGCTGATATCGGGTCATGCTCAACTCGCGCGGGCTCAGATGATCGAACATGTCGCCGCGAGAGATGTCCTCCTCGTCGTCAAACGCAGTTTCGTTGCTCTGATACCCTGCACCCATCATCTGAGCCTGGTGTCCCGCGGGGGGATGCCCACCCCTCCTCTTTGGTGTAGGGCCAATCGCTGGGCCCGCGTGCGGAGGGTAGGCCATAGCCTGCGGAACATGGCGTTGCGGCATCGGCGGCGCATACATCGATTGGTCCTCGCTGAGGGAAAGGGAATTTGGTGGCCAGGTTGACCCGATCGGACAGCATAAACTCCTTACGGACAATTTGGCCCATCTGGAACAGATGTTGGCGGAAGCTGAGAATCGGTTGCATCGGAGGCGGAATGCCGATCGCATTGGCAGGCATTCTATCAGGCTTCTCGGCCGGCCCATAATGGACGATCCAGAGGTTAGGGTCGACCTGGGGCAGATTGGGCATCGGCACCTGCGGGGGGCAAAGTCGGAAGCGTCGCCTGGAGTGTACGGTGAACTGCTCGCCGATTCGGTAACCGGCCCTCTGAAAGAAAATCTCCAATCCCTATTTCGCCAGTCAGTTCACACATCCAGAGTCTACGAAGCAGCGTCCCGATTCAGGGACGGACGCTCTTACCAAGCCATTCCCCGCGCTCTGCTGGTAGGAAACCTCAGGCCCCACCCAAACATATCCGTCGCTAGCAAATTCGTTGGCCCGGCGAGCAGTCGGCTGCCAGGTGAGGAAGATTGAGCCGTCGGGCGGGCAATCGAGGTATGTCCAGTAAAAGGGCGCGGTGTCGCGAGCGATCTTTGGCGCTTGCAGAAGCCATTTCGTTACTTCGGGCAAGTCAACCCTCGGCATCGATGCATATCGAAACGTCGACAAGAGATGCACATGTGGGAGCTGGCGCGATGGGTTAGCATTTTTACGACGCGAGGTGGGCGGATTAGCCGTCAATCACGACTGCGCAAACGTACCAAGTCCCCATGAACGTTTTGACTTGGGTCACCAGCCATTGTTGAATCCCGGCAATGAGGGTGGGTTCAATGATGGTTTTTCGGACAATGGCGGAGCTATCGCATTTAGGACTCGGGGTTGTCGAGGCAGCGTCTTTTGTCTGAAGCGGATTTTGAGTTTTATTGGTGTGACGGTGATGGCAGGTGAATTGGGGTCTTGTCGCGGGACCGGGGCAAGCTTGGAGTTTGCGCCAGAGTCGCGCTTTTCGCGAATTGACTTGGAGTAGGTACGGAGGCTGCAGCGCTTGACACACCTGCGAAATTGCCAAGCCTGAGCAAGACCTTCCGTGATTAACTAAGTCACGTGGGTACGTCGTCACCAGCCAAAGATGTCCAGGGACTTCGGAACCTTCAGAGGCCAGGAACGCCGCGTTGCTCTCAAAACTTGCATTTACTTGCAATGGAATTTGGGTATTCATCGATAGTATTTTCTATCTCCATTTTACTCTACGTTCGTTTCGTAAGCTGTCAGCCCACAAGGCATTTCCATCATTAAACAACCCCTCCCCTTCCTATGATTTAATTTAAGCCTGGTATGTCGACGCCGCGACGTTGCCTCCACGTCCAGTCCAGTTGACGTGGATGTCCTTGCCCTCCTGGTACTTGGCGTTCGCCGCCTCGGGCTTGATGCGGAAAGTGTGGGCACCGAAGTAGTCACGCTGCGCCTGCAGCAGGTTGGCGGGCAGGTCCTTGGTACGGTAGCCATCGAACCACGACAGCGCCGTGGAGAAGGCCGGGGACGGGATACCGAGCAGGGCAGTTTTGGCAACAACGTCTCTCCAGCCGGGCTGCGCCTTGTGGATGGCCTTGTTGAAGAAGTCGTCGAAGAGGAGGTTCTCGAGGTCGGGGTTCTTGCGGTACGCCGCAGTGATGTCCTGCAAGAAGACGGAGCGGATGATGCACCCACCGCGCCACATGAGGGCAATCGACGGCTTGTTGAGCTTCCAGCCATACTCGCGGGCGGCCTCCTGCATGAGCATGAAGCCCTGGGCGTACGAGATGATCTTGGAGGCATAAAGGGCCTGCTCGAGGTCATCGAGGAACTGCTCCTTGTTGCCCTCGAAGGTGTTGACGCGGCCAACGAACTCAAGCTTGCCAGACGCCTTGACACGCTCCTCCTTGATGCCGGACAGGCAGCGGGCCAGGACGGCCTCAGCGATGAGAGTGACGGGCATGCCCAGGTCGAGCGCGTTGACAGCGGTCCACTTGCCGGTACCCTTCTGGCCGGCCTTGTCCAGGATCTTCTCGACGAGCGGGGTGCCATCTTCATCGTTGTAGTACAGGATATCCCGGGTGATCTCAATCAGGAAGGAATCCAGAACGCCCTTGTTCCACTTAGCGAAAACGTCGCCGATCTCCTTGCAGGACATGCCGAGGCCACGCTTCATGATGTCGTACGCCTGTGGTACGTTCGTCAGCCTCACGCGTTGCTAACAGGGACAGCAAGGGCAGCACATACCTCGCAAATGAGCTGCATGTCACCGTACTCGATACCGTTGTGCACCATCTTGACGTAGTGGCCAGCACCCTCGTCACCCACCCAGTCGCAGCAGTCCTCGCCATCGCTCTTGGCAGCGATGCTCTGGAAGATGCCCTTGATGTGAGGCCAGGCATCCTCATGACCACCGGGCATCAGAGAGGGGCCGTAGCGGGCACCCTCCTCGCCGCCGGAGACACCGGAGCCGACGAAACGGAGGCCCTTGGAAGCGAGGTACTTTGTCCTCCGGTTGGAGTCGGGGAAGTGGGAGTTGCCGCCGTCAATAATGATGTCGCCAGCCTCAAGGAGGGGCAGGAGGGTCTCGATCCAGTCGTCGACGGGCTTGCCGGCCTGGACAAGGAGCATGACACGACGGGGCCGCTTCAGCTTGGAAACGAACTCCTCCACAGAGTGGGCGCCGACGATGGACTTGCCCTTGGCCTCGTTGGCAAGGAAAACGTCGACCTTGGACACGGTGCGGTTGAAAGCGCAGACGGTGTAACCGTGGTCGGCCATGTTCATGATCAGGTTCTGACCCCTGCGCACGATTATCAGCCTCATGCCGGGCGCACCGGGGCTTTCGGGAAAGGGTAGGGGCGGCGACTTACATGACGGCCAGGCCGATGAGGCCGATATCAGCGCTGGCGCCATCGTTAGCATTTTCCTTAGAGGGTAGCGAAAAAGTGCCAGCTTTCAGAGCTCCGCCAACGTTGATGTTCGCTAGGCGGGCGCTGGAGGGAACTCAGTAGGTGGTAGAAAGAAAGCTGCCGGCCCCGCCGCGGGACAGTCAACACCCGGCGCAGCGCATCACTACAAAGCAACGCAGAGCAAAGCAAAGGCAATGAATGCGTGCTTGAGGTGCGGCCGCAAATGCGTGATGCGCGAGTTGTTCGGAAAATGACTCCAAAAGCTGTTGGAGGGGCAGACGGGAGGCGGGGAGGTGGGGGTAATTGCGACTTACACTGCGCCAGACATTGTGAGGGTTGTTTTGCTTTTTAGGTCTTCGATATGTCGATGACAGAAGCGTGACAGCTATGAGCTTCTCTGCTTGCGCAAGCTCGAGAAGTTCAAAAGTGGTGGTGTTGGATGGGAAAGTCCTCAGCCAAGAATGTCAATGGGGGGAAATGGAAGGAGGAAGAAATGGAGCCGTGGGGTGGGAAGGTGCATGACGAAACTTTTAATAGGAAGCGAGCTTCGATGTCGGAGGGGCTCAATCGCAGGACTGCCAGCTAAAGTGACAGCCACCGAAGGCCACCTCTCGAACGAACCCTGCGGGTAATTACCGCGGGGGCTTACTCAGTCATGACCTTGCTCTGCCTTCCTTCCACCATCTGGGCAGTTACGAAACACTCAAGCTGCCCCTCGGGGCTTTGTTCAGATCCATCATCTATTCCCTTGGCCGACGCCACTGACAGCCTTGTTTTCGGCTTTGGCTACCTGGCTACCTAGATTTTCATGACACTCGTCTTGCCCTCCTTCGATATTAGGTACTCTAACTGTGTTGCACAAAGAATAACTGAGGACCATCTCCCGAATTCACCACGAAGCCATAGGGTAATGGCAACAGGGTATCCCGGGACGGCAACAGCTGTTGTTTTGGCAACAGGGTTGCGTCTCTTCTCAAGCTTCGGCTTTGACGCCAAGAACCGCCCTGAGCTTCCTTGCTCACCTACGATAGGTACGCAGCACCGTCGGCATGACTGAGCCTTCATCAGGTTGCCATCGAGGTAACAGAGAGGCACAACATGGCGTTATTTTGGCCCTGGTCAGACATAGGGTGCGTCGAGTCGAGCATCTGTTGGTTTCGGAACCCGGACGCCGCGCGCCAGGGAACACGGCACAGGAAGGCGGGTCACACTCAGGGGGGACTCTGTGGTATGTTTCCAACTCCGGAAGCCGCCATACCAACTTGGGCAGCTTACAAAACAAGAGCGGCCCCAATGTCCATTGTTGACAATGCATTGCCGCCGGTCCCAGGGTGGGAGCCTTGGAAGTGTCCCCGGCCGGATGTCGGACTGGCATACTGTGTAGATTGGCACCAAGATATCGGCCCTTTCAACCGCAAGTTTCCGCGGATCGATCGGAGTTACACTGGTGGGATGTGCGCCTCGGACATCCAGAGCGCGGGTTGTTCGAGATGTTGCCCCCCACTGTCCAGACTCTTACGGCGCTTGATAACCCCACCAAAGAGGGATTGCAGAGATGCAGTTGCTGACCCAAATTCCCGCACTTGAGCCATTGTGTTTGGGGCTAATGATTTCAGGCTCTTTTAGGCCGGCCAATGGGAGAATCCTTGGACATGGTAGGGGTGAGGCGAGGAATTCTCTGCCTCCGATTGTCGTCCGTTTCCGATTCCGCTGTCTGGAAATGTTGAGCCAAGCGCCGCAAAACACCTAACTTAGGAGGGGTCCGTTGCCCCTCCATTGGGTGGAGGTTGGGGGCTTGGGGGGACAAGGAAACATCCCACGCTGCATGACGCGCAGGTTGTAATCACTGAGTGGGCAGCTAAAAGAACAGGGTGCGAAGCCTCAAATGAAAAGTCACGAATTTATGCTGTCCACAAAGCTGCACAGACCATCTCCAGCCCCAAAACTGTTCCTGTCGGGGTCCATCAAGATGCCCCACCTCTCCACGCCACACTCTTCAAAAAGTTCAGCCACTCGGCAAGCACCCTTGTGGCCTGGGCTCTTCTGACAGACACCGCAATTTCTCAAACACTTGCAAAGCAGGCGCGTCGTCATTACCTTGGCTATCGCATCTGGTCCCGTTTGCAGCTTTTTCGTGAGCCAGCCACAGCCAACTCGCCAACCCGATCCAAAGGTTGTAAGAGCATAGCCGCCACCGGACTGGGCTCACAGGTACGTCACAACTTACCGCGCATTGCTGCACAATACATTTCCCCCATCGGGCGCAAGAAATTCATCATGTCGTACCCGGGTCCTCCAGGTCATTCATCGCTCCCTCCGCGCCCACCGGCCAGCAAACTCTCGGGGTTCAAGCCCGCTTTCACCCCAGCACAAGTAGCACTTCCAGCTGCCTCGGGTGCCGGCTACACAGCACCCACACCGTCATACCCCGGCTACGGACCCCCCGCGACACGCCCTAGTTATGGCGCACCACCGTCTGCATCGCCCTACGCGGGTAACCCTTCAGCTCCCGCCATAGGCGCCGGCCGCGGGGGCTACGCCCAGACCGGAGCATACAGTTACGCGCCACCACAAACCTACTCACAACAGCCGCCTTCGTACTATGGTGCCTCTGCGGCCACCGGGAATTACTCGGCGCCACTTCAGATCCGAAACCCCTTTCCCGCGCCCGATAGCGCGGGCGCAGATTTCGACCCGGAGATGGCGGCACAAGTAGCCCAGTGGCAGAGCGCGTACATGCCCAAGGACCCCAACGACCCGACCAACAAGCCCGCCGCCAACAACGGCCGGGCCGGTGCCGGGACGCCGGGTGTCGCACAAGCCAACACGGCGGAGCCAATCGACAGCACCGCGAGCACGGACCCGAACGAGAGGCAAAAGACGGTCTATCGCGAGGGCGGCGGCAAGAAGTGGCAGGACGACTCGCTGCTGGAGTGGGACCCGGCGCACCTGCGGCTGTTCGTGGGCAACCTGGCGGGCGAGACGACGGACGAGTCGCTGCTCAAGGCGTTCGCGCGGTGGAAGAGCGTGCAAAAGGCCAAGGTGGTGCGCGACAAGCGCACCACCAAGAGCAAGGGGTTCGGGTTCGTCAGCTTCAGCGACCCGGAGGACTTCTTCCAGGCCGCCAAGGAGATGAACGGCAAGTACATCCAGAGCCACCCCGTCGTCGTGCACAAGGCCAAGACCGAGATCAAGCCGGCCATGGTCAAGGAGGACCGCAGGGGGAAGAAGAACCAGAGGAAGGGCGGGGGTAGTGGGAATAAGGGCGGTAGTGGCATGGGGGCTGGGGCCGCGGATGGTACGGGTGCGTATGAGCCGCATCTTGGGCCGATGGGGGGCAGCGGTATCACCAAGCCTGGGCAGAAAACGAAGGGCGGGTTGAAATTGCTCGGCTAGATGGTTTGGTTGGGCGGTCATTTTCGGCATTGCGGAATGGTAAAACTTAATGGATCGACCATCTGCTCTTAGCCAATAAGATACAGATACCAGAACCTTAAACCGAAGCCAGGACGAGGACGAAGTGTGTATATCAGCACGCCAAGCAAATGAGATATGTTCTATAATGCGTTGCCCAGTACCAACCCAACAGTGGTCTTGATGTGCCTGTCACCAAGTCTTTCTCCCGCGTTCCCAACTTTCCCTGCTCCAACCTTTCGGACACAAGCTAAATCGAAACACAAAAAGATACGCAGGTTATGTGGGTATCATGATAATGCCACTTTGAATCACGAGAACATGTATAAACGCAGAATTCAAACACGGCCTGTCCTCCCATCCCCCGACGCCCGCCTAGCATCGGGTGCCGATGCCAACTCCATCCCAGGCCCGGGAACAACATCCCTTTCCGTCGGCGGTGAACAGCACGGCGTCGCCGTCCACACTCCGGCCTCAACAAGCCCGCATCCTCCTGGTTCATCATCCCCGATCACTCCCCACTGCCGCTGCCACTACCACTCGGCGGAGTTGTCCTCCTCCTCGGCGGCCAAGTGGCCGCGGTGCACGTTGGTCTGGGCCTCACTGCGCATCTTGGGTGATCTTGATCCAGTTGTACGCGGCGATGGCGGCAATGGTGATCACCAGTGCCGATTAACGTTGGACGGCGGTCATGGTGTCGCCAAAGAACGAAGGGCGGGCGGCCAAGATGGTGGACGGCCCTCCTAGAAGATGCCCGCGATGGAGAGGGGGCACGACCGGAGGTGCGCTGCAGGCAGGGCGAACTCGGACGCCGTCATCAGGAAGGCGATGACACCCGGGAAGAGGATTGATCAGCGGGGCGAACGAGCCAGTCCCTTTCTCCTTCGGCGATGGTCTCCAGGCCGGCGAACAGGGCGCGCGGGCCCTCGACGGGGATGGCGATGCAGACGAGAGTGACTAACATGACGGGGGCGAGGAAGAAGATGCTGGAGAAGGGGTTCGACGTGGCCGGGTTGCGGAGCAGCAGGATCTGGGTTAGGGCCCAGCGGAAGCCTGAGAAGAAGGCCGCCGCGATGACGAGCACGAAGCCGCTCAGTCTGAACTCGACCTCGCCTGCCACCATCATCACGACGCCTAGAGTCATGGTGGCGATGATGCCTACAAGCTTCCAAGTCGGAGATTCGAGGCGGAATAGGAAGGCGAAAATCAGGACGAAGGCGAGTGAGGAAGATTTACACATGGCTAAAGGGGGGGGTTATTAGATGGGCCGAGTGGCATGGGGATCTGGCATCAGCTAGACTTACTGTAGAATGTAAGGGTGATGAACTGGAGCGAGGTGTTGCCCAAGCCAATGTCAAGGCCGGTCGCCACGCCGCAAGGTCCAATTCTTGTGAGATAGAACATCTTCGTCATGATGGGCCGTTCTGGCTCTGCTTCATGTCTTGACTGGCCCAAGTCGGACCTGTAGCCGTTCTTCGGCCGGAACGAGGGGAAAAGGAACAATACCAATGACGCCAAGGAAAATTGCACGAGGAAATGCATAGCGGTTGTGAACATAGGAAAACGAAAGTCGAGCTTGTCGGGTGAAAACATCCATTTGTTGTACTAAGCGGTAGTTAGCAAGCCGGTCCGTCTTAACACCATTCTGGATGGGGCATCATGTCCATACCAAGGATATCAATAAAGAGAAGAAATACCAGAGCCCAATCAGAATGCCATTGATCAACAGGCTCTTGGCGACGCTGCGGTCTGCCTCCTGCTTCTCCTCCGGGGAGATGTCGTCACTGACTACCCGCTGATCGAGCAACTGGTTTCTCCTCTTCTTCCGCTTCTTCCTCCGCCTGTCTTTCCCCGTCAGGCCCGTTTCCTCATCATCGTGGAGGTCTTCGTCGGTGAAACCACCCTCATCGGTCTCGTCGAGCCGTGGAGTCTCCCCATCGCTGCTCTCTTCAACAATCTTGCCCTCGCCGTCCACGGTGGAGGGGTTCCGAAGTGGCTGAGACCTCGCTCCTGGCGAGCGATGGCGATTATTTGAGGCATTGGCGGGATTGATGAGACTGCTTCGCCGGCGGCGGTGGCCGGAGGGCGTAACGGCATCCATCTCAATGTCGTCGGGACCCAGACCCGGGGCTGTGGATTGTGGGTTCAGACCCGTCCGGGGGGGTTCGGGAACCGGTGCAGCGGATACTCGGGGGTCCTGCGCTCCGCTGGTGACTGCTGTCGCGTGTCCCAGCGCTGAGGGCGCTGACGGGTGGGAAACGGGGGTTGAGGCAACCGAAATGCCAAAACTTTCTTCTAGAATGGAGGTCGGTGGAACAGGATCGGAGGAAGAAGTGCTCGATGAGAAAGGAACTGGCATTGTTTGGGCAAAGGACGAGGCCTCATCGTGGTCCAATTGCACAGGCGGCGTCGGGAGGCGCCCTTCGGCAAGGTCAAGCCGGACAATGCTTGCATGCCAGAAGGGCAGATGAGCAGTGGAGTTGCCGAGCACAAGACGCGACGGGGATTGGCTTTGGGGGGTCCAGATGACCGGGTCCCCGGTTGAGTCTCGACCCGGAGCAACACCTAACAGCTGTCCACAACTGACAGCTGCTGCTGGGGGTACACTGCCAAGGCGCCAGGCCAAGACCACTTACCTAACATTTGTGGCGGCATCAATGAGTTGGCGAGCTGGCTTCCTGCCTTGCCTGCTTCCTGCCTCCGAATCGCCAGTTCCAGAACTTGACAATTTCAACCCAGCACTTTCTCGCTTTGTTTTGAGCTTGGCTGTGCTTGGGTTCCAAAATGGTCGTATTCGCGGGCCTTGACTCTGAAAATCTGTCGTTTCAGGTGGACGGAATCCCTAGCTTGCTGAATTTTTAACCAGGCCGGCAAAAAAGGCAGCGATTCTTCCGAACTGAAACGGATGTGCGCCGGGATTTGGAGCTTGAATTGGGGAGGCTCGGGAGAGCAAGCGGCGGGAAGTTTAAGGTAGGACAGCAATGTCTTGGGTTCGAACTTGACCGCCTTTTACAGGAAACTTGACGGCATGTTACAGATTTGTACGAAGTATATCACAATGAGTTATTTGTACTTCAAACCTTGTCAGCTTAAACAGCAAGCCTGTCGATTTAACTCTTTCACCAGAACCTTTAACCGTACGACAAGATGGGATGGAGAGCGCACGATACCACCCGATCGGGCTTTACATGCGCCTCCAACACCGGCCCTATCATCAACGACTGGCTAGACTGGCAGACTGGGACCCGACTGAACGTTGCCACTCTCTCTCTCCCGCTCTCAGCTGCAAGCCCCACCGCGATTACTCAGGCGCGTTTGGGTCGCGCTGCGTCATGGCTGATCGACTCGGGCCCCTCCACTTACACATACGTCACGTAATCTGGACTCAGCACCGGCTCAGTGCCGGCTTCGAGCAGAGGCTTCCGCGCGCCGCTTCAGCATGTGCAGCGCAAGACAGCAGCATGCAACCAAGGTGGCTGACTCAGGATCACAATGCATCCCGCAGGACCCCAAGACCCCTAAGAGCCCAGATCCAGTCACTTAGAGATCGTAAAGCTGATCTGGAATGCGGGGTGATGCGACCTGAACCAGAACCGGTGTTCCCCCTTTCTCTACCCCGCAAGTCGTAGGTTAGGTGGTTGGACGTTAATGCATCTCCAAATTCCAAGTTGTTGTTATAAGCCATCCCTGAAGTCCTCCAGTCGCGTAGTGTAGTCTCCGCTGAAAATCTGAAAATCAAGTTCAAGCAAAGGAAACTCGGAAGCCGGGACTGGCGGTCCCAGATCATCCTTCCTCCCTCTGTTGACATCATTGTCCCATTGGTCATACCAACACCCAATCCGGTCCTCCCTTCAGCTCATGTTCATCTCAACACACCATAACCCGAACGCAGCCTGAACTTGGGCTACACTACACGACTTCTTGCCTCACTGCTAACGTCATTCTTGTGACACGCCCTCCACTGCCTTCTTAGGCTGTTTGTTTTTCACCATGGCTGCCCCTTGTTCGGCCCAGAATGAGAGCCAGATGCGGAAGTCCGGGGCTGGCTACCTCCCCATCGAGAACTATGGCTTGATTGGCAACATGAGAACCTGTGCTCTGGTTGGCATGGATGGTAGCGTCGATTTCATGTGCTGGTGAGTGTAGCGTGCTCATCAAAACAGTCCCATATTTCCCATCCGAGCCTTCCGATAATATGTTCTGTTTATACCGAGTCACTGATATTCCTCAGGCCCGAGTTTGACTCACCTTCCATCTTCTGCCGTCTTCTGGACAAGGATAAGGGGGGCTACTTCAGTATCCATCCGGCTGCCAACCTGAGCTGCACCACCAAACAACAATATCTCCCGTCATCAAACATCCTCCAGACCCGCTACATCCACGAGGATGGAGTTGTGGACCTCGTCGACTTCTTCCCCCGCCCAAAGAATGCCAAGGTCATCTTCAAGGGGCCGAAGCAGGGCGCTTACCGCGAGATGACGAGTGTCCAGGAGGAGCTCAAGCAGTGGTTAGTCCGCCGGGTCGAGTGCATCCGCGGCCGCCTTCAACTGGGTTAGTACGGGCAAGTCATCTAGGAGAATGGACATTCAGGCTGACAAGCTCTCCTCTGGCGGGTAGATGTTGAGATCTTCCCTGCCTTTGACTATGCTGCGGAACCACACACCACCACCGTGCTCCAGGAGGAAGGTATCCCGCACAGTCCTCAGAGCAAGACGGCAACCTTCCACAGCAAGAATGCCAAGCTTCAGCTCGACGTCAGCATAGACCGCGGCGAGGATAGCAACGAAAGCTGGCCTACCGTGCGCTTCAAGAAGGCCACGAAGCCCGGCATGCTAGGCGAGGGTGTGGTTGCCAGCGTCGATATCTGCGAGGGTCAAGCTGTGTCTTTCGTCATCCGGAACGATGTCGAAAACCACATCACTGAGAACATCACCAGCACCGTGCTTGACACACAGCAACACGACACCCAGACGTACTGGTATAACTGGATCTCCCGAAGCAAGTACAAGGGCCGCTGGCGCGAGGTCGTGGCGCGGAGTCTCATGATCTTGAAGCTCATGACCTACGAGCCGACGGGAGCCATCATCGCCTCCCCGACATTCTCCATCCCCGAAGACATCGGAGGCGTCCGGTGAGACAAAGACATTCTTTCCTAGACCCCTCACCCCCCCCCGCACCGTTCTAACGGACACACTGACCCCCAGATCAAGCAACTGGGATTACCGGTTCTCTTGGGTCCGCGATTCCAGTTTCACCATTTACATCCTGCTGCGCCTAGGATTCACCGAGGAGGCCGACGCCTACATGGAGTTCATCAGCGAGCGGTTCGTCAAGTCGCGGGTGGAGGACAGCGGGCTGCCCATCATGTTCACCATCCGGGGCGAGACGGACATTCCCGAGCGGGAGCTGACGCACCTGGACGGGTACCGGGGTAGCAAGCCGGTGCGGATCGGCAACGGGGCGGCCTTCCACCAGCAGTTCGACATCTACGGCGAGCTCATGGACGCCATCTATCTGTACAACAAGTACGGAAAGCCCGTCCACTGGGACCTGTGGTGCGCGGTGCGCAAGATGCTCGACTTTGTACTCACCATCATGGACCAGCCCGACATGTCCATCTGGGAGGTGCGCAACAACAAGCAGAACTTCACCTACTCCAAGGTGATGCTGTGGGTGGCCTTTGACCGCGGCCTGCGCCTATCGGAGAAGCGCAACTTCCCGTGCCCCAACCGCGTCAAGTGGCTGGCCGCCCGCGACAGCCTGTACGAGGAGGTCATGGAGAAAGGCTACAACAAGGAGATGAAGTGCTTTGTGCAGAGCTACGAGAGCCAGACCATGCTGGACTCGTCCATCCTCATTGCCCCGCTCGTCTTCTTCATCGCCCCCAACGACCCGCGCTTCCTCAACACCATGGACCGCATCATGCTGCCCCCCGACAAGGGCGGCCTGACCAGTACTGGGTTGGTGTACCGGTACGATACGGAGCTGTCCGAGGATGGTGAGTTACCATTTGTCCTTCTCAGTCCAAGATGACTGTCAGTTAACATCCCCTCTCCTCCCAGGTGTCGGCGGCCGCGAGGGTGCCTTCAGCATGTGCACGTTCTGGCTGGTGGAAGCCATGACGCGGGCGTCTGTCTACGAGCCCAAGTACCTGGTGCGCGCCATCAACCTGTTCGAGAACATGCTCAGCTTCTCCAACCACCTGATGATGTTCTCGGAAGAGATCTCCCGCAGCGGCGAGCAGCTGGGGAACACGCCGCAGGCTTTTAGCCACCTGGCTCTGATCAGCGCGGCGTTCAACCTGGATCGCGTGTCGGAGTTCAAGAAATAAAGGGGGACGGGGAAGTATTGGCAGGTGCTGGTTGCTTGTGTGTGCAGCGAAAGCTGCTCTTCAACTAGGCCGATTACTGTTCGAATGATATATCCTGCTACATATTACGAGGTCTCTGTTGATATGCCCTTGTGTGCCCCTGTTTCTGTGACCTTGTCGGCGATACATAATCAAGCAAAGGGGAAGCAACCCACGAAGTAATGGATTTCTTTATTCCACCCGGTTCCGAACGCCATCGCTATGCTTCCACTCCCGGTTGACTCTCCTCCCATCTTGCCACCATGCGGCGATCCGTGACATGTTGCTTCCATGGTTAACATATCCCAACACACAATACAGTAAATACTACGAAGCCGTCTCATGACAGGTCCATCTCATCCGCAATGCTGCGATCGCCGAGAGAGCTCAGCCCCGAACTAGGCGGCCGTGACTCCTCCCTGTCGCCATCCCCATTAACTTTCCCGAGGTGATTTTGCAGAACCGGGGGCTCAGGCGTTTTCTGGCCGGCGATCCGCCTCCGTTCCTCCCAAACGAAAATGCTGGGGCACTCGCCCCCTTCGACCAGCACATCACCGTGCTCGATGCTCTTGCCGAGTAGCGTGCCGAGATATTTCGAGTCGTCGTCGTTCTTGCTGTGCTTCTTCTTCAAGGCTGCTCCATGCATCAGCAACCACCCCACCACAATAGAAAAAAAAAAAAAAGAAGAACTCACCATCCAAATAATCCCCCGCCTCATCCACCCCATCCAGCGCGATCCTACTAATCTCCTTATTGAACGACCCCATCGCCCACGCAATGAAATTCTCCACGCCACGCATGTCCTCCTCCCCCAAATACTCCTGCTCCTCAGGCAACCGCTCGGGCAGCAACGCACCAGATCGCTGCAGCGCCATGCGCACGTCGACGATAGTCGGCGCGGGAATCACCGGGTTCACCACGGCCGCGCCCGTCGTCGCGGGCGCTGGTGCTGGCGCAGGCACAGACACAGACACACCGCCGACGCCCCCACCCTGGCCCTGGCCCCCGCCCTGGCCGTCGCCGTCGACGTCACCGATGGTGCTGCTGCGGCTGCTGCCGTGGCCGTTCGCGGTGGGGTGGTGCGGGGGGCCTAGTAATGATAGTAGTGATGACGGCGGGAGGTCCTCGTTGTTGTGCGCCGCGTAGACGGCCGTCAGCTGGCATAGGTGTAGGAAGTAGCGCGCGGCGAGGTCGGTGACCGAGTCGATGACGGAAGTCTTGGCGCTGTGGTAGCCCGTGGCGCGCAGGATCTGGAGGACGGCCGGGCGGAGGAGGGCGTGGAAGAGTGGTGGTGGTGGTGTCATGTTTATTTTATTTTATTTGTGTTTGTAACGTGATGGCGGTTGGTGGTGGTGGGTGTGGATGATTGTGGTTCTCGTTTTGGTGTTGGGTGGCGAGAGGTTGAGGTTTGAACAATGAGAAAAGCTCGTCGTCGATGTCTGGGTTAGAGGCTCCTGCCGAGAACTCGTGGAAAGGATTTATGATAACCCTAGATGGGATGCGAATGGATCAAGGTTGGAGCCGCTGTTCTCTCTGTTTCACAGGCTGCTCATGCAATCGGGAAACTGTTCATGACCGGCCCGTACGATAAGGTCGGAACCGGCTCATCGACAATCAGTCCCTATGAAGTTCCCTCCCACCGTCTGATAAAACAGGATTCTGTTATTTCACCACTTTAAACAACCCACCAAGTAGGGCCAGATATCACAACATCTGTCGAGGTGGGTGTGTGGTTACTAGTTCGTGTGTTGGATTTCGATTGTGTTCAGATCAGGTCCACGGGTGCAGAAGTAAAGTGGGGTTTCCTAGCGCGTAAAGATGGGAGCGCGCGGGTTGTGACAGTGGCGCCAAGTTATCCATCCATACAGTGTGTAGCTCAATCAGTCACCGATTGTCTTCCCACCTTCTCTCTCCGAACAATAATCAAAGAATAGGTAACAAGCATCAAGAGGGATAATAGAATCTCCTTAATGCCATAGCGGGGACGATCCTTCGCATAGATCAAAGCGGATCTGACCCCAGTAAACAAGCTATTTATTTGATCAACTCTCCTCGCCAGTTCTTCCAAGACTTCCTTCCATACAGCTTTCCTGGTCCAACTTTCGATTCAAACCGCATTTCAGTGCACGAAGGAACGATGGCATTCCCGGTTTAGACCCCACCACAGGCTTTGATCCCTGTCGACCACCACCCCACACCGCTGGGGTTTCCAGATCATTGCCAAGAAGAACTCGGGCCAGAGCCAGGGTTTATCGATCGCTCCATCAAGCCGGCGCATCGCGTCGATTCTCAGCAACCATCAACCACGAGTAGCTGGCCAACCGCCGGCCATCAAGCTCTTCAATCACGACCTCGAAAGAACTGCAGAACGGCCGCCGCGATTCGTTTTTGCCTTTGACCCCTGTTTGACCGCTTGTAGCCGTCAGCCACATCCTTTTCCGGGGGAGCAGTTAATATGACAGCTTCCGTCCTCAGATACCCTCCATCTTAAACGTGTTCCTTTCCTCGACGTTTACCACGACGATCCCATTCCCACGTCTGTGACGGCAATCCGTCAGACCATTTCACAAGATACAATCAAGATGGAGACCCCGCAGCAGCCGCCTGGGCCAAAGCGGCTACCTAGTCTTAAAATTACTAGCCGCACAACACCCGCCGGCGGTGCTGCGATGATCACTCCCAACACTTCGTTCCAGTCCACTTCACCTACTCCGCCAACGCCCTCTCAAGGCCCATCAAAGATTCGCCTGGTTACGAAATCGCAGCCCTCGACACCCGCCGATTCCCGTCCCCCGAGCCTCGCACGTCCTGGGACCATCTCCACATCGAACGGTCTGGGCACAATATCGGCCGTGCCGAAGATCACGCAGACGAAAACGGGCAGAATCAGCAAGCCCTCCGCGAAGAAGCGAACGAGAGAGGAGAGCGACGATGATGACGAGGAGCCGCTTAGCAAGGGTACCGCCCTAGCGCACCAGTCCAAGAAGACAAAAATCACTCTCAAGCCGACCACACCTGGCCTCGTGAGACAACCAACACTAAAAGTAAAACCTGTCGGCCGGATACCAACAAAACCGCTCGGCGAGGGCTACGACTCGGAGGCGGAGGATCGGGAGGTCGACCCGGTCATCGAAGAACAGTTCTTGTTCCGCATGATGCCTGGAGAGCCGAGCGATTACCTGCGGACAGCAATCCAAAATAAACAGATTGGTGTTCCCAAGGCACAAGGAGGAGCGGACTTCCAAGTTAAGTGGCTGGACGAGGAAGGCCGGCGAGCCGTGGTCACTGTTATGGGCCAGTTGTACGCCGCCATTCTTCTGGATCTGCCCAGTATAACCGAGGGCATGAAAACATGGGACAAGAAGTCCATGGTCAAGTCGTCAGACATCTGCCAGATGTTGATGGCTTTCGCACGAGTTCAGACTGAGGAGGAGGCCAAGACGGCACCCCTCCCCAGAGCCGTCGAGCACGGCCACAGATGGCCCCACGGCATCACGCCACCAATGCACGATGCCAGGAACCGCCGGTTCCGCAAGCGGCTCAGCAAGCTGGAAATCAAGAACAAGGAAGCCGAGGTCGACAGGTTGCTGGCGTCTGATCGTGAGGCTTTGTCCGTCCGGACCGAGTGGATCGACAACAGCAAAGACGGTGCGGAGGACGAGGAGGAAGAGGAGGAGTACGAGGAAGACGCAGAGGGCGAGGCGGACGACTACTTTGGCGATGGGGCCATGGGGCAGCAGCCCGATGAGGAGGAAGAATTTGAGGTCGATGACGCCGCTCTCGAAGCCGAATTCCTAGAAGCCGTCGAGACCCCACTCGTCGAGACCCCCGGGTTGGTACCCGATGCCACTACACCCAATACCGCAGCCGCTCCCACGCCTGCGCCCCAGGCTGAGGATGAAACGGGCGACGCCGAGGAAGAGGAATCGGACGAGGAAGACGAAGAAGACGGAGACGAGGACGAAGACGAGGACGACGGCGATGAAGACGAAGCGGCCGCCGCTACCCGGGCCGTCATTGCGAGCCTTAAGAAGCAACTCAAAATGTACGAAACCCAGCTGGCGGCCTCGGTGCAACCCATCATGAGGAAGCGACTCGAGGGAAACATCCGAAATGTCAAAGCCGAGATTCTGCTCAAGAAGTCGTCCATTGGCGAGGCGGAGGAGGATTAGGGTATCCGAAACCTGGTCCTGTAATTTGCGGGAGGGGTGGTCTTTTACTTTTAAACCTAGCGATGTAATGCAGCCACGACCATGCGAGCAGTAGATTAACCGCCCATGAATTGGCACCTCATGAACTTGAAATACGGCAACGAGGACCAAAGCCGATGCAATGGTGTGTGTTTGTGCCAAAAAGAATACATACAATCACAAATGTTTGTACACATCTGGGCGCCCTCGCCCATCCACCTCCCAGTACCTCTATATCCCGTCACCAACACCCACCATGTATTCCTCCTCCCCGCCAGCACCTCGACAGCCACCCCCCCACCACCCTTTTACATCGCCTTGAGGTAATTGCTCTCCTTGATCCCCGCGCGCCGCTCCTTGCGCATCGCCCGCCGCAGCTCCTCGCGCTTGTCCACCGCCGCCACCGCCTGCCCCACGTTCCCGGGCTCCGCCCCCGGCAGGTTGATGGTCTGCTTCTGCAGCGGGATCTTGGGCACCAGCGCCTCCAGGTCGCCCGACGCCAGCAGCCGCGCCTCCTGCACCCGCTTGCGCTTGAGGGCTAGGCGGCGCTGTTTTTTGGATTTGGCTGTGTGGAGGAGGAGGGGGTGGTTAGTGGATGGGTTGAGGTTGAGGTTGATGGGGTGGGGTGAGGGAGAGGAAGGCAAGAGGGAGAGATGGAGCGGAAGCAAAGATATGGAACGTACAGAACTCATCTCCCGTGTCTGCATCGGCCGTGGAATCGGCCTTCTTCTGCACCTCCAGGCAGTTCCACAACCATGCCGGGTAGGCTTCGTCGGCGAGCGCAACGGGGTCGCTTTTGCCCTTGATGTAGTTCAGGCCCGAGAGTACTGTACCCTCCGGGCAGGAGGACCGCGGCCCGGTGGTGGCCTCGCTGTCGGCGGCTGACGGCGGCGTGAGGGGTGTCAGGTCGGGCGTCGACGGCTCGGCCGCAGTTGTTGCGGGTGCGGCGGCGGGTGCTGTTGGGGTGGCATTGCGCGTGCGGAGGGTCGTCGTGAAGGAGCGTGCCGCTGCCGGGGCTCGTGTGAAAGGTTGCGGGGTTATTTGGCGGGTTGTGAAACCTGCGGCTCGTCGGAGGCAGGTTCGGCAGATCATGGTTGTGTAGGTGTGTGTGTGTGTGTTGTATCGGCTTGTTGCGAGCTGCTAGGTGGGTGGATGAGGGACGGAATTGAAGTGTAAACTAAAAATTTCTATGGAGATCGAGATTGCCCAGGCGCGCAGTTTTGATATCAAACATCGAGACAGCCCACCAGAAACCGACCAAAAAAAAAAAAAAAAAAAAACTCGGAACACTTGCATTTACGAATATCATTGCGAGCATGAGTTTCTTGAGTTTTAATGCGTTTCAATTGCCAGTATGTACACTCAATTGAATCCCTAATATTGGGATTCCAACCTGGCCAGCTCCAAGCTCACATGGCCTTCCACTGACCTACGCAACCCCGGAAGGCATTTCCTCTTCATGAACCTGCGTCCGGTCCAAAACACTCGTTTGCGTATCCCCAACAGCGTAATTATTTATTGCTGCGCACCATCTTTCGAGAAGTAGTTCTGCTGCTCGAAAAGGTAGCCCTTGACCTTGGCGCTCCCCAGCAGTTGGAGGTATCGTTCTGTACCCCTGTTAGCATCTTGTTATCCTGCTATCCTGCTATCCTGCTATCCTGTTACAGCTGGCGGTTGCTCCAAGTATGTTGTCGGGAGACTGCCAACTGCACATATCCATCCCCTCTACCCCGCTAGGTATCCCTCTCTTCCGTCGGGGATGGACTGACCTCTCAGCCGACCGCACTTCTCCAAGTGGTTGACACCTTCCCGGTAATAGCACTTGCTCAGCTCCTCCCGGACCAGCCGCCCCATCATGACTTGCACCCATTGCTCGCGGATGACGGCATCCTGGGCCTGCTTGAGGCGCTTCGTATCGTCGTAGTCGACACCGTCGAATGTAGGGGCGACCTTGGGCTTCTTGGCCAGGAAAGCCCTCGGAATTCGGGAAGTCGGCATAATGGCGTGTTGCTGGCTGCACCGAGCGTTTTATAGCGAGCGCAGACCGTGTGTTAGGGTGTGTGCTGAGCGGGAGATCGGTTCGGCCGCTGCAATGGAGCTGTGATGCGCACCTTACCTGCGTTTCGCTGGCAGCCAATAGCTAGCAAACAGAATTCGTGCCCAAATTTCAAGGCAGTAGAGCGCTCCACCTTTTCTTGGCATGCAACCTTGCCGCCCTCCGGCCCCGCCAAAATTTTCAGCGATAAGCTTATCTACCTCCAGCCACTCCTTCCCCAAGTTTTTATTCCTTTTTTTCTTCCTCGACTTCTCTTTCCTCACCTTTCCTCACACAATTGTCCATTCGGAAAACTTTTCAATCCATTTTCCATCAATCACTTCTAATTCAATATGGGCAAGACAAAGGACACCAAGGCCGTCAAGGCCAAGGCTACCCCCGTGAAGGCTGCCGCGCCTGTCAAGGCCGCTGCGGCGAAGGTCGACAAGTCCAAGGGCACCGCGAAAAAGGTCGTCAGCAAGAAGTCCAAGAAGGTCGAGTCCGAGTCGGAGAGCGATTCTGATAGCGATTCCGCCTCCGAGGTCAGCGACAGCAGCTCGGAGGAGGCCAGCGACTCGGAGTCGGACGTTGAGATGGCTGATGCCCCCAAGGCCGCTCCCAAGGCCGCCGCCACTAACGGCAAGGCCAAGGCTGCTAAGGACAGCTCTGACTCCTCTGATGAGTCCGGCTCCGATGAATCCGACTCCGATGAGTCTGAGTCTGAGGAGGCGGAAGAGGAGAAGCCTGCCCCCAAGGCCGCGAAGGCGAACGGCAAGGCCAAGAAGGCCGAGTCTGACTCGGATGATTCGGATGATGTGAGCTCATTTTAAACCCCTATGACAGTGTCCTAGTTGCTAACGTTTGCCCCCTAGTCTGACGAGGATGAGGATGACTCCAGCGACTCTGGCTCTGACGACTCCGACTCCGACTCCGATGAGGAGGAGTCCGCTGATGAGAAGCCCGCCGTTGCCGAGAAGCCCTCGAAGAAGAGGAAGGCTGAGGAGGAGCCCGAGGCTGCTGATGCCTCTGCCAAGAAGACCAAGTCCGACGGCGAGGATTCTGAGAAGAGCGCCACCTTGTGGGTTGGCAACCTCGGCTGGGGTGTTGATGACAACGCCCTGTACGAGGAGTTCCAGAGCATTGAGGGCATCGTCAGCGCCCGTGTCGTCAGCGATAAGGAGACCGGCCGCTCGCGTGGTTTCGGCTACGTCGATTTCGACAGCGCCGAGGCTGCTCAGAAGGCCTACGATGAGAAGAGCGGCGCCTTCCTCCAGGGCCGCGACCTGCGCCTTGACTTTGCTTCCAAGCCCAGTGCTGATTCCGCTCCCAATGCTCGTGCCGCCGACCGTGCCAAGAAGCATGGCGATGTCATCAGCCCCCCGAGCGACACCCTCTTCGTTGGCAACCTGCCCTTCAGCGCGGACGAGAGCTCCGTCTCCAACTACTTCAACGAGGTCGCTCAGGTCCAGAGCCTTCGTATTCCCACCGACCAGTGAGTAACCATACCTCCACGCTCAATTTTGCAGACTTTTAACTATTTGATTAGGGAGTCTGGTCGCCCCAAGGGCTTCGCCTATGTCACTTTCTCCTCAATTGATGATGCTAAGAAGGTGTTCGAGGCTCTGAACGGCGGCGATCTGGATGGCAGGCCCGTCCGTCTGGACTATGCTAAGCCCCGTGACAACAACGGCGGTGGTGGTTTCGGTGGCGGCCGTGGTGGTGGCCGTGGTGGCTTCGGTGGTCGTGGCGGTGGCCGCGGCGGGTTCGGTGGCCGTGGTGGCGGTGGTGGTTTCGGCGGCGGCCGTGGCGGTGGTCGTGGTGGTGGTCGCGGCGGGTTCGGCGGTGGCCGCGGTGGTGGCAGTGGCTTCCAGGGCAAGCGGACCACTTTCTAAGAAGTACATGATACAGCCGCACATGAGGGACACAGCGAGGGTTTTGCACAGTACCATCCGAGGGCTTGTGGGTTGTCGGCTTTTGAACTCTAACTCCCGTGCCGGGAGCCGTGGGCTTTGAGAGAGAGATACACCTGAGGGCTTGACCTTGACTCGTGGGCTGCTTTGCTCTTTGGCAGCTCCTTGACGCATCGGCGCAAAAGCCATGCTGGTGGGCTTGCTGATCTTCGCCTCCTAGGCGGTCAGATAATGATGGGTTTACTGCATTTGTGGGCTCGTTGGCTCGTTGGCTCGTGGGCTCTGTGGCATACCTAGCGCCGCGGGGGTGGCAGAACGCTCTCTGGAGCCGTTGCCATCCCGGCGCTCGTCCGCTTCCCGAGGGTTCTGAGGGCATTCGAGGGCTTTTCCGTGGGTCATAAAAAAGTTTGGGTTGATATGTTTGTACGGTACGGTCACGGTGGTTTTATCATCTTTGTTTTGCATTTTCCTTGGGCAACTCCCCGACCAAGGCCAGCTTCGGTCTCGACGGGTACACGGGCGATTTTACACGGCTTGCTTCATCTCATGCCTGGTGAGTATCCCACCCTACATACCCTGATACCCTCTAGCAACCGATCGATGTACGAGAGTCATAATAGATAGTTGGGACAACGTCCACCATCCCTACCAATTGAGGATGTTTGTTGTACAAATGATGCCGAATATCCCCTGCCTGAAGGAAAACTGATGGATGGACAAAAACTACGATGGTGGTATTGTTGCTACCAAGACGATCTGAAACTACCAATATCCCAATGAACCAAGAACCGCAAGACACCTCCCAGGAAGGCGCAACCATGGCCGGCCGACCGGAACGAAGGAAACTGTTTCCATGCAGAAACGGGTAACGAACCTAAAACAAACCGCCCGTATATCATCGGCATCTCAATAGATAGTTACACATGTCCCGGAATCAGCCGCTTCCAATGCAACGCCCCGTCCCCTCCACGCGTTATTCGTATTCCATACATAAAATCATCGATATATAAACCGCTTGAGGTGTGACCGAGGGAGGAGAAGTATATAGGTGCCCTCCTGGTCTAAGCAGCGACGCTCTTCCCCACGCCACCCCAGCGGAACCTCCGCAGCGTGCCCCCAGCGCCCGCCCTGACCAGCTCACCTCCACAACCCGCAGCGCCCGCGGACGAGGCGTTCGCCGCCGCCCCGCCAGAACCGACCAGCGAAGAGGACGCGGCGGCGGCGACGCTGCTGCCGCCGCCCTCCTGCCGGCCGACCTCGCGGCCGATGACGTAGCCGGCGCCGAAGCCGACCACCGAGACCAGCACTACCACGCCCGCGCTGACCACCCACGTGAGGAGCGTCGGGCTAACGCTGAAGAAGGGCGCCGCGTCCGTGGCGGAGTCGCCATCGAGAAGGGTGGTCGAGGTGCGCTTCTTCTTGGCGGCGCGCGCGGGACGGCCCTGCGTCGTGGACGGGAGCCCGCGTTTGGAGTCCCGCTGTTGCTGTTGCTGCTGGTGCTCGCGGCCGGAGCTGGAGGATGGCGCGCTGGGCGCGGAGGAGTTGGATGCCGTCCGGGCAGTCTTGGCCCTGGCCCCGCTGGCTGGGGTTGCTGTTGGTGGAGCCGGCGGGCTGTTGGTGGCCATGAGCTCCGATTCGGGGACTAGACGGAGCTCCATTGGCTGGGAGCTCGGCACGACGCCGGCTCCGGCGCCGGGGGCGGTCCGCCGTTCCTCGTTCTTGGGCAACCCGCGGGCTGCGGCGGCGCAGGAGAGGAGGGTGGTTAGCGATGCACGTAGCGCGGCGTCGTTGTCGGCTTCATTGGGAGGGGACATGTAACTTTGGCCCCGGTGAGAACGGGCGTGCGGGCGGTTAGGCATCGGAGGGCGGGAGTGAGAAGGATGGTTGTATGCTGCTGAGCCAGTTGAGTGGCGGTGGGCCAGGTGTGAGGGAGGGTGTGAGAAGGCGTTTGGCTGAGGCCGAAACACAGGGCTGTTGGACGGCCGACCGAGGGCCGTCGCATTCTCATCATCGTCACTCTCCGAGTCTATATCCACCACGGCGGACGCCCTCATAGCGGTTTGATGACGGGGTAGACTCGCGGACGGATGTACCGCTTCCGTCGAGCTGGTCATGACTCGGTCCTCTTCGCTCTCCGTTTCATCGTATTCCTCCTGACTGCTCGTTGTGCCGCCTTGGGTCGCGGGGTGGCCGACGATAAAGGAAGCGGGCATCGCATGCTGCTGGTGTGTCCGTCTCCGCCTTGGTGGATACGAGATCCCACCAACCCGGAGTCCTGTTGTCACGATCTCGTCTCCGATAGACGATAAGGACGACGATGACGACGGTTGTGAGGTTACTTCGACCCAGGACTCTGAATTTACGGGCATTAGTTCCTGGTTGAACGTCGATGCAGCGGCGCTCAACTGACCATCGTTTCGGCGCTGGGCCGATGGCGCGTCTGTCCGCCCTGTGGTCTCGGCGCTGCTGACATTGCGCAGCCCTGCCTGCCGTGGGCGATACGTATCCGAGGGCGCCATCGTGGGCGAACAGTCACTTTACGGAATATCGAAGAAGGATACGGCACTCGAGTAGATGGATGTCTGTTTAATTTGGGTGCTCGCGCGTCCTGCGAAAGATCCAAGGTCGCTCGTCTCACCGTTGGCCCCGTGAGCCCCGCCTGCAAGAGTGGAGTCGTTATTCGGACGGTGAGGTTGGAGATGCAGGCGGTCAACTAGAACGTCGGTGAGGCAGACGAGAGCCGATTCGCAGGCGTTTTTTATGAAAGAAGCAGCAACCGAGTTATCGAGTATCCGGAGCCTGGGGTTGCCCTGTTGCAGCACAGAGCTCGAGGGAGGAATGGAGGGCTGAAGAGGCTTTGTTGTCTCGCTGGTTTTGTTGAACCTTGGCAATCGATTGCAATTGCCAGATAACGCTTTGGTGAGAAGCGGGCGGAGCCCAGCGTGACCCACCGTTTTGGGGGTGGGACGGTCACCCCGTCCCAGATTCGTCTTGTGATTGGTTAGCTAGAAGCTTGTCACTTCGCTTGTCTGCCCAGCTGCTTCAAGGGCGCACCAGTATGACGTTACGCAGGCAGGCTAGGCGACGAACTGCAGTCTGCAGGAACTCAACCGAACGCCACGCCGTAATTTGATGGCTCGAATCATCAGCTGTGAATAACTACCGGTTAGTTAAAGCACCTTCATTGTTCGCATGAAAAGTGCTAGGTTTTTCTGTGCGGGTTTTATTGACTACCGACGTAACTATGTATCAAACCGTAAACGGCAGCCCTGCCAAGGAATAGTTATAATTGTCACCCATCAGTTACCAAATCTATATGGACAACCGCAGGCCTACCAGACCTAGTTTAGTTGTCATACAAACAATCTTCACCTCGTATAATGCTTCAAGTCGGGCGTCCAAACCATTTCCGTGTTTTGGGTGCTCGTTGCCCCACAAACCCATGTGTTGAATTTCAGACAATTTTGTGTAACCCGAGGTGGTGGACAGAGAAAGACAGCTAGATTCTTTTATCTTTTTCTCTCATCTCCGCCCGCACTTTTTTTTCTTTTTTTGCGAGGCTGGGGATGTAAAAATAAGGACGAGGACAAGCCGATAGCACTGTAGGGATGTGTAGACAGTGAAGACACCGAGCATCAAGCAACCCGACAGCCTGGATGACGGGGACCGGGGTTGCATTAGCGTCCAAAACCTCGGCATCGTTTCTTAGAACAACATTATGACCCAGCCGTCAAGGGGCCTGGAGATTATATTGCCGGACTGCATGATGGCCACGCTCCCAAACCCCCCACATAGGTACTGCAGGGACAACGAGACGTCACCTTCCGAGAGGAAAGTGGTCGAGATGGGCAGGGATGCAACATCCACGAGATATTACCGTGACTGATTCCGTAGAGCCAAAAGGTGAGAGCCCGAAGCCATAGGCCGAAAACGCTATGACGGTCGGGGAGAGACTGTGGCAACCTGGCATGTATGCTTCAAGGTCTTTTCTCACAGCATCGCAGTTCCATCAGACAGTTGTGTCAAATGACATAACTAAGTCCCAGGTCTACCAGTCCCAGTTGAGTCAGTCGTCGGATGACGTCAACTTCAAGACCCGGGTGCATAGGTGTTGTTGGTCCCTTGCAGATCGGGACGGGACCCGGGGCCTCGGCCATGGAGATAACAGTCCAATCCCAGGTCCTGCAACAATACTCACTAGGTAGCCCGACGTTTGTCTCGAAAACCGAGCCTACTTATATCAAGGATAGGAAAGGCTTTGGGAACTGTAGAGTTTGCGACTTGGGGAAAAAAAAAAGGTGTTGGGGAAGTTAGGCTCAAGGGAAGGAACCATCAACACCCGACTTCCTTCGGCAAGCCCCGCCCCCCAAGCAGCAGTTCATTTAGTGGAAGTTATCGTTGAACAAATTATCCATCCTCCTCGAAGTAAGGTTGTCTGAGCTCTTGGATCGTCCACACGAGACCCAAGCGCCACTGTAATGAGATGGCAACTTTCAACTCCCAGCCTAACAACCGGCAACTTTGGCTCTCCCGATGAGATATACTGTGTTTCTCAATAACCAACCCTTCGGGGGGAACCGTTGATACGAACAGGGTAGTAGAAGAGGCTTGGAAAGCCAGGTGGTTAAAGGAACGGGACGGCAGGGCAATCACTAGGCCGGCGGACGACTTTGACCATCAGCAGGAGACGCTATTCCGGAACGAAACCCTAAGGAGGCACGACGGTCTCAGCAAGGCAAAGAGCTCACTGCTGATTCAAATCCGGACGGGAGCAATAGGCTTACGGGACTTCTTGTTTACACGGGGAGTCCCGGAGGTTCTGACTCCTGCCTGCGAGTGTGGCGAGGGACGAGAGACTGCCGAACACCTAGTAGTGTGGTGTTTGGCCCCACCGTTGGCTCGAAGATGGGAGAGGACTGGAATTCGGACACGACGGGACTTTTACTCTGTTCTACACGGCATCAATCCCACGACTGCACGGCTCGCGAGGAGAGTTCTCGACTGGCTGAAGGACTCGGGGAAGCTGCCGATGTACAACTTAGCCAGGAGGCTCGAGCTGGAAGCGGCGGCCTGAAGCGCCCCCGTTCGGAGGCCAGGAGGCCTCCTCTCTTTGTATACGCAGACTCACTAAAACGTATCGCTCCTTGATTGTTGGTATGGGTTTTCACCCGGCCCGGGAGGGCACGGTTTTTCTGTACACTAAATAGCTGAGGGTCCGGCACGCCCTAGGGCATAGCGGAGTATGAATAATAATACAATAACCAACCCTTGTTCTAGTAAGTAAGCAGCTCTATGATGATATTATTTGCTCGCGCGTCTTGATTCAGATTCTGACAGAGCTCGAACTCCAAAATGTTGTCAAAAAGTCTAACGACACTATATATATATATTTTTTTTTCTTTTTTTTTTTTGCTCGGGTTATTTCGTCTGAGTTCCTTTACTCGGCTTCTTTCACTTATTTCTTTTTCTTGATTTCTTACCAGAGGTTCCTGGGCAAGTTCCATTAGCGTTTCTCCTGGAACGACTCGTACTTCAAGTGTAATAACACCCCCGAACTTGAACTTGATCTTTATTCCAGGCTGGCCATGAATGCGGGATACAGCCCAATCGGCCCCATCGGGGCAGATCCGCCGACAGCAGGCCTCACTCGGGGCCCCGTGCCAGCCCCTCCGATTCGGCCGACACCTCGAGTCCACAAGAATCTAAGATTTAGTCTTTTTTATTGTTTTATCAGCGGCAATCGGGGCAAGCGGAACAAGTGAACTTGAATAAGCATGCTTTGTCTCCCAAAACCAAGCCCGGTGGGCGAGTCGGGCAAAGCGCCTGCTCGCGTGGCCACACAAAGAAGCGATGCATTTGGCTACCCATGACGTCGGGAACGCCAACTGCCACAGCCCCGTTTGTGATGGGTCAACGTCGCCCAATATGGGGGGAAGCTAATGATGTCGTGCACTGGCCATGACGAACCGCGCGAACGATGCAGGTGACGTGGCAGTTCACTGCCGAAACCGTGCCGCCGCGGAGCTCGTCCCGAACATTAGGGAGCGGCGCGGGGGACGTGCCGCTGGGTAGTAGTCCGTCATTCGGCGGCCAATTGTGATTGGTGACGGGTCATTTCGCCGGTCATCAGTGCCACCACCCGGTCAAGAGCTACTGGGGGGTGGAAGGCAGTGACTCTGACCAACCAGCTCTGGGTAGCTCTGCTAGAGAGCCTCGATGAAGCACGGGGTCGGGAATGATTCCCAATCCCTCGTTGTCGGTGCCGCAATTTATTGTGTGGAAACTGGTGGCCGGCCTCATTGTGAGAGTGAGCGCCAGGTGCAAACCGTTAGATCTCGCGATACTTCGCGTTGCCCTTGCTGGAGATGGTCCTCAGGAGTAACACTGACACAGCCATCGGTCTAGCAACAGGTCTAGACTTCAAATGGCACTGGGCGGAGGTTTGGCGGGGCCCTTGCCGCCCACATGCCGGGCGAAATTCCATATCCGCAATTCGGAAATTGTATTTTCGAGTTTGGTTGTAAGTGGCCAGGGGCACAAACACGAATTTGTTATAACAAGGCGCCCTCCAGCGCTGTACTCCCGAGGTCCCTGGAACCATGTTTTTGATTTTACTTTCCAAAATAAAATGACAGACATGACATTGCTCAACATGAGTGCTTCTTCCAACACTGCCGAGTATCCCAACATGGCTGCAGGGCCCGGGTAAGCAACTGTCCACCAACCAGGTTGGCCACACCTACTAACACCTGGACAGCACAGCTGAGAGAAAGAGCGCTCACATCAGGTCATGGCCCGCGGTATGTTGGGCTTCCTGGACAACACACAAATCCTCCTCAAGTGCCAAGCATTGAGAAAGAGCTCCAAACCAGCAGCCCGCGCCGCCGTAACCGGCCGCAGCTGCAGAGGGAGCAGAAAGCATGGCAGAGAAAGGAGAAGAGGGGGTGCACCCCGCGCTCTCCAGATCGCGGGGATGGCGAAATCCCCGAAACATGCGGCTCTGCCTTTTGTCGGGCCGTCTTATCCTATCCAGGAGAAGTTCCGGCCTGTCGCCGTCTGCAACCCCCGAGCAGTTGTCGCCAACCCAAAGCGCCCCCGCCTACCAATAAGACCGCCGCTCATCATGCACACCCACGGCCAACGGGTGCCGGCAACTCTCGACTGGACGCTCCATCTGTTCATGTGGACGCTTGCTGCCAGGCCGGTCTGGCATCAACCCCGCTTGGGTTGTGACCTGCTGTGACGTCTTGATGCCCCAGATGGATGGGGGGGAGGGGTATATAAGAAGCTGGTGATTTCGGGATGGGGCATGTTGAACCACCCTAGACCCAACGCTTGCTAGTCTAAGCGGGACACCCTTCTATCCTTGCCACCGCTCGCCGTGTCTGCTCATTTTTCATAAGCTGCTCGCCCAATCACACCAACGAGAACCACTCGTCCGTGGACGCCTGAAATCACCAAGACGCGACAATGGCAGACGAAGAGAGAGATCCGTTTTACAAGAAAACAGCTCCTTCTCCTCCGCCTCCACCTCCATCGCCGCCGCCGCCGGAGTCAGGGGGTTCGTGATCACAAAGACGCCACCGGCCACATGCTGCTTCTGGTGAGCGCCCTGGAACCCATGAGTTTTTGAGGGTGTGGTCATGCAACCTAAGACCACTCCCAGGTGAACCTGGGCTAACCTTGCGACTATATGGCAGCAAGGCATCGCAGAATATCATCCTCTCGACGTTCCTCGTTTGGCGCAAACACCCATGGTTTCAAAGAGGAAGATGTTGTGATGGGGGGCAAGGGATACTGTTGTTGTTTGGCAGTGGAGGGAGACAGCAACCCCTGGCGGACACAACCAGAAACCTCGGCACTTTCATACCTGTTTTACGTTGACTTTTTGCGTCTTTTGTTTATTTCCCTCTCCTCTCGCACAATAAGAGTGGAACATGAACACCACCTGCAATAGGCGGTTATGAGTTACGATCTTATACCCATATACCATTTTTCGAGGGGGTTTCTTTCCCCTCTCACATTCGTTCTGTTCCCCCTTTTGGTAATGTGCCGCTCGGCACAACTGGTAACGTTATGGGGGAGGGGGACAAGTTGAAGTGAGCGTTTTTAGTTAGTTACGAGCGGTGGCCCGCTTACTCTCAACCGGGCCCAAGAATGATATCGTGTTTATCAAAACCCAAGTCACCGTCTTTCTTGCCATCACCGTTAGACCCTTCTGGCCCCCTATCTGGTGCCCGCTGTCATAGATGTACCAAAAGAGGAAAGGTGCGCGATATCTCGTTGGATCTTAATTTATTTCTCTCTTGTAAAACATACAGCTACAAAGCCCATCTAACCGCTTGCGCCCCAATGTGGCTTCCTCCTTGGTACCTAAACCAGCCATGTATAATCTCACCTGGTTATGGCCACAACCTTTGCGAGTCGAGCCAGCAACCCATGCACATCATCGAACTCCATCGCCAATCTTCCATCGCCAATCCACCCTAGAAGCAGATCTAAAAGGCGCTCAAATCCAACGGTACACTACTCCCCCTACCAGCGCGGTACTTGCGTGCCCCCCCGGTAAAATTTCTCGGTTTGGGGAAGTTCTCCTCGCCATGGAAGCGCCACCGCGAGTCCTGCACCACATACCGCTCGCCGCCACCGCCGCCACCGGACGAGGTAGAGAGACCAGGCGACGGCGAAGGACCGCGGCCTGGGCTTGGCGTCTTGGAACCGCTGCCGTTGGGTGCGAGCGTGAAGTTGCTGGGGTCTAGCATCGAGAGCATGGATGCGCGGCCTGATGCGCTCGAGGCGGAGTGGGAGAGGGATGGGGGAGGGGGCGCAGGTGCAGATGAGGGTGGTGGTGGAGGGGCTGGCGCCGGTGGTGGGGAGATCGGGGGCGCTGAGCGTGATGGTCCATTTGGCGGGGGAGGGGGTGGAGGTGGAGGTGCGGCTCCTGGAGGTGGTCCGACGCTAGACGCAGCGCGTATGGCTGCTTGCGCGGCAATGCTCTGAGATATGTTACTTGTTGACGCGGACGGTGGAGGTGGCGGCGGTTGTGAGCGTGCTGGGGCTGGCGGCGGCCGTGGAGCAGCAGCGGGAGGCGGAGGTGGAGGAGCTGGAGGTGGTGAGAATGCAGACGGTGATGGGGTCGGGGGCGCGAAAGATGGCGGCGGCGGCGGCGCTGCGGATGGAACGGTGGAGGAGGGCTTCCTGGAACCTGGAGGGGGTGGCGGTGGTTTCTTGCCGACCGGAGGTGGTCGGCCCTTCTTCGGAAAGCTCGGCGCGCTGTTTGTGTTAGGAAGGGCTGGCCTCCCGGGTACTGGCGGCGCGGCGGCGACAGGCGGTCTCGGAGCAGCTCGCGGAGGAGCCTCCGAATCTGACAAGTATGAAGCATCTCGGTTTGCTAAAGAGAAGTTAGATACGTGATGGCGAGAGATCCACAAATAACGTCTTACCCCCTGTATCAACACCCCCGCCTGTCTTGCGTAGCTTCGGCATCCCTCCCGTAAAGAGACCGGCAAGTTGCGGAGGCCCATCCATGCTTGATCCGGCGGGTTGAGCCCCGTCACTCTGATCGCTGTTGCTTCTTGCACGGGCTCCGGGGACAGGGGGGGCGAGTCCTCCTGGTGCTTTCGGTAGTCCTGGGATGGGGGGTGCGCCGAGCCCCGACGGGCCCGGGCCGCCCCCTGATGAGGATTTGGCTACTACGGGCGCGGAACGATCGTTTGTGACAGTCTTCTTCAGCGCCTTCCCCTTGTGGATATCTGCGAGAAGCGCTCCCTGCGAGTGCGTTAGCGTGGCTTCCGCAAAACTTGGCTATGACCAAACGGACCCTCCCTGGCGCCGCGGCGGCAGCTGCTGGTGGAGGAGGAGGAGGAGGAGGTGGTGGTCCGCCAAACCCCGGGGGTGGTGGGGGAGGCGGCGGTGGAGGAGGAGGCATCGCGAGTGACCTCGGGGTCGATGTCGATATCGATATCGATGGGTTGGGTGGGAAGTGGAGGTGGAGGAAGACGAAGTCGTAGGTGGTGTGGTGTGGTGTGCTCTGAGCCGTTACTTGGCTAAGTCGGCGATGGTGTGAAAAAAGAAGAGGACTTCAAGCCAAGTTTGGCAAACCCGACGTAAATAGCGGTAGCGCAAGTCGGAAGTTGTCGTCGAGGCGGGAAAGGGAGAAAGCAAGGCCAGGCACTCGTGGCGCGAGGTGGTGGTTTGAAAGTTGAGAGTTGCGGGTTGCTTCAGGGTTGCCTCGCGCCTGCGTCACCTTCCCTCGTTCTCATCCTGGGCTGTGGGGAGGTCAAGCACCTTGGCGCCAAGTTGCGATGCAGGATGGATGCCCGGGCATCGCTTCATCGCCCCCTTATTTGCAACGTTCTTCAGTGTGTATGCAACAAGCGGGCGAACTGATGGACGAAAGTGGGGTTTCGGCTCAATTGAGGCCCTGACCCTGGACCCTAGGTTAATGCAACGATCTGCACCATCGTGCGTAAAGTTCATGAGCTCTCTTTCAACATCACAGCGAGCCTCACCATCCCGGCTTTTTATTCTCTCTCGACCCGGTTCTGCGCCCAACTCAAGCGCCTAGCCGTTTACCTTTTTATTGTCGCCAGTGTGACCTGGACTAGCTGGTGGTTTTAGACTGGTGCTGAGATCGAGCCGGCCGAGCTGGGCTGGCATCGAGTGATCGAGTTCAATCCTCGATTTTGAGAGTGAAGGGAGGGTCATTGTTTTTATTCTTCAAGAACCATCGCCTTGATCAGCGACCATGATGCGTCAGCCATACTCGCCCGGATCCGGATTGCGGCTTTGCCAGGGCTGCGGGTTCGTTTCCGGGCGCCAATCGATACAACCCGCAAACCGGTCTTCAGTGGCGCTGCAGTTCGGGCAACGCTCCGCCGATATGTCACGAACAATCTCGATCCGGCCGGCCGCAGCCCGCTATTTCACAACCTCGCAGCCGTGTCGAAAGGTGAAGCGGTCGCAGGAAGCCCAAGCCCCGGATGTCTCGAAGACCCGGTTTGGCAGGACAGCTGCGGCAGCAACCTACCAACCACCTGGCGTGGAGCCTGCAGCGGCCGCTTATACCGTGCGTCATATTCTCACGGCTTTCCTCGGCCCCGGTGGTATTCCATCCGAAGAATTTACCCTGTCGGCGTTGCGGGCGCTTGCACAGATTGAGGTGAGGCAGGTGCCAGATGCTGGAGAACGTCGCTCCGATGACGCCGTCGCCGAAACTCGCGGACCTGCCTCGCAACTCTTGGGACTGGATGACATAAAGGCTGGTGAGGTCACACGGCCACAGCGGAGCCCCTCACAGCGATCACAGGACGCAATAGACCAAATCTCGGATGCGGCATACACGATTGTTACCCATCAGACAGTGGTCATCACTCGGACAATCCTCGCCGAATACGTCCAACTCGAAGCCCGCCTTGGTAGGGCAAAGAACTTGCCGCAGATCCTCGATCTCTACGCGAGTAAGCCTAAGCCCAAGATGGTCTCAAACACCATCAAATACGTCGAGCGCAACCCGAGCAAGGCCGAAAGCGCAGTCGATCCTGCGGTTGCCGACATGGCCCTGGATGCGGCAATCGAGGCCAAGGACCTTGGGGCCGCCATCGGCATTTTGGAAACTACCTACGCATCCAAGGCGTATTTGCGGTCGAAGCTTATCAAGAAGGCACTGCTTCCCAGCCTCGCTGTCACTGGTACCCCAGTCGGCGTCTACTACGCCGCTACCCAGTTAGCACAACTGCAGCACGCCCTAGAACCCAAGATTGCAACCGGTTTTGCCTTTGCCGGCGCCATTTGTTATGTGGGGTTCACTGCCACTATCGGCGCGGTGGCCCACTTCACGGCAAACGATCAAATGAAGCGGGTGACGTGGGCGCTGGGCACACCGCTGCGCCATAGGTGGCTCTACGAGGAGGAGCGGGCCGCTCTCGACAAGATTGCCTGCTCCTTTGGTTTTTCGGAGGAGCACCGCTACGGCGAGGAGGAGGGAGAGGAATTCCTGTGGCTCCGAGAATATATACTGAACAGGTCCATGATCCTCGATGCGGTCGATCTCATGCCGGGCATGAACTAGGGGACGGACGAGGCGGGTGCTGTGACGGGGCTACGGGGTTACGGGGTTACGGGGTGATGGGGGATAGCATGGCGGCAGCTGATGACGGTGACGAGATGAAGGCGGTGCGCGTCGTGGGACACCAACGGCTTGGCACCTTGCACTGAAAGGCCGTTGCGGAAACTCCGATCGTCGCCCATTCGAACCCGGATCACTCTTGGCTCAACAACTTTCTTACCGCCGCCGCGAGTGATCGGCCGTGGCGCTCGCTCTGCCGCAGCCGCCGTGGCCGCCAAGCCGTGTGGAGCAAAATGTCAATCTATGTACCTTGTGCATACCAAACCGCCGAGACGGGCCTCAAGCCTCTTCAAAATCGATGACTGTGCAAGGCTCATTTCTGCGGCTTTCCATGCTTCGCCCGTACAGCTTACAATCGCGACACTGGCTTTTTTACGCCGCCAACACCCCCCTTCCAGACGACACCCCTCCCCCCTGGAGAGGGCGTTGGCGTATGGACTTGGTATGAACCCCTGTCAACACTATGCCAGGGAGTTTTTCAACACCTTGCCGTCCACGACTCGAGCAGTGGTCGGGGTACTGGGGTGTTCGGGTGCAGCTGCGGAATTGCTGCACCAGTGAGATGTGGGTGTTCTGCCGATGCAGATATCCCGACCGTACCTCCTTTCGCTTTCTCAATGTGCGTGTCCCACAGCAGCCGGTATGTTTCGATGATATAAAACCCCCCAGACGATCCCATCTCCCGCCCCCCTGGGACCACCCCCATGAGCATAGTTCAAGACATCTTCCCGTCGCCACCGGGGATTTTATGCTAGTCTTTGTGAGCGCACTAGCTTCAAGAACTCCCATATCGCTCTTCGTCCTGGCCATCAGTTTCTTCTGTTTCCCATCTCATCACTCCTCATCTCCATTCTCGTCATCCCGTTCCTTTTTTTTTTTAATTCCCCGCCAGCCAGCCGAGTATGGCCGGCGGTTTTGACCCTATCGACCCGGAAAAGTGTGCCCACTATGCCGGCTTCGCTTCCCACCTGGACCGGAAGTCATTTGACTTTCTCTACTGGGTTCTCTTCGTCCTCGTCATATTCATGCTCTTCCTGTCGTCATGGAAATACAGCGGGTTTGTCTCTCCCCGCCGTTGGCATCTCTAGCCCCCTTGGTTATCCTTTGATAGTGGCGAGACTAACATGTCTCTCTTTGCGCTTCTAGTGACCTCGAAAAGATCCGGGTGCTGGGCCTAGAGCCGGGTTCCCGACAGTATAAGAACAAGATGAAAAAGTGCATGCTCATCTGCAGCATCTACGCCATGGTGTCTATCGTAGGCGTCATCATGGAGGTGTACGCCCTCATGGCTCTACAGTTCTGTGACGGCGAGGACCTCATGCCACTCTATTGGTCGACATGGACTATGATGCAGGTTGGGTCTGTGATTGCCATCCTGGGCATCCTGCTCACCATCTTCAACAGCTTGCGAGGGAGCAAAAACCCGTAAGTTGCCCGCCAATCCACCACTGCACTTGCCATGCTGCACCCATTCGCATCAACATGCGCTCGGCCAGCCGCTCGTTGCAGATTTTTCTTTTCGTCCAAAACGGGAAATTGTTTGCTGACACGGCTCCTATTTCCCCTTAACCCAGACCCTGGGCATTAGCTCTCGGCACGCCAATCTTAGTTGTTGCAGGCATCGGCCACGCCGTCCACGGGGCCGTGCACAAGCGAGTCAAGCGGGTGCGGTCCATGAGCCGCGGCAGGCGGCGAGGCGTGTCCACGTCGGACAGCACCCGACTCGAGACGGGCGCCGGCTTGCCCATGAGCAGAGAGTAAGTCACTTTTTCGCCCACCCCTCCCCCCCCCCCCCCCCCACCGACACACGGAGAGGGGGGGAAGAGACAACAAAACCAGGGGGTCCAAGCTAACCAACAACCACAGAATCACCCTCCGTGCGGACGAGAGCGAGCGCGAGGACGTCGAGATCCCGGCCCGGTTCGTCGGTCTCACTGCCGACGGCGCCCCCATCATCCGCTTCACCGAGGACCCGGGCAAGATCGAGCCCGAGCACGGCGCCGTGCTGGGCCGCCCCGACGGGCACGTCATCATCGCGTTCAAGAAGGCTATGAAGGTTATCCGCGACAGCGACGATAGCGACGGCGCCAACGGGAGTGGCAGTAGCAGCAGCAGCAGTGGCAGCGGTGGCGGCGGTGGTAACGGAAACGGTTATGGCTATGGGGGCCGCGGCAGGTCGAACGGCAACGACAACAGCAACGGCGACGTGACGCCCACCCCCAGGTCGCCTGTCGTGAGGATTGCTTCGCCACCGAGGACGAGCCCGAAGTGGGAGGATTCAGCTGTGTGACGTGAAAGGCTGAGGAGCCTTTCTTTCTCTTCTTTCTGTGGCTACTTGTGGCTGCGCTCTTTGTTTGCTTTTTTTTTCTTGCTTTTCTCTCTCTCTCGGCATTGCGCATCCCTGGTTTGGTTCATGGTCTCGGTCTCCTGTCATTCGTTTCTAAACGGGCTCTTTGGGAAATCTTGGGTATGACATGAATCTCGGTTTTGGCTTCGCAGGCTTGGTTAGAAAGGCTTTTTTTATTATCGCCTTTCGGTTCATGGGGGTCAGGACGACGACTGGTCTATCCTGGTTAGAATGGGCTACAAAACGGGGAGCGGGTTTGGGCGTTGCATCAGTTGAGGCTGGTTTGGGCTTCACCGGCGGGCAGCATCGATTTTTCTTTCTCTTCGTCCTCGTTCGTACTTGCGAGTTGTCTCACTCCGAGTTCGTATCTTACTCCATATCATTCTTCCATGACATTTATAAAACCTCTTTTCGTACAACCAACTTCATCCATACATCTTATATCACATCAGCATCACTCGGCGACACAAGAAACCTGAGCGGACATTTTCCTCGCATGTCTTGGGTCAGGGTCATGCCGTGCACTGTTACAGCGTCCGCAGCATTTGACGGGTGGGGAGGGACTGACTGGGGAGGCATGTAGGTTGGGCTGGATCGTTCGGTGCTTTTTTGGTAAGCGAAAATGGCCACGTTAGGACGACACCCCCCCTTCGCACAACGTTGTCTCACAACCTGTACCCATGCGGTGTTCCTTCTGTTTTGGGGGGAACGGTAACGATACACAGCGTGTTGCCATGCCTCGACGTCAACACAGTAATACCCATTCCGGGTGATTAGCAAAAGAGCCTCCCCGCGCCAACCACGCACGCCTATCAACGGCGTTGTTTGTTTGGCTCTTTAGGCAGGTTTACGCGGCAGCTCGCTCTCGCTCACCCTCACTCAGGGCACACAACAGGGGCACGGAGACACGGCTGGAAGAGTCCGACAGCCACTGCAGAATGCCGGCGACGCCGGCGGAAGAGAGCATGTTTGTCAGGTCTGGGCAATATCCTGAAATGTTTTCGAATTTGCTGCCGTGGTGTATGTGCAGTCCAGAGATAGGCTCACTGCATCTCGGAGGTCGCATTCCCGTGTCGAGCTCCGTAGATCTGTCAGATCTTGGGTTAGCCTCCCAAGGCCAGGCGCCAGGCATCCGATTCGCCAGTGATAACACAGAAATCTTGGGCTGCAGCCCGCCAACGACGCCAGACAGGGTGACAGGGTCTGTCGCCCCCGGGTGGACCGGCCGGGTGGGTTTGGTTTGTGATCTGTGATGACGATGGTCATCCTCGACGGGCAGTGTTTGCTTGTTAATCCGAAATCCTTGCCCAAGGGAGGCGGCATGGGATTTTTCGAAACACGAAAGTGGGAATCGACCATTCAGGCGGTCAGGTTAGCACGTGGAGGAGGTCATGGCTCTGGATCGCTGATCGCCGAATGTCTCGAACGTTCTGACCCGGGGGGCTGATCAGGGCCCCTGACGAGGCTCGGCTGCCTAACTGGAACACGGGGAAGAGGGTGACGACAACATTTCTCGCAGTGATACAGCAGAGACTGAGTCAGACAAATGAGTAACAGGAAATGGATGAAAGGGATTCAGCGAGGTGGACGGGGCTGGGCTGAGACACACCGGGAGGGTTGTGACGAACCAACAAATGCGTCGCCGTTGATCCAGAGCCAAGGATGGCACCCAGCCCGACCCGGCAAGGGGGTACGGTACGCGCCAGTAAAAACGCAGAAAGCGCCTTTAAGCTATGGTGCATATCGGCATTCGCCTCATACCCAATGCCTGATGCATTCCTTCCCGGCCCGTCCCAATAATTTTCGGCCTTATTTTTCCCAGCTTGTGCCTCCCATTCGGCCCCCACTACCCACCACCCACCACCCTTCTTATCAGATCCCACATCCTCTGATAACCGAGAAACACAATCTCGGATTTTTTGCTCCTTTGGAGCGTCATCCCAAGCGTTGGCGCGGGTAACTCAAGCTTCAGCTTTCCGTGAGCCGCCCCTTGGCAAAGCCTACCCGGTGTTAACAACAACCAAGGTCTCACTCCCCATCTCCCGCCCTTCCCGCTCCCCCCCGCCTCCCACTCCCCCCCTAGTTAGGCCCTTCCCGCTCGGCCAATTTGGAGGATTTCACCCGTGAGACGGTCATCGCTGCGGAGAACCGGCCAAGAGCTGCCGTCGGCCTTGGCTAGTGACACCTCGAGCTTGGTGCCCAAAATCTTAAAGGTCGACTTGGCGGGATCGATGGGGCCGTAAAGCGGCACCTGCGTCTTGTACCGCTTTGGTACCGGAGCGTCCGTCGTGGGCAGGTCCAACACCAGCGCCTGTTCCTCGAACTCCACCTTGGCGGCCTCTTTGTCGATCTTCTTGAGGAAGAATGACGCGATCACCGCAGTCGGAGTCTGGTAGAAGTCATGCCTGCAGAAGAGCGAGAGGATATGAGCACATGGACCGTTCGGGATGCATTTCTACCGGCGGTCAAGCGCGGGCTTCACCCGCCATCGGGGTGTTCCCAGACACAGCTAGTCTTGGCTGTTCCTTGGCCGCGAACACACATTCGTCCAGCGGCTGCCAAGTTGCACATCGAGGAAACGCGGGGCGTACTCACCTGACCGTCTCGAGGAGCTCTTCACCCCCGGAACCCGTCGGGCCCTTGCCGGTGGCATTTTTGCTTCCGCTTCCGACAAACAAGTGCCGGTTCTTCGTCTTGCAACCCTCGATCTTCATGAACTGGTCAAACTCCAGGACGCGGCGCTTGCAGCAGACGTAGCCCTTGCTGCCCTCGTGGAAGATGGGAGCGCCGGGGTGATGTACACATGCCTCCCCTTCCCTGCTCGACCCTTTCGTGTAGGTGGCACCGCAGCCCTTGCGTCTGCACATGCGCCCATCGGGGATCTCGGCGGTCTCGTCGTCATCCTCGGACTCCGGGGGCGGGGGCGGAGGTGTAGGTACGTGCTGGGGGGCGGCAACGGGTGCACGGGGCGGGGGCGGGGGCAGATTCGAGGCAGCGAGGAGCGCCGGGTCCGCCTCCCTCTTCTCGACCTTGGGCGGCAGGTCGGTGGTGCTGTGCTTCCCCTCGGTGCAGGGCTCAATGGTCATGAATTCCTCGAAAGTGAGGACGCGCGGCTTGCAGCACTTCCATCCTGGGCCGTAGAAACCGTGGTCAGCTTGGCAAGAAATAGGCAAGCCACAGAGAGATGCGCAAGCCGTGAGAGGTAAGGAGTGCAATCGGGCAGGTGCAGTATGACGCTCGAGATTGGCTGGTTGTAGAACGAGGAACGCGTACCTTTCTGGCCCTCGTGAAAAACCGGGGGCCCGGGGTGGTAACGGCAGACCTCCTCCGGATCCGTGTACTCCTTGCCGCAACCTTGATGAACACACTTCTGCGCCATTGTACGTCTTTCTCCGTTCAACCTGCCGAAGCTGACTCGTGGTCGACTTTGTTACTCGACGGCGGATATGTTTTGAACCTGATTTCTGTCTCGGACGTGCTTACTGTTTCAACCAAAAAGGGCTGGAACAAGGGAAAAGCAAACGAAACAAATCGGAAGCAAAGAGATTTGTGGAAGCTGTCTCGAAGATGATGGAAGCTTCCTCCGCCAAAATTGCCGGCTGCTTGCTGGGCTGAGAAGGTGGGGGCGGGGGAGGGGGGAATGCCAGGCGAGCCAGGAAGCGCGCCAGGGGCGCCGCATGTCTTCCCGAGTTGCGCTAACCTACTGTGGTAAGGGAGCTTTTACAGGTGATTTCCGTTCCAGGATGTGCCGAAATTGTTCGTCAGCGACGCCAGAACAACCAACAAGAAGTCACTGCTTTATTCTTTCAACGTTACAATCGCCGTCATGCGTGTTAGCAGCAGGCTTCTCCAGTCCTGCAGGATCACCTTTTTTACCCGCACAGGTTGCGGCTTATGCACCCAAGCGAGATCGGTCCTATCTGACGTTTGGGATAAACAACCGTTTGCTTTCAAAGAGGTCGACATCGTCAAGCCAGAAGCCAAGAAATGGCGGGATCTGTATGATTTTGATGTTCCAGTGGTGAGTCTTGTTTTACCGAGCAAGAATTTCCCGCTGTGTTTTGCTAACTCATGTTTAAGATCCACATCAGCAAGGCCCAGTCGCCTGAAGAAGACCCCAAACAATCCTCTAAGGCCGTCAAGCTCATGCATCGGTTTACCGTTGAGGAGGTCATGGCCAAAATGAATGCTGTTGAAAAATAAAATGACAGCACTATTCGAACGCCTCGTACCTCCTACTTCTTACCGACAACGGATGTCAAACACCAAAGTCGGCCAATTAAGACAATGGAGGGTACGGGACGTTTGTTTCCCCAGTATCTCGCCGTGGTTGTTTATTTTCTCGCATAGCCCACGACAAAATGTGCCGGGTTTATGTGGGGAGAGATGCTGGGAAACCATCATCCCCCAAGGATAGCTACACGCCCTACTATCAACCACTCTTGGCTTCCTTCCCTTCGCCCCGAGCTACGGCGAGCGAGCTGGCCAACGCGCCGCCCATGGCGAAGTAGTCGGCCGCGGCAGTGATCATGTGGAACCCCATATCCGCATATCGTTTCGCCTCTGTCCAACAATGTTAGCTAATATGTTTCCAATCAGGGCATGGGTGTCACTCGAGGCTCCAAAGGGGCATAGCTAGCGAGGACGGGTTCGACCTACGTTCTCCGGAACCACAGTAAAATGCCGCACTTCTTGCCAGCCGCGATGGTGGCCTTGAAGATCCTCGCGACAGCGTCCTGTAGTTCGAGGTCTATCTTAGGACCCAATATTGGATGGCCGATGCTGTTACCAAGGTCGAACGGTCCAACGAACACGACGTCAACAAGCGGCGCTATTTCTTCCACCACTTCTAGAGCCTCCCGAGTTTCGATCTGCACCATTAGTAACAGGCTGTCATTCGCCTGCTGCAGATATTCCGTCATGCTCAACCCAGCCCCGAAGGTCTGCATTGCGAATGGGGAGCCAAAGCCTCGCTGTCCTTGCGGTGGGAACTTGGCCGCAGCAACCAAGTTTTTGACCTCCTCGACGGTCCGAATTAGTGGGACTAGGATCTAAGTCCGAGTTAATCGAGGCTATCTCCAAACAGGTTGTGAGGCTCATCTTACTCCGTGTGCCCCGGCGTCCAGCGCACCTACAACCATGTCAGCGCCCTCGCCCACGGTCACAAGATCATGTGGAATGCTCACGCTTCACCATCCATGGCTGGGTGTCTGGCAGGCGAACAATAGGGGAAACTCCCTCTGCCGCGATGGCAGGGACCGCTTCGTGCATCTGTGCATCTGTGGGGGTGTCATTAGCCAGGTCCGGGTACAGAGAGGAACAGCTTTGACTTGCATACCATCGATATTGCCGTGTTCGCAGTCAAGCAACACCCAGTCTGGCCCCGACCTCGCAAGAAGCCTCGAAACGTTGGCCCCGGGTAGTACCTGCCAGAAACCGAAGGCGGGGCGTTTGCCTTCGTCGAAGATTTGCTTTAGCCGGTTGGCTCGCACCATCTTGGGGCTCGCGTCCATGGTGGATATTGGATGATACTGCCGGACAGGTGGGTGGAAGCTCTTTAGGAATGACTGAGGATGAGAAGAGAAGAGATTCTGGGACGTCTTGCGCCTAAAATAACAAAACGATGATCGGATCATTCGGATTTATGTGATGCCAGTAGAGTTATCCCCGTCTTCTCAGCACCGCTTAAGGTTAGGTACCCAATGTCAACAGGGCTGTTACGCAGTAGTGTCATCACAAAACGCCCTTCGTTCCTCGCATCCTCGCATAAGGGTCGGAACCCCCCACTTTCCTAGTCAGCACCAAGCTATGTTAGTGGATTGGGCGTCGCGGGGTAGCTACGGCCGCCTCTCGGAGGGCAGCCCGAGGAGGATCGGGTCCGAACGAGGGGTCGGGCCGGCCACACCGAGGTAATGCTTCTCCTGATTTCCTAGCCTCTCTGTGATTTATAATTTTGATTCCATATTCCTTTACGTTATGTCGGACTGTACCCCATTATTCAGTTTCTATCATTTGCTAGGACACCCAGGATTAACCAGGACAGTGGAGTTGTTGTTTTCATGTGATCACTCATCTGTCTGACGTTGAGAAGGTTGACGTTTTGGGCTAGTTACAAGCTGATGATCATTTCTGTTTAAAGGAACGACTGTAAGGCTGTAAGACTGTAAGATCACTCCAACCCAATTTTGATGTAACTACCAGAAGAATACGCATTCTTTTCGTAAAGGACATTTTCCGGCCCAGGATTCGAGGATAACCCCGTAACTAAAATAAACCTCGTTTCGTTCATAGCCACCGAGGTATTCGTACCGATTGTCGAATATTAATGACACCCTTTGATAAGGCGATAAGATGACAAGGGTCGGCGGGTTCCAGCATCAAGCTTCACAGCTGCTGCGAATTGAAGACGGGATTCGGCACGACACCAACTAACCAACGGCTCTGCACTCGTTGACGACGACCGACAAGCGAAAGTCGTAGCGATCTTGCAGCAACCCTGCCATACATGGCAAGCAGGCAGACCGTGGCATAGATATCCCCGACCGACCTTCCTTCTTCAATACCAGCCCGAGCTCGACCAACCGCCGCCATGTCGCTGAACAGCTATATCGAGAGTAAGGACCCCGAGATGTCTTCATCACCACTGACCTGACTCCAGTCCACTGACAGTAGACTAGCAAGTCAATCATCGAAGTTTTGTTCCCTGCAGAGAAAGGTGTGCATCATCACCACCGAACGGCCGGCAACCTCGTCGGCACCTTTCGCAGGCGCAGGATTACACCACCAACCTTAGTAAGGAACCCCCCCCCCCCCCGAAACCCCCAACCAACCACCCCCAACATCTCACAACACCCCCTCCCCTTCCCTAAAACGAAACAAACTAACCCGCCCCCGTCCCCACCCCCACCCCCAGGTCCTCAAAGACACGGTCGAGCGCGTGATCCGCGCCCCCGTTAGAAGGCGAGCCCTCGGCCGAGGTGGAGCTAGGCCTGTACATTGTGCGCGGGGAGAACGTGTGCCTGGTGGGCCTGGTGGACGAGGCGCTGGACAAGAGCATCGACTGGACCGAGGTGAAGGGGGCGGCGATCGGGACGACGAAGCATTAGCCGGCTGGCAGTGGTTGGGTTGGGTGATGGGTAGGGTTGGGGCAGGGGAAAGCCAGCCTTGGTTTTGTCGGTAGTGTTTGGTGGGCTTTTTTGATTTATTTATATACCCGCCCAGGTGGATATGGGTTGGGTAGGGGTGGACGGCGGCGGCGGCGGCTGACTGAATGGCAGGCCGGGGGTAGTGACACAATGGGGAAAAAGAGATGGGAAGTTGCGTTGTCAGTTATCATAATTGGCGTTTGGGGTTTGCATGGGTGCCTTCCAAGGGTATGCCTCTCCCATAGCCCGGCTTTCATTTCCCCCAGAACGAGTTAATTGCTGACATTCGAGGGAGGCCGGCTTCGGTGAAGATACCCAGAATGAATCAAAACCAAATCTATGGTATCCAGGTGGTCTGGTCTACTTGCTATTTACGCGAAAATCTTCTCCAGCAGGATGCCTGCGAAGGTATCTTGCCCAGGCGATTTCACCATCCTGTTGATTCTGTTACCCCTACGCACGCTCAACCAGCCCATGGTGTCACCGGGGATCTCGTCCACGGTGACGGTGTCCATAGGATCCTCCGGGTGTGTCTGCACTGTGCTGTCCAGCTCGGCGGGCTTCGCCCGGGCACGCTTGTCGATGACATGCATGCCTGTGGTCCATTGGCCGGACGTCTCGATGCGGATGTCCTCGGGCTTGGGCACCGTCTTCCACGCGGGATGGTCACGGGTCAGCATGTACCAGATACACAGTGGGTCGTGCAGCGACAGGCCGGCGTTGTGGCCCACGCCGAGGATCGAGTCGATCTTGTCAAAAGTGCCGGTCATAAAGGTGTCGGTCCACTGCGCTAGAGGACTGCCAGCTTCCTTAAGGGACTGGACCTTGGCGTTGAAACCCTGCCTCCTGATCTCGTGCGGTGTGGTGATGTCGAGTGGGAAGAGAGTGAGCTTCAGTTGACGGGATAGCTTCGCGGGATACGGAGGCAGGAAGGATTTGCCGTCGAGTACGGGCGGCATGGTGGACGACGGGATGAGCGAGGTCAGGGCGAAGACCCGTGCGGCGGCCACCGCGTCGGCCATGGAGTTGAACTCGGCGCACGGGGTGACGTTGCCTTCGACTCCCACGGCGCCTCCCATCACCACGAGCTCCTTGACCCGGAGAAAGGTCTCAGGATCCTCGGAAGCCGCCAGGGCAACGTTGGTCAGCGGGCCAATAGCGACAATGGTGATGGTGTTTTCCGGCTCCTCCTTCAGAAGCCGGAGTATTTCCTTGTGGGCGGGCGTCTTGCTTGGGGTGAAATATGCCGAGTACGATGGCGGCTCGGCGGTGCTGTTGGATTCAACGGGGTCATCCTCAAACAGGGTACGCCAGGTGTCTGCCGGGGACAGATGAGGGTGCTATGCCAGTTAGAAAGGGACCCCTGAAACAGGGAGGTTGTGTTCTTACCGCATCGTGGACTCCGTGCAACCCATCGGCACCGTCTGAGTCGGTTAGTCTCTCACTCGCTGCACTACTCCGGGGTCATTGATGGGTTCGTGCTTACGGAAGTTGTCCGCTACAAGTTCCTCATCTTCGAGGGCATGCTGGGCGCCAACAGCGACGATAGGTTTGTAGGCGCCCAACGAGCCGTAGGTGGGCTTGCCAGTGGCCTTCCGCCAGGCCATCTCCTTCTCGAGCACGTGGAACAAGGCCACAACATTACGGAGACACCTGCAACATCCTTGTGAGACAACATTCACGGGTCGTGTATTAGTGACACGGTGTCTGTCATACCTTTGCAGCGGCACATTGCCATATGTGACAGAGATCATGGCAACCTCAAGCTCCTCCGGTGAGGCGCTGAGGGCCAGCAACAGGGCCATAACATCATCCACCCCTGAGATTATGTTAGTGTCGGACACAAATAAGCAGTAAAACAACTAAATATGGACGAACCCGGATCGGTATCGATAATAATGCGGTTCTTAGGTGCCATGGTTGTTGAAGAAGGGAGGGTGCGGGGCCGAGGAGGGGCACAATGAGGTCTCAATGAGGTCTCGAAGTGAATGAGGAGGTCGGAAACTTGCGGCAAACACGGTTTACCCACGGTGTTTCACCAGGGTTTATATAAGTTGTGAAACTGCAGCTCTGCCCTGGATTTTAGCACCTGACTTTTCCTTGGGGAATCCTTGTTGTTCTTTCAATCTTGAAGTTGAAGGAATCTAGAGTGACAAATCTTGGAGACAGACTCGAACCCAGGCTCCACGCCCTACAACCAATCCTGTGACCCCAAGTTCCACATCCCACCTTCCCCATTAGCATTTCCCCATTAGCACCCGCCGTTCTCCGACACACTTGGGTGCCTGACTGGCATATAGTGGGTCACTTGCCCATTATTGCACACTGTTGTTGTTCGATGTACAGACTTGCTGATGTGTTTGATGCCCTGGCCTGTGCTCGGCCCTCACGGCGATAAGCACTTGGAGGAACTAATGACCCGTTAACATCATAAGAACCCCCAATTGATTGCAAACACCGGTATAGCTGGTTAGGTATAAGCACCTGGGCGAGCTAAGACTGACGTGGTCAGTCAATCAGTAAGGAGTGGCCACCTAAGTGCAACCACCAAACAATCAATCACATTGCCTGTTTTACCAAACCTTCCTGGATCCTCTTAAAGTGAAGACCAAAGTTGTTTGGAGATACCGTATATCTGCTGCATCGGTGACGCAGAGCAGGTTGCACAGCACGGAGCGGTCACACCAAATCACGTGAGTTCATGCTGCCAAGATCGCTTAACTTGCCATTCCTGCAACAAGCCCCTTGCCACGGCAACTTTTCCGTGAGATTAGCTGGACGTGTTAACGAATGGGGATGCTAGATGAGGAACCGACCTTCTGAACACCTTTCACCTGCCAGCATTTGGCTCTTTCGCGATCCTTGAACTTTGGTATCTTCACATCACACAACCCCCTTTTCCGTTCAATTCATTCCTCCCAGCACACTGGAGCTGAACCACACCATTCAATCCCTTTGTTGATCCGGGAACAAGCCGATATCCTCCAGGTTTCCCCAATTAGCCACAAAATCCAAGCCTGGAACGACATCCGGACCTTGTGTCACCTGCAAGTTAATTATAAAGAACACCGATCTGCCATTTCCCCGACATCCCCGCATTGAGCTTTCGCTCATCACCCGATCGTCCATCTCCATCGACCGCGTTTCGCTGTCGTCATCCGCGGCCCTGTCGAGTATTCGACCTCCGAAGCTCGGTCCCGATTTCGCTGGTCGCTGACCTCACCGACTTTACCATCTCCACCCATTGACCATGGGCGCCTCATTGTCCACTCTAGTCGGTTGGACCGTGGTCCTCGGATGCGTGTACCTTGTTGTCATTGGGGTTCCTGGGCAAAAGAAGGCTCGTGATGCCGTTAAAGGTGCCTCGCAGCAGCGCCCTCGCCTAGAAGAGAAGCAAAGCAACCACAGCCGCAAAGAGCCAAAAGAGAAGGCCAAGCGCCTAAAGAGGAGAGGCCTACACCAAGGATGCTCGAAGACACAAACAAGACATCACAGGTGAAGGCACGGGCGCCCAAGGCATCGGCGCCCGCCCAGCCGGTCGATGACAGCTCCGACGATGGCGTCGATAACCGCGAATTCGCCCGTCAGCTGGGCCAACGTCAAGCAGGGCACTACTCTCAACGCGCTCAAGAAGAGCGACGAGAAGCGGCAGAAGTCTGTGAAACAGTCTCGTGCCCAGATCATCGATGACGACAGGACCTCCAGATAAGTCTCGGTCCGTTCTCACGTTGCGTGATGCCGATGACGACGAGTCTCACTCTCTCGCCCGAGATCAAGGCTGCCGATGCCAGTGGTGTCAGCGATATGCTTGAGCCCAAGGCCGGCGAGTCCCTCGGTCCTCCGCCTCACCGACACCGACAAGGCCAAGCTAAGAAGGAGAAGAAGGCCCAAGGAGCCCGAGAAGACCGAGACCAAGAAGCAGCGCCCAGAATCGCCCTGAAGGCCGAGGCCGCGAAGGCTCTCCGTGAGGAGTCGGAGAAGCAGAGAAAGGTCGACCTGGAGGCCCAGAGACGCCAGGCTCGCATCGCCGAAGGCCGGCCCGCCCAGGACGGCTCCGTCTCTATGGCACAGGCTCAGCAATCCGTCTGGACGGAGAAGGGCGCCAACGGCACCTCCAGCACTAACAGCGGCTACCTCCCCGTGCAACCCCTTGACACCTTCGATACCAGCAGCTACACCGACGTGTCGGCTCCTAAGAGCGAGACCGCTAAGAGCGCGGTTCCTGCCAAGAACAACTTGGCTGACAGCTGGATTTCGACCTTGCCCTCCGAGGAGGAGCAGATGGAGATGCTCCGTGACGAGGAGGCCTGGAACACGGTGTCGACTAAGAAAACCAAGAACAAGAAGAAGGAGGCCGCCGCTGAGAGCCCGATCGACTCGGAGCCCACGATTATTCAGCCGCCGCCCGCCGCCAAGGCCGCAACCGCGAGCAACGGCACCAGCGCTGCTCCCAAGCAGCCCGCGAAGGTGTTCTCTCAGCAGTCGGCCTTTGCTGCGCTGAGCACAACCGACCCCGAGGGCGAGGAGGAGAACGAGTGGGACGTCTAACCCCTCGGCTCAGCACAGGCTGCAGCTGCAGGACCCACTGCCGCCTGTAACCACCGCTGCTTGCATCTACTTTGCCGGGGACCCCACCGACGCTTTCTTCTTTCTTGATCATATATTGCAGACCGGGCTTTCTTTGATGGGCAGGGCAAGGAGTTTGTGTATGTACATTACCGACCGGAAAATGCCTCGGGAGTCAAGCCTTTTTTGAGATTTTTCTTTTTTTCCCTTTTCGTCATGTATGCTGTGTCGACTTCTCTTTTGCCTTCGTCATTGGGTGGTTACATTTCCGGGACGATTGATCCGTGAGCGAAAAGAAGGCTTGGATGGGAGAAACGAGTTGCAGGATGGGGGCGGTGTAAGCGTGGAGGAATAGAACAGGTAATCATCGCCTTCTGTGAGGGAGGACTAAAGAATTGAGCCGGCCACGACGGAATATGACCGCTAAGCAGGATCCATCTCGCTTGCCTCCTCGCCCCTTCTTTCATTTCTTAGTGATCTGTGAGCAGAGCTTTGAGCCTTTGGGTACCACCCCGTCCCTCCCTTGATCGTGCTCGTGACTTTGAACTCGCCGACAAAGAAGTCGACCTCGCCGTTTCAAACCGGGTCACCCCCAAAGCAACATGAAGATCGACCAGGTCGAAACGTGGCAGCAGGGGGTGATTCGTCCTCGACTTTCTCTGTGCCGTCCGCCAAGGCCGTCCAAACATCTGCAGGCGGGGAAGCCACCAGGAGGCGGGCACGATGTAACTTGAGTTTCGTTCCATTCGATGCTTTCCTTCTGCCTAATTTGATGCCTCGCTGCGAAAGACGTCGTCGGTGGAGGCGTCAAGAGGCCGTGCACTGATCCCACGGCTATGGGCAGCCAGTAACTTGCTACAGCACGGCTTGATGACGCGGTCAGTGCTGAAGGGCTGGTGCTTACACAATAAGTGGTATGGGATGGTGTCACGATCATGGCTTCCGCAAGCCCCAAGTGACTACATATGTACATGTGCGTGCCTGATCGGGTAACCATGAGGCCGATGTGTTGCTGACGCCCTGCAGCAGGCGGCCAGGTACTTCGTACATCCCATCGATTGACCAACGGCGGGTTTCTGGAACACACCTGTGCACCTTGTTGGTCTTCTGTTGGCCGGTAGAAACCGCCCGGTTCCTGGATCTAAACCTAGGGCGGCGGCCCTTGGGTGTGTGGGCGGTTGTGGTCGGGCGAGTGGTCGGGCGTTTCCCGAAACCAACCAGTGAACCACGATTCCGAGAAGAGCATCTGTATCGCCGCTAGCGTCACTTTCCTGTGGTGGGCTTTCCCACGTGTCATCAAACGCGACAGTCTGAGAGGGATTTTGGTATGCCGGTGACACACGTTCACCTGGTGGCTGGCTGGCTGCATGCGGGATATTCTCCAAGTCGTCTTCTTGAAGGACTGTGTAATGGGTGAATCAGGGGTTGCCCGCGCTCCCTAACTCTTAAGATAAATTGTCGCAACCGGGAGGTCGGACTTGCAGTTGCATTTGTCGCTTAAACGTGGGCCGCGAGTCGATGGGGAATTAAGTCGGGGCACTTCGGTATGATACGGTACGGTACATCTACTGTGTGGCTAGCGGGAACAAGACAAACCTGAATCCTTCATCATCTCCTTGCCTTGCTTGGGCCTCCCTGTTTGGGATGTTAGTTGATGATCAAACAAGCGCCGTGTCTCTCCCAAGCGCTTTTAGCAGCCTTGTTGGAACCGGAATGGAAGAAACGGTTTCTGCTTCGCTGTGCATCTTCGTTGACCGTGGGGCTGAGCGAGGAGGGATCGGACGAGGGCCACCCACTCATTAACCTGCGCCGCGCCTCTATCCGCGAATGCGGGCAAATGCGGGCGACTTGTCTCCTGCCCCTGGCTGTTTTAGCGCCATGAGTGGTCGTTTTCCCCTGCCCCTGGATTCCAACGGGGCGTCGGTCTCGTGTATCAAAATTACACAACCCAAATCTCCCCCCACGGGCCACCTTACCTTGGTGCGCGCCAGCTGCATGGTTTCCGTTTGATTGACCTTGATCGAATTCCCACACCACACAGCCGCCTTCGTGCTGCTGTGTTCTGCTGTGTTTCAACTTCGATTTTGACCCTCGTTTTCTGGAATTCTCCTTCCTTTTACATTCTTCAAGATACTTTCAAGTTACTCTAAAGTTCCATACTGTAACGCTTCTCGTTTTCCTTTGAACATTTGATCATTGAACAGACGGATGCTGGGACCACCCTGTCGTTCTGTCATTCCGTCGTTTCGCATAACACCCCCATCCTTCCGCGGTTTCGAATCTGTACCTCCATTACGCATGCCAGCGGCACACCGGGCCTCTCGAATTGTCTGCGTATGCGTGGCGTGTTGAGAGGGGTAGAGGCATTTAGAGTCGAGGTCTTGGGTAACTTCCCTTCCCAGCAGCCGAGAGAGTGCCGAGCACCATTCCTCGCTTCCCCGCCCCTACGGAAGGATCCAGTCCGCCATTGCCCTTGACTTGGCTCTCTGGAACGGACTCCAACCGGATATTCGACCCTACCGATCGTTTGTTACCGACATTGGTGCTTTGTGGTGTCCCTGCTATGACCGTTGCCGCGGTGGTGTATACTCTGACAGCCGCCCCACGTTCGTTTGAGTTGTGTTCAAAGGAAGAAAGTGTCAAAGGACCGTCCCCGGAGCGAATCACAATCCATGCGGTTGTCATAGGCGAATAACTCCAGAGCGCACTAATCACTCGACTACGGGATGCCGGCAACGAGAACCGACCATGTCGTACCTAGCCGCCTTACAGTCCGCCCTCTTCTACGTCCTCGCCTGCACGCCATGCAACCAACTCCACACCGAACACAAGACGCGGCAGCAGGCGAGGAAAGAGAGAGAGATGAAGGAGCGCATCGTGTCGGAACAACCCCACCTGTACCGGCACCCAGACCCTTTCGACACGAACCCCTACTGGGGCGAGGAGATTCGCATGGGGCCTAGCTTGCCTAAGAAGAGGAAGGGAAGCGACGCGATAAGCAAGAGTCTCAGTCAGCGGCGACTGACAGCGGCAAGCCGAGATGGCCGCCCGAGCATCGGCACCGGGAGCAGCGCCGTGATCAGCTTGTCGGAAATGGGGTCAATAGCCAGTCCGAGACCGTCTCTCGGCCCAGCTGAGTTGCCCGGTGGAAGTGCCCCGACGGTAGTACCGGAGGATTACCCAGCAAGCCCAACACTCAGCAAGACGATATCAATATCGACGAGCGCCGACTGGAACTACAAACGCTATCAGAGAGAGGACGAGGAATTGTGGGGGCACGAGCCCACGTGGTCTGGACACAAACTGATGGACGCCATCAAGCAGGCTAGCACTTCGGCTGGCCGCTACATGGAGTCAAAACTCGGGCTGGAGAAACAGATCACAGACGAGGACCGGCACAATTTTTACACGACGCCCAGAAATCCGCCCGTGAACGAATACCACCCACCCGTCGTCAGCAGCAAACCCGCGCACAGAGATGCCCTCCGCTGGATGCTTCAACCGCCTCCGCCGGCTAAGGTCATGGAGGGCAAGGTGCCCGTCACGAGGAGCGCGAGCATGGTGAGCGCGGCGTCCAGGAGAACGGTATCGACCCGGGACGCAGGCTCGCTCGGGCGGCTAGTGGGGGAGAGGGCCGTGGAGGCCAGGATACGGAGGGGAGAGACGCCGCTAGACGACGAGCTGCGGTCCAACCCTTCCCTAAGGAAAACAAGGTCCCGCGTGTCGTCGGCGAGGCGGACTCGCAGTCGGCGCACAGCGAGGACGAGCTGCTCGTCGACAGACTCAGACGACGACTGGGAGGATCTGAGCCGCAGGAGGCGGCGGATCAGCCACCGTGCGCCTCAGGTAGATTCGGACACCGAAGACGAGGGGGTGTACGTGTCGAGGAGCCCCGAAGTGAGCAACAGCTCGCTGCCCAGCCACGCCGCCCAGAAACCGAGGCTACCTACCATCTTAAGCTCGGGATACGACGACAGGGGCTCGTCGGGGCTCGATAACAACGAACCAGCGCATTCCCTGCGCGTAACCACCAACTTTATCCCGAAGTCGGAGCTGGCCAAGCCGAAAACTCAGCCGGCCATCTCCCTTAACGCCAACTTGGCGATACCAGCCTAAGCCTCTCGCTAGGACTCTCTTTTCCGTTGTCTTTTTCTTTTCCTCGGTCACAGTCCCCATCTACCTCTTTTCTTGTCACAGCATGGTCCTGGCGTAGCATGTTGATATGGGAATCGCATTGTTGGGACCGGGCTCGGTCTCCGGGTTGGGCAAGGCGTTTGGACCGGCAGCATCCACAAAATGGGGGGCGCTTTCTCGCACAATACAGCATGATATTTCCTCTGTCTTTATCAGTTAGTTTTCCTGCTACTCGTCGCCACCCGCGCTGGTAACATAATCCTCACGCAACCCTGGAGGCGTCGTGTTTTACACCCTGCCGCCACCATCACCATCACCATCAATGAATCAGATTGTTCTAGTGGCCTCGGTGACGCTGGGTATTTGTGTGAAGTCGTGTCATCTCATGCTAGCTCGAGTGATCACTGGTGGTGCATTCCATCATAGACCTCGCCACCCCTCACTCGCAAAACACTCCTCAGAGATGCAACCCCCCCTCACCATCATCCTCATCTGGTCCCAGGCCCCTCATCTGCTGCTCTATCCGCCGCAACAACTCGTCATCCGTAAGCGACCCCCCCTGTGGCGCTCGTCCCCCAGCAGGGCCCTCATCCATCTGCACCACTCCACCCCTAATCACCCCCGTCTGGAACGTCCCATCCCTCCACGGATTACTCCCACTCTTCGCCCGCCCCATTCACAACCCCCCCCACACCACCACCACCGTTAACCCACCCCCTCCCCCTCCCCCTCCCCTTCTATAACCCCACCATTCACATCCTCCCGCTTCACCCTCTCGGCCTCCCGCTCCTCCACGCTCTGAGAACTCGGCCCAGCCCAGCCCGCGCCGCTCGACCTCGGCGCGCACCAGCGCGATGCGCTCCTGCATGCGCGCGATCACGCCCTCGTTCTCGCGGATCGCGTCGGCGCAGTCTGCGTCGGGCTCAGCTGTTGCTGTTGTTGATGATGGTGCTTGTTGTGGGGGGGCTGTGGTTGTAGTGGAGGTGGAGGTGGCGGTCGCGGTTGCGGTGCCTTCGGCAAAGGGGCGGAGTTGCTCGTTGGAGTAGTCGAGGTGGGCGATGCTGTTGCGGAGTTCGAGGACTTTGAGGTGGAGGGTGGAGAGGGGCAGGTCGGTGAGGGCGGCGGCGAAGCGCGTGGGGGATATCGGGAGGGCTTCGGAGGACATGGTTGTGGTTTTGTTTGTTGGTGGCTAGAAGGTTGGAAAGTTGGAGGTCGTTGGAAGGGATTGGATTGTTGAACGGAGGTTTGCTTGTGGTTGCGGGGTTGGTTCGTGAGTGTTGATGAAGTTCGGAATTTTGTGCGAGCGCGGCTGATCAGTTAGTTGCAATTAGCTATAATGACGACTGTTTCGGTTGCCAGTGTTGGAAAATCGCCGCGGCCAAGTTGGTTGATGGAGAGAAATGCTGCTTGTGCTGTCGACGCAAGCTCCAGCGTTGCCTGTTCGGAGCTCCCCTCCTTGCAGCACCACCCGCGGGACTGCTGCCCCGCTGTGGGGCCAATTGCTTCGCCAAGACCAACCCCCCACCCAATGGCGCTGCCTGCCGGATCGGCTGGGCTCGATTCCCGACCACTGAGCTGGAATTTTCCCCAGCACCCGCCCACTAACAGCAACCTCCACCCTCCAACTCTTCGACATCGATTCCTCGGCCGGTTAACGGCGACCTCCCCAGCAGTCATCTACCACAATATCCTAGTGGATGGACGGTTAGGCGAACCGGCGCAACTGCGGGCGCCAGATTGCAACAATGAACAGCTGCAGCCTGGGCGTCAATGCCTTCCGGTCCAGCGTCCAGGCCGCCGCGCACCACCTGACGAGACCGTGTTCCCGATTGTTGCCGGCCGCCCCTCTCTCGAGTCGCTGCTTTTCGTCCTGGCCGGCTCCCCAGAAACAGCAACGACAACAACCGCAGCGAGGAGGTCATGGCCGCAACGCAGTGACAGGGTCCGCCCTCCTCAAGTACGCCCGGCCGGTGTTGCCGCAATGGGTCGGCATCCGGACAATACTCGGGGGCCGGTCCGTTATCACGCACTATGCCGACCTGCCGCCGGGCTACGAAGACCAGGACGGGTTGCCCTTTGCCAAAAATGATCTGACAGCGAGTGAGATATTTGCCATTTTTGGGTCGTTGATGAGCACAACCGGGGGCAACGAGCTCCTGCGGATCCTCCACGGCCGGCGCGTCGCCGGAACGCTCGACGATCCGATGCTTCGGGTCAACACGAGGGTGTATTCAAAGGAGCAGCAGAATATCGCCCTCGCCTATCTACGCGAGCATGTGCCCGTGGACGAGATCGCCAACGCGGGTCTCCGGGCCGAGGATGAACTCGCGGCCCTCGAGAATGGCGGCACGGCGGTACGCGCCGAGGAAACAGACAGCGATCCGTTGGAGAAGGCAACCAAGTTCAGGCTTTACGGAGAGAGAGAAGAGTTACGAAAGAAGAGCGTGTACGGACGGAGCGCACTCGATGCGATTCGCGAAAGGAATAAGGCAAAGTGGGAAGCGGAAATGAAGCGGCGAGAGGAAGAGAAGAAGAAGCAGGTAGAGGAACGGCACAAGGTCGGGCCGATGCAGGTTCTTACTGACGACCAGCCGCGGCAGCTGAGCGCCAAGATGCAAGAGTACATGATTAGGGGCCAGTCTGACCTCAAGGAGCCGCCCCAGATGAAGTTGTGGCAGCGCCTTCTGCCGTCTGCGGCCGTCGTGCTTGCCCTGACTGGGCTCTGCGTAGCGTACGCCGAATTCTACCAGCCGGCCAAGCGGGCAGCCAGGTGGTTTCCGGATATCCCTCCGGCAGCGGTCACAGTCGGCGCGCTGATAGCGCTCAACGTGGTGGGTTGGGGGCTGTGGAAGATCCCGCCGTTGTGGCGGCTCCTGAACCAGTACTTTATTGTGGTGATAGCCACGCCACGGGCCTTGACCATGCTGAGCGCCATGTTCTCGCACCAGTCACTCCTGCACCTCGTTCAGAACATGTTTGTTCTATGGTTCTTGGGCGTGCGCTTTCACGACGACGTCGGGAGAGGCTCCTTCCTAGCGACATATTTCGCGTCGGGGGCGGTGGCTGCCTTTGGGACGCTGAGCTGGGCGGCGGTCACAAACCGGCTGACGATTACGTCGCTAGGAGCATCCGGGGCGATCTACGGCGTCGGTGCCGCATACCTCTGGCTGCACCGGTTTGAGGGGTTCCGTATCTTGGGCCTGCCGCCGCCGCCAAGAGATGGCGTTGAGGGGCTCACGCTCCTAGCCTTCGCGACGGCGCTCAACATCGGCGCTGCCTTCACCTCCAGGCGCAACACGATGGATATCACGGGGCATCTAGTGGGCTTGTGCAGCGGTGTGCTTGCTGGCCACTTTATTGAGAAGAAAAGGGCGGCTAGGTCGGGGATAGCCCGCCCAACTAAGGTGCCGGTTGCTGCCAAATGATGGATGCCCGAGAGAAGAAGTAGGATACGATATCTTGACTACCTAGGGAGCGAGTAGGGGTGAGAATTTATGCCGTTGCCATTGTTGTTGTAGGTTCAGAAATATCATGTATAGCTCATAACTACATTGTATGTCCATCGAGGTCATCTCGAAGCCACGACTTGGTCTCGTGAACAAAGGGGCCCTTGTTGACTTGAGCCAGTTGTCCGGAGCAACCAGGGAGTTACTTGGTCCATGCCCGATAACTTACCCACAAGGGTCCATGTTTCAGCTGCATCCGTCTGTGCTGTGCCGATACCCGGTCTTGGCGCCAACGTTATTCCCGGAGTCGGCTGGGGAAACAAAGGCAGTGATTGGTAAGGAGGCCGGACTTGGCTCCACCGAATCAGCAGGGAGTTTGAGGGCAGCGGAGCAGCGGTGCGGCGCGCTGACGCAAGAGCTGGGCTCCTGCACCAACCACCAGAGTTTGGGCCCTGCGATCTCCCGAATGCGCAAGGATGCTCGCGGCGGCCTCCAGTTCCATCTCAATGGGGGGGATGGAAAGAATCTGCAAGCAGAAATTATGAGTGACGGAGGGAGGGTGAGATTGGGTGATGACTTGAGTTTAGTTATCAGTTGATTCAACCGGTTTGGGCATTGCCGCAAACAGAAAAGCAGTACGAATAGAAAGGCATACACACAGCCAAGCAGCATTTCCAACATTTCCAAAGCAACCTACCTAAACAACGAACGATTCCAAGACCCCCCGAGACATCGGCGCTCCAACGGTGTGACTTGGTGTGTGTCTTGGCGCTGTGCCGCTCCAACAATCCCGGTTCCAAGGTTACAGAAAGGAAGGATGCAAGTGTACGGATAGTTATCTGAAGTTGTCATCCTCAGCCTCTTTTTTTTTACCTTCTTCCACTCCTTTCCACTCTCACTCTTTTTACTCCCCAGCACCAATTGGCCTCCCGCGACAAACGACAAGCCCAGCGCAGCCCGCGAACAACCCGCGAACAGCCCGCGACAATGGCCTCGCAGCACCCTCACAACCCCCTCCCCCCAACGCCGCATACCATGCCCGACAACCACGACGCCGACGACGGCACCACCAACCTCCCGCCCCCCTTACCCCCCAAGGACACACCCCCGCTCGCCTCCATGGCCTCCCCCAACCCCTACGCCTCCTCCAGCCGCTGGCGCCACGCCGAATCCTCCGCCTACGCGCGCTACGAGAAAGAGAACCGCCACCAGCAACACCACCACCACCACCCCGTCGCGCGCGACGCCGACTCGCGCGGCGCCGGTGTCTCCGACCTCGCCAACTTCCTCAACAAGTCGCGCTCTCGACCCGAGCGAGACCTGCGCCGCTGACGATACTACTGCTGCTGCTGAGCCCGCTGAGAGTAGCCGTCCCATCACGCCGCGCTTCAAGCCGGTTGTTACCGGGGCGCATGAGGGCGAGGGTTGCGGTTGCTAGTGCGGGTGGTGGTGCTGGTGCTGGTGTGGATGAGGGGGAGGGTGCTGGTGGGCGCGAGGTGCAGGGCCCGCCGCCGGATGGGAAGGAGGTTGTTTGTGGGCCGCTGTTGAATTATCGAAGGATGGAGGGGGGCCGGTGGGTGGGCAGTGCGTTGGTGGTTACGGCGGGGGGTGGGAAGACGCAGCCGATTGTGCCGACGGCAAATTTGTGGAGGGCGGATGGTGGTGGTGGGCGTGGTGAGAGGGGGGGAGTGGCTGTGGTGGAGGGGGTGTGTCTCAGCTCGGACTCGCGGAATACTTTTTGGCGGTTTGATTTGGTGGTTGAGATGGATGATGTCGAGACCAAGTGGGAGTATGAGCTGCCTGGTCTGCGCTTCGCTAGCAGCACTAAGCCGCGCGTGAACAACTTCTACGTGCCGGCCATCCACGAGTCTATGAGGATCATGTTCCACTCATGCAACGGCTTCAGTGTCGGCACCGACGAGGCGGCCTGGAGTGGCCCGGCGCTGTGGAACGATGTCCTGCGCAAACACGAGGAGAGACCCTTCCACGTCATGTAAGACGTCTTTCGTTCGGGAGAAGATGAGATATTGATTGGTGGTGCTAACGGTTGCAGGATTGGCGGCGGCGATCAGATCTACAACGACGGCATCCGTGTCTCCGGCCCGCTCCACGACTGGTCCAACATCAGCAACCCCAAGAAGCGGAAGGACCATCCGTTCCCGGAGACCCTCCGTCAGCAGTGCGACGACTACTACCTGAAGAACTACATCCGCTGGTACTCGACCGAGCCGTTTGCGAATGCCAACGGCCAGATTCCCCAGCTGAACATCTGGGACGACCACGATGTATGTCCCTCTCTTTCCTCGGGGGTATGGAAAATACTGACCGCGTAGATCATCGATGGCTTCGGTTCCTACGTCAACGAGTTCATGAAGTGCGACGTCTTCAGGGGCATTGGCGGCACTGCTCACAAGTACTACATGTTGTTCCAGCACCACCTCCCGCCGCCTGCCTCCACCTACACCTCGGGTAAGCACCTTTCGAACTTTGAGGTGATTTTTCTAACGTAACCCAGATTCAGTCACGGTGTCCGAGGGGGGCCAAGGAGTCGACCCCAACCAGCTCATGGAGTCCTACGTCCACCCTCCACTCTCAGAGCCCAACTACATTTATGGTCCCAAGGCCGGGGTAAGTCGTAGCAATGAAACCCATCTGGGCCAGCAACTAACAAGACACAGCCGTACGTTGCGGAGCACTCCCACAATATGTTCACCCAACTAGGGGCTAGAATCGCCTTTTTGGGTATCGACGCCCGCACCGAGGTAGGACTCCCAAGCCACCACTCATGAACTACTGTCTAACAGAGAGAATAGCGCACGAGGCATCAAGTCAACTACCCCGAGACGTACGACGCCATCTTCACCCGCCTGAAGCGGGAGCTCTCGGCTGCCGCAAGCTCTGGGCGACCGTTCAAGCATATGATCCTCCTGTTGGGCATTCCCATCGCATATCCGCGTCTCACCTGGCTCGAGAACATTTTTGCGAGCCCCGTCATGGGCCCCATCAAGTTCCTGAACCGCCGTATGGGCATCGGCGGCAGCTTCTTCAACAGCTTCGACGGCAGCGTGGACCTCCTGGACGACCTCGATGACCACTACACGGCCCGCACCCACAAGAAGGAGCGCAACTGGCTGATAGAGAAGCTTCAGGGCATCTGCGCCGAGTTCTCCATCCGCATCACCATCCTGGGCGGCGACGTTCACTTGGCCGCGCTGGGGCGCTTCTACTCCAACCCGCGCCTCAACATCCCCGCCGAGCAGGACTACCGCTACATCGTCAACGTTATCTCCTCGGCCATCGTCAACAAGCCCCCGCCGGCCGCCGTGGCCAACCTCCTCGCGCGCCGCAACAAGATCCACCACCTCAACCACGACACCTCCGAAACCCTGCTCAAGCTCTTCGACAAGGACCCAGGCGACAGCCAAAAGACAGCCGCCCACAACCAAGTCACCATGCCCTCGCGCAACTTCGCCATGATCACCGAGAACTCCCCCTACAACCCCGCCCCGCCCAACGGCAACACCAACGGCTCCCACCTAGCACCACCCGGAACCGCCACCTCCTCCACCTCCTCCTCCGCCAACCCCCACCACCACCCCAAACCCAAAGACGAGCGCCTGCCCCTCCACAGCGGCGAAGCCGGCTGCGGCACCACCCACAAAGCCGCGTCGGGGCCCGCCAGCCACGGCCGCAGCGCCGACGGCGGCCTGGACGTGTGCATCTGTGTCGAGAAGGACCAGCATGATGCCACGGGCCAGACTCAGGGCTATGGGTTGACCGTTCCGCTGCTGGATTATAAGGGCCCGCGGCCGCCGAGTCTGGAGTTATTGCCGCCGAGGAGCGCGGGGAGGAGTGAAGTTGGGAGTCGGGGGAGTTAGAGTGAAGTAGGGTTTCTCTGTGTTCTAAGAGGAATTGGATGTGAAGGTGAGAGAGGGGGTGATGTTGAATATGCTAGGGGTGATGAGTGATGTTGGATGAGGATGATGTTGTTGGATGAGTATCTTGAGGATTTGGATGGGTGTGTTGAGAGGGCAAGCACGAGGTTGTCTGTTGCGCAAGAGTAATGTAATCTGGATACCAAGAGTCTTTTGTAATTGTTGGGATTTTCCATTCATATTTCTGGCTAGTTCTGTGGACATAATATAGGCTTCCCAAAGGGAGATGGAGAACTTGGTGGAAGTTGGGCAGGACTCCGCCTCAAACCATACCTACTATACAACATGGGTGACATGAGAACAGGAATGTCTTCTGGCTCACCCAGAGACTGGTATGCGAATCGAAATGACCGCCAACATCACCACCCAAATCCTAATCCACGACAATCACCGCCACGATCTAAATTGTGTCTACCCTCGGGGGCATTACATGCCTCAGCACAAACAAAGATCACACTGTGGACGGCAACAACTCTTTCATGAAAGGCCTCATATGATAAATAGGTACACTCTATAGTCCCTTGTTTCTAAGTCTCGCCCAACCCTCACAACCGCCTTTTCCCTGTCTAAACCAACCGACCCCCTACCCCCAGGTCCTTTGTTACCGCATTATCGACCGCCCATCAACAATTTTCAACAGCTCAAAAGTCTGTAAATCTTCATTCACTGACCCCCTTACAACAGGCGAGTGGGGAGGGAGAAACACCCGCCAACATCCCCAGCTGCGCCGCTCGATGGCACCAACCCAGCCCTTCCCCGCCAGCCAGGTTTAAAAAAACGGGCATCTGATCCGCATACGTCGTCGCCTCATCCGAACGCACGCAAGCCAGGGCCAGGAGAGCATAACATGATGACATCCATCCATCCATTCTCTCATCCCACGTGTCCCGAGACGCCTACCTGGCGGTGGCGGCACGGCACGGCCCCGGGTAGGGTACATCCCCCCCACGGAACACGCGGGATGCGGATGTGGAGGAGGGGAGAGGGGAAGGACGGGGGGGGTGAGTACAGGCGAGCCAGCGCTAGTGCTAGTCAAAAGCCACGCCCCTGGCTTGACCTCTGTCAGCTCGCTAGACTCACACTACGCAAGCCACAAGCCACGGCTTTGGGGGTTGAGCTCGGTCGTGTGGGGGGGAGGGAGCGCGAGCTGTTTTGTGTCTTTCACCCCGTTTTTCCACGACCCAACCCACAACGCCGCACAGCTTTCCTCCCCCACAAGGTGTTGAAACTGTGCTTCCAGGCGCAACACAAATCGCCAGCTGTCCAGCCAACCTCTCAGCTACTCAACAAATCCCTCACACTCATGCCCCGCGGCGCGGTCGCCGTGCTGGTACTCGTGCGCCGATCCATCTGATTCAGCATCAGCAGCGCGGTGGTGGCCTCCTGATCCAGATCCCTCTGGGGCGGCAGGGCGGGGCTCGTCAGGGCGGAGCCGAAAGCCGAGTGGGAGGAGGACACACCCGTGGCGGTGCCGTGCTGGGGGCCGAAGAAGGGCGAGGTGGTGGTGGAGGTGCTGTAGCCGCCGCTGCCGCCGTGCAGGCGGTAGTCGGACGAGACGGACGAGTACGAGTTGTGCCGGCTGGGGTCTTGTGGGCGCAGGGCGGGCGAGATGGACGGGGCCTGGGAGCGGCCGGCGATGGGCGTGAAGCTGGGCGAGGGCGCGCTCGACGAGCTGGTCATCTCGACGTCGGGTGAGCAGGGGTCGACCGCGCCGCCGGCGTAGTTGTGGCCGTGGCCGTGGTTGTAGGTGTCGCCCATGGAGGGGGAGGGGAGGCCGGACTGGGAGAGCCGGGGTTCGGGGTCCAGCATGGCTTCGGATCCGCATTGTGCCTTGAGCTTGGTGACGCAGTCTTCGAGGTACCTGACGTACTCGATAGAGGCCTAGGCGCGTGTGTTAGTGGAAACCGTAGCATCAGACACAGCGGCACAGTACGAACCTGCAGGATAGCTAGCTTGTGCATCTCTCCGGTACATGCTGGTATCAACCCCTTGAGGACGGCAAACTCCTCGTTCATCTTCGACCTCCGCCGGCGCTCGATGAGACTGTGGGCTGTTTTCCTCGCGATCTTCCTCCCGGCTGCGCTCGTGGCCGAGGGCTGTTTCCTTTTCGAACCGGCCACCTGCGTGGTTGAACTTGTCCCGGCATTGCCCTTGGATGCTGTCTTGGAAGTCGAAGCAGGGGTCTCGGGGGTAGGCTCCTCGCGAGGTTTCATCTGGATGATCTTGCGAGAGCGGGTAGGAGGCGGCGGGAGTGCGAACTGGTCCTTGGGCGGGTTGGCGGCAGAAGATCGCCTGCGAGACTTGACCGTTTCGCTGGCTTGCGTAGGGTAGAAAGTCGCCGAGGTGTTGGGATGGTTTGCGCCGGCCTCACTTGTGACGGCTGGTGGTGGCAGCTCGAAGGCTAGCTGGAGGGAGGCCATCTTAGAGCCGTCCTGGCCCTTGATGTCGGTTGACGACGCTGGCGTCGGGAGAAACGTATTTCGAGGCATTGTGGACCAAGTCCGAGAGCGTAATCACGAAGACTCAAGAGAGGCCTGGGGCGGAAGGATGGCGCGTGCCCAGCTTTTGACCGACGGGTAGAGCAGCCGAGCTTGGCAGATCGGATCAGAAACTCAAACGTGAGAGGTGAGAGAGTCTGAGCTGTGTGTGACGATCTTGGATAGAAGAATACACGCCTCAGTCTACGAGCAAGATGGAAAGAGACGAGGTCGGAGAAGAGAGTAGAGAGGAGGACATGGTTACGGTTGTTCGGCGAAGCGGGTGGTCCACGGAGAGTGTGGGATGGGCATAAGTTTGAGACATTGCAACACACGCCAGCTTTCCCGCCAGCATTCCGCACGCCTCTCAGCCTGAGGTCACAACCGAGGAGGAAAGACGACGGGGGGAGGGGCGGTGCCTGGGGGAAGGGGATGATGAGCGGTCGCGTGCTCAGCTCCCTTGTTTAAGGCACGAGGTGCAATTCTGAGTTCTGATTGGTTCAAGAGCCGGGAGCTGTCGGTGAGGTGGATGTCAGCTACAGAAAAAAGGAGGGGAGGGTAACATTCTTGTCAAGCTTATCGTGCTTATCCCCAGACTCGGTCCCCTTTTCTGTATCTCGCCGCCTCCACATTCGCCCTTGTGTCAGTCGAGCTCTTTCGTCCCGCCAAAGCTCCCGCCCCGGGGGGCGAACACCCAAATCCGCTGCAGCATGGGGAGCACCTTTTTGTCCAACAGTCTCAAGGCTCGGCGACACGCCCCCTCGGAACCTTGCGGGCTTGTCGATCATCACGACACCCTGTCCAATGCTTTCGACACGCGTCGGTCCTAGCCCCGATTTCCCGGAGCGCATCTCCCCTTGTAGCAATTGGACGGGCTCTATCGGGTGCTCGCGTGTCAAGAGAAAAACGTTAGATTCGAAAACAGCCTGGGAATTCTAGATCCCTTAACTCCGGAATGGCTCGCTCATCGCTACCTTCGTCGCACAAACCCCAATGCAAGCCGGTACGAAGTACATACATATCATTCCCACCCCCGTGGCCCCGCCCGTTGGTCCGTGGGACACCCATGCAAAGCCGTGCGCTCATGACCGCATAGCAAGTATCCAAGGGGGAGGCGAAGGGGCTTCGTCAGGCCCATTAAACCTCATTACTGGGGTACTCCACCTGCGTAGTGGCGTTAAACTCCTCCTTAATGCTCCTCATGCTGACGAACCGCCCCAGGATCGCGATGCTGCCCGCCTTATCGTTGGTCCCACTCGCTCGGCTCCCGCCGAATGGCTGCTGGCCCACTACGGCGCCGGTGCTCTTGCAGTTGATATAGAAGTTGCCTGCCGCGTTGCGGAGTTTCTCCTCTGCGAAACGCACCGCGGCACGGTCCGCCGCAAACACGGACCCGGTTAGGCCGTACTCGCTGGCCGTATCAACCAACTCGCATGCCTTCGCAAAGGCGCCAACGGGGTCCTTGCTATCGTCGTAGACGTAGGCGGTCAAGATGGGGCCGAACAGTTCCGTCGAGAAGAGCTTGTGGTCCGGCGTCTTGGCCTGGTAAATGGTCGGGTGCACAAAGTAGCCCTTTGACTTGTCATAAGTACCCCCCGTGAGCAACTCAAGGTCCTTGTCGTTCTTCGCATCGTCAATGACGCCCGAGAGCTTCTTAAAGGACGCCTCGTGGATGACGGGACCGACAAAGTTCTTGTGGTCCCAGGGGTTGCCAACGGCCAGCTTTTGGGTTTCCTCAACCATGCGCGTCTTGAACTGCGGCCACACGGAAGCAGGGACGTAGACGCGCGAAGTGGCGCTGCACTTCTGGCCCTGGTACTCGAAGGCTCCGCGAACTGTTTGGATGGCAGCATTGTCTAGGTCGGCAGACGAGTGAATCAGGTGGAAGTTCTTGCCACTCGTCTCGCCGACAATGCGCGGGTACGACTGGTAACGGCCCTCGGCGACGCCAGCACCGATCTGGCCATACAGCTTGCGGAACACGGCGGTGCTGCCCGTGTAGTGCAGCGCAGCAAACTTCTTGTGTGCCAACACCTCCTTGGTCACCTCCTCCGGGTTGCCTGGCACGAACTGGACAACGTCCCGCGGCAAGCCGGCCTCGAGGAGGATGTTGTACAGGAGCCAGTTGCTGGCGATGGCAGAATCGCTCGGCTTCCAGACCACGACGTTGCCCAACAACGCGGGGAGACCGGGCAGGTTGCCGGCGATGGCCGTGAAGTTGAAGGGGCTGACGGCATAGACAAAACCCTCGAGCGGCCTGTACTCGACCCGGTTCCACACCCCCGGTGAGTTGTGCGCAGGCTGCTGGGCGTATAACTCCTCGGCATACTGCACGTTGAAACGGAGGAAGTCGCAGAGCTCCGCGGCGGCATCAATCTCGGCCTGCCAGGCGTTCTTGCCTTGGCCGAGCATTGTTGCGGCCATGATATCGTAGCGGTACTTGGTGCTGATCAGGTCGGCCGCCTTGAGGAAGATGGCGGCGCGGTCTACAAACGGCAACGACTCCCAGTCGGCCTTTGCGGCCAGTGCAGAGTCGATGGCGGCCCTTACATGCTGCGGCGATGCTTGGGAGTATGTGGCGATGGTCGTCTGGTGGTCAGCCGGGTTGGCTTGCTTCTTCGTCTCAGGAGTTTTGATCTACATAACGAGAAAGGTTAGCGGGGTAATCAAGATATAACAAATCGCGAACAAGGACTTACTTCTTTCCCGCCGACAACAAGCGGCACCTCCAGTGTGCCCTTCTTCTGCAAGCTATCGAGGGCCGAAGTCAAGCCCGCTCTCTGCGGTGAGCCCTTGGCATAGTGTTGCTACCCAATGTGTTAACATCACGCGATATACGCATCCCCACAAAGCACCAAACGGGGATAACTATCGTGCAAGACTCACATTTGGCTCGTTGGCCACCTTGGGGATCTTGAAGGCTGCGATGGTCGACATTCTTGTGGTGCTTGGAAGTTTGGGTGTGTGCTGTAACCTGGGTTTGCTTGCGGAGAAGGCAGCTCTTGTGATGCCTGAAGGCAGTGACAGAACTCGAAGTTGCCTCGACGCCATGGTTGCTGCTTCTAAACTCTCAAGTCTAGACTCGGTCGTGTGACGCAGTGCGAGCTCAACTTTGGTGCGGGACGGTTTAAATCGGCAAGGAAAAGACGTAATGTATTTTCCCAGATTTTATGCTAGTTGCAACCACCACGATGTGTTCCCAAGATTCGTCGAATCGCACGGCTCTCTACCCCTCATCCGATGTGTTGTGCATCACTCTCTCTTGAAGGAAAAGAGACGCCCAGCTGTTGGATCGCTTTGCTGCGGCTTTACACATGGGGCTCTCTCCATGACTGGCGTCATGAGGGGCGGCGGGTCATCCATTGGCCAATGACCGTGCTTGCCGGGAGCGAGGAGATGCTTGATAAGACCCCGGCAGTCTTATCGGCGCCGGTGCTTGGAGAAATCGGCGGCTTGCAAGAGCCGAGACCGGGGTTTGGACATGCCGAGTGGCTCGGGGATGCCTTCAATTGAAGGTCACGCGGTCTTGTTTGGTGTTTTCGAGCAAAAGAGATTGTTTTGGAACATCCGTCTCTCCGACATCGCTCTAGAGAAAATAAGAGACTTTCGGCAAAAGTTTAGTCTTTCGACTGGAAAGAGTGAGGGATGGAGGTGTTTCCGTGTGAACACGGTAAGTGATGGTCTGGCCCGGGTACAGTAGCACCCCACATTTTAGCGGATCAGAGACAAAACCACAAAGTCATGAACGGCTCCTCTCCTTATCTCCTGCGATCGAGATAATGCCCATCTAAATAGTATATACTTGCTTCCCAGTTTTTCTACTAACTACAACCGTAAACTGTAGAGCTTAGATTTTCAGTTCCGTCCGAACCTGGACATCGAAATCATCGCCGCCTCTCCTACAGCCGTCAACTAACTACTCCTTACGTTTAGATCTTTCTTATGGACGGCCACAGCCAGCACAAGGGAAATTTTGGGGTTATTGACAGGGACAATGGCGAGGAAAATGGCACTATGAAACCTTTCCGAGAGCCGTCCAATATACTAGCAGATATACCAGCAAATCGATCAACAGCTACCAACCAATGCCTTCGCCTCGTCAACCACCACATCGTTGTGTCACTAAACCATCACCTATATCCGGTACCTGTCACACCCGGTGCTCCTAGGCATAAGTCTGAGTCATAACTTCCCTGGAATAATTCGGGAGCAGCACCCAGGCGATGCATCCCGTCCACGCCGCAGAGCAGCAGACGGCCCATCAGCCAGCCCACGAACTGCCCAAGTCTGCGCCACCTGGGCCTGAGTCGTGCATAAACAACGTGGGCCAACCGCCAGAGGACCACAGCAAGACTACAACGCGACAAGGCGCCGATGCATGCCTGCATGCGGGCGATGTAAGACGATTTTCTACTTCAATATGATGCTGCGGCTCAGGGGCACAGGAAGCAGAGAAAGTCTGGAAAACCACGCACCAACATCGGGCGCCAATACTGCAGTAGAGTGAGCGAGCACAACCTTTCGGTTAGTCGTTGCGTGTGTTCAGCTCTCAAGAAAGTAAAAGCAGAGTAAAATGAATAAAGGCAACGGGTAGTGGCCTTCTCATGCTTCCTGGTAGGAGCATTACATAGAGTCGCCTACTCTAGTTCTTACGTAGCTCTAGAGACTACTCAGACTACCACGCCGTTTCCTCACCCAAACCTACTACCCGCCCGTGACATATGTACGTACGTACATACCTACGCGCTGACATCTCACACCTCAACACACAGCATCGCCTCCACCATCAATACAACCAAAAGCCAGTTGGGTGAGAGAGATGTCACACAAACACACCCAAGCCCAATGAACAACCATTGCACAAACCCGTGCTACGCCGAAGATGATGCAGGTTCCGTTTTGCACACCATCCATCGGTGCAGCGCAGCGCACCGAAGCGATGGGGCCGCCGGGGCGGCGCAGCACGCTCATGCCATGCCATGTATGTACCCCTTCGGGGACAGCTGGTGTGGTTGCACACACGGTCTCACGGGCCAACAGTACGCACTCGCATTCACTGGAGCTTGAAGCTGCGCCTCTCCTTGGGGCTGCTGCCATAGTCAGCACCACGGCCCAACACAGGCTCGCTTGAAGATGTCTCTGCAGAGCGCGCCTCGATCTTGCAGCATGGGGGTTGTCATGTGATCTGCCATGTGCAGGACCTGTCGTAATACTCTCATGGTTTTCCTAAATCAGCCCGGATAATGGACTGGGACGGGCTGGTTTGTGCATGGGAGGTGAGAAGTTGGATCGGCTTCCTGGTTTCCGGGAATGCATCACACTCTACTCGAGACTCTGTCGGCATGTCAGCAGCGTTTTGCTTTTCGATTGGGAAGCTCGTCATGTTCCGAAACATAGGCAAGGTCCAGTACTGCGTATGAGCGTGTTTTGACATATGCCGGAGAAACCGTGAGGGTGGAGGGTATCTGGAGAACTTTGGGTGGTCAGCGACGAGGTCTGTGAGCCGGTCCCGTAACTTGTTCGGTCCATGATGCAACAGGTTCCAGGAATCTGGGTGAGGCAAATGCCGCGGCCGCGAATTCGCATAAACCAGCTGTTGGAGATCGCAGGGCTGAGTGGAGAGGTCGGGCCCGAGCCGTCTCGAATAAACGAGTCGTGCCGATATGGACCAACGAGATCGAATCCCAGCTCCAGAACATGGTTGTCATTCAAAACAACATGAAGCGGTCATGGCGATGAGGTGTTTCCAGTCCTGGGATCTTCGGTGCAAAGTTGTCAAGCAACCCCCACAGCCTCCACCAAGCCCACCCGTTAGTCGACCCAACAGCTCCCCTTTCGGGCTGCGTTAGACAACGAGATGGTGAGCCACCATCTTCTTTCCGGGTTTCAGCTCTCCCCGCGGGCCCGACGAATCACATCTATCGAGACAAGCTCCGAAGCATGCTCCGGACTCGGCATGGCAACCAACCCCGCAAGGCGAGCCAGTTGCGGGACGGAGGTGCCTGGATCCAAAAAAGGTGTAATGCATGGGGTGAGCCTTATCCGGGGCTGAACAGATGTCTTGCATCTGGTGTAGCTGATTGGTTTGGGAGCTCGATATGTCGGCCCTCACATTCCTGGCCACGTCACAGAGGAACTCCTGCGGCCCTGCGGGGTGGCCCCTCTTTTGAGAGTTTCGGCCATTGCTGGGGCATGAATGGCTCGGTGATGGGCGTAGATGGGGGCGGCCCGCTGGTGTCCATCGTGAATTTCAAAGAAGAGAGACGAGGGGGGAAATCAGGAAAGAGCTCAAGGAGATTGACGGGTCCTAGGCCCATACCCGAAGGGAGTGGAATGAGGGCATCGGGCTGAGATGGGCTCTGGAGATTCCTAACACTACGTCGTGTCTTTTGGGGGAATTCCGCAAGCGCCCTAGATTGATTTGCATCACTCTATCGATACCGGTCGGATCGAGCGGGGTGGGATATGAGTGGGAGTGTCACGATTGCGGGGTAGCGGCCATCGCATAATCCTGCTTGAGACACACGCCTGCGAGGTTTGCCTTTATTTTTTTGCGCGCCAACAACGACGAATCCCATCAAGCCCACGCGGGAGACGGGAAGCCAAAAAAGCGGGAACAGGCCGGACCCGGCAAGCTTCTTGATACTTCACAGCTTAGAATAGCGCCTTGAAGCTTGGAACGAAAATCATGATTCCGTCTGCTTTTTTTGCCTTCGCAGATCTCCTGAGAGTAGGACCGAGGGACCGTGCTTGGTTGTCTTGGTTGTGCAGGACGGCAGCAAGCGCCTTCATCTGCGGGCACGGCCTGATGACAAAAGCCGAGTAGCATTCCGACTGGTGTCGCCTGCCGCTCTGGCGGCTGCTAAGCGCAGGGACGCCTCTTGCTTCGTGAGGGGAGGTCGGTTGTGCTGCAGCGCACGGTCGGCTTCCAAATCGACAGGCCCGTTGATATTCCATCCTCCATGGCGGCTGCAGCGGAAGAGAAACTTTCCGTTCACCAGAAAGTTATACTTGGTAAACAGATAGAAGAATACGATCCAGATAGCGGCTTTATTCCGGCTTGGTTTCCTCGGATTCTTTTGGTGCGACAGCAACCCTCCACAAGGCCGGTCTTCTGACATCAAGAGCCCTGTCAGAACGGTGAATACGAAGGCGTTGGTTGGCTGCCACTTTGGACGGCATGCAGGAACCATCTCCAAAAGAGAATTGGACGAAGTTGAGGTGGCATCGGATTTTTGTTAGCGTGTCGTCTCAAGCGAAGCGGTTCCTGGCAGGCTCGGCAAGCTCGCAGCTTCGCAGGGTTCTGGGCGCCCGCCTGTTTCTGGAAAGGCGATCCCCCGCTTCGGGGCGCACAGACCATGTAAACGATCCACTGCTCCCCGGTAATTACGGGAATTTACAGGGATCTCAGAGTTTCAGGAACAGAAACAACGAACGCAACTCTCCACTTCACACACGAATCTTGCAGGTTGCAGGGCCTTCACCGCTTCCTGACCGCCGCTCGACGAGAAAAATTCCTCAGAAATCCCCGAGACACGATACACACCACGAAGCAAGTCCTGTCGCAGACTTCGGGTTCTTTAATGGGGTGACAAATTCTCAAACCCCCGCTGATCTCACGGACTCGAAATCGAATCCGTCGAGTCTCCCGCGCACATGGCCATTGAAGCGAGCCTGCCCGGAAACTGGAGGGTATGTATGGAAAGTGTTTGTGTGCAGCAGCCGCAGACTCATCCGACGTTTCCGAGCGGCCTCTTCGCTTGAATTCAATTCTGCCATGGATTCTGCCATCTCTCTCGGTCTGCCCAATGCGCAGGCACAAGTCAATCCATGTGCACGCCATGTGTGCTGGTAAATGTCACCATTCCCCGATCTTCCCCCCCCTTTCCACCCGTTCTTAGTATTGTGCGTGTACCAGCGTACCGACCCTGTCCCTGGCCCTGACCGGACGGGGGTCTGTCGCCGAGACCGTTGATTTGCCCTGTTTGGCTGGCCCAGCCACCAACGCACCCACCACATCTGCAAGCACTTGCTGCAACACACGCCAATCCCCAGCGATAAGGCCCGGGTTACTCAAGACAGCGGCGTTTCAGAAACCTGCGCGGCAGCCCGCGGATCGGTTTCCTTGACAATTCCAGTTAACTATGGTTGTGTGCCTCTCTCGATGCCGTCGGTTGGTAACGGTCGCCGCCAGCGCACACGCATTCAGGGCCCAGCCAATTTCGGCCATTCCAAGCCATTCCCAGGCTTGTCACAGCCGTCACAGCCGTCACAGCCATCACAGCCCATCATTGCCCTTGCTGCACGCCTCTTTTTCCCAATGCACGTAGTTCCCACTAGCGTGCGTCGAGCCCGCTCACTGACACACCACCGTGGCACCCAAAGTGGTTCCCAGCCCCAGCCTGGGCGGGCCAGGTGCGTGTACTTGTCTGTAAAGTGTGTGTGGGCGGGCAGGCATGGGGGCTTGGGGGTCGTGTCTTTGTAGAGGGGAGGCGGGGGGGAAGGAGAGAGGCGACGCACGCCAACCCAGCCCAGTCCACCTAGTCCGGTGTGGGTGTGGACTGCGGACTGTGGAGTGGGCTCGAGCACACGGGGTATATCTGCCGACTCACCCATCTTTCCACGTCCAGGATATTTTTATGATGGCTCGGCAGGCCACCCTCCCTCCTCCTCACCGTCCCGTGGTGACCCCCATCCTTATCTCTAATAAGGGTATTTGGATATAGACGTGGGAGCTTCCCTCTCCGTCTACTTCTTGTCCCTCTTTCCCCCTCGAGGTCCCGCCGACTCGAACTAAGGCCTTTGTGCCCCCCCCGGACCGATGCCCGTACAGCTCCTTGAGCTGTTGGGTCTCTCAGTCTGAGTTGCTTGACCACGTTTGTCTCCCATCTCCATTCTTGACAATTGTTCCCCCTTGCCTTCCACCGTGCTTCCCGGTTTTCGAAAGAGGCATATCTGAGCTTGTGTTCGCCCAATGGCTACCTAGCATCGGGGTATGCTGTCTTCCCTCGACCCCTCATCCCGCCTCCTCCAAGACCACCATCTATCTCTGGGAATGTATGTACCATGACCCGGTCAATACTGTTGGCGCTGCTTTGCACGACAGTGTTGGGTTGGCTGGTTAGGGCATTGCCGGTGGTGTCTCGTGGTCTGGACCAGCACTCGGAAGTTCGAGTTGGGCTCCTGATCGAGCCCCGACAATGGAAGGGACCACCGCCGTGGTTGATCCCGAGCATCAAAGCAACGACAACGACACTAACTCTTTCGGTCCCAGGAGCAACAGGACTGCCCTCGCCCACTTTCTCTGGGCTTCCGGCTAGCGCTGTACCGTTACCCACGGGCGTACCCACTGCCACTCCAGATGCTGGCAACTCGCCGCCTTCGAGCACGGTAGACCGGCAATCGTCTGGAGAAGGCTCCATGACCGATACTATGCCCACAGACACCACCAACTTTTCAACCGGAACCCCGCCCGCGACTGATATTTCTGAGCCTTCGAATGAGGGCGACTCTGGAATCGGGAGCCACAGGACGCTCGTCATCAGCCTGAGCACCATCCTCTCGGCGGTGGGGTTGGCGTTGATACTAGGGGGGATATTTCTATGGCGGAGAAGGCGCCAACGCCGGCTGCCTTTCCTCTCACGTGGTGTCTCGCCCATCGACGACGACGAGATCGAGAGATGGAAGTCGCCCAGGGATGAGAAGGCCCCGTTCCCGGCTGGGGACACCGACGTTGAGGCCGACGCAGCCTTCAACAAAGAGACGGGTGCCCCGTCGCACGCGAAGCACCCGTCGACAAGCTCTGTGAAGAAGCCGCCGAGCGTGATCGTCTACAACAGACCGCACGACGCACAAGGGACCCGCCAGTCGACCGACGCCGAGTCCCGCCGCTCCTTCGCCCAGAACCACCCGGCCTACAGCGGCAAGACCAGCTTCGACAAGGCCCTCCCGCAGACCCCCATCCAAGCTCGCGCCCCTAACGCCCGCGCAGGGCTGACGGACGAGTCCGTCCCCGGCGACGAGCCCTTCATCTTCAGCCCGAAGCGCATCCCCTCCCGCCGCCTCTCCAAGCTCCCGCCCAACTCGGCCATGGGCCGCCGGGCCCAGCACGCGAGAGCCCGCAGCTCGCGCAGCAGCACCCGCAGCTTTGGCGAATACTACTACGCCTCGGGCGGCGCGTCGAGGACCGGGTCGGACCTGGAGCTCTCGCCCCGCTATTCCCACGACCAAGCCCAGCACCATAGCAGGGAACACTCGAGGAGCCGTAGCGGGCCGAGGGGTAGTCACTCCAGGGTGTACTCGTCGTCCTCCATCCCGCCGAGGCTGTCCTTCGGAGATGAGGTGTTGTTCGGGGGGCTGTCACCGGCTCGCCCGAGGTTCCCCGGTGAGGCTGAGATTGGGCGGGCTATTGGCTAGGGGGTTGGCACAACACCCACATTCTGTTATTACGTTGTAAGGCTAGGCTGTCCGTGCCTTGACGCTTGGCTACCTCACACTCTTCACCAGGCTGGGGGATTGAGAGCCCCCTTTGGCGCCTGTTTTGCTTTTCATCTTCACTTTTCTTTCTCCCTGGGTGCTGACTGCAGCGGAGCGGCTCGAGGGGTGGTGGTGAGCAACTTGCTCATCAGGGGGACCCGAGGCCTTTTTTGTTCACTTTTTCTTTTTTTTCCGATGGCTGGATCAGTGTTATGAGTGACGAAGATGATGGATATACCCCGACTAGCGCGTGAGGAAGGAGAATCTTGTTCTCGACGGCCTGGACCGGCCAATCTACTTGGACGGATGAATAGCTCTCTGTTACTAGCAGAATGACACACACTGATGGTGCTTTTTGGGAAGCCCATTAGGTGGAAGAATACGACTCAATCCATCAGACTTACACTAAGACAGTCCGTCTTGTTGCCACTATCACAACTTTGTATGTATGTGTATGTATGAACACCAAAATGGTCAAGCGAATCCGGTACTCAATGCGCAACGCCCGTCCTCCAGATCCAGAGACGCCGTCTCATTGTGATGAGACATTTTAGCTTGCATGCAGACAGCTTCTTGCCCGTCAAATGGGAAGCCTTCCTGCTCCGAAACCTGAAACTGTGGGCTTCCGGGGCCGAGCGGGGGGTGGGAATGCGGATCTTGGATCGGGCTTGGGAATGCGAGTGAGCAGGTGGCGTTTCTATCCCTGGATCCGGGAAGGGTATCCCAAGTAAAGACAAAAAGGAGGGGGGGTACTGAGGGCATCAGGAGAGGTGAGAAAAAAGAAATATACATTGTGGATGAGCCCCTATTCTTACTCCGAAATGAACCCTAACCCTGTCCCATCCACACCCCCCCAAAAAAGCAATTGACCAAGAAATGCTCGGGCAAGGCGAGAAACGTATGATTCTAGCGTAACGAGTAATTTCTTGTAAAATAGCACGATACACCTGATTTTCAGGGATAGCAGAACTAAGGTGTGAGGAAGTTGAAGAATACTAGAGGAGGGGTAGCCCACTGGTAACTCCTTGAGTTGAAGCTATGACCCCTAACTGCCACCTCTCTAACAGGTAAAATCCATTTACGCGTCAATTAACAGCGCGACGCGCCACAATTTTGACATCCTTCTCCACAACTGACCGCTACCCTGCCTGTAACTACACACCTGCGACCTGCGAGTCGCAAGTGACGAGCATCACGCCAGACTCCTATTCATGAGCCATTGACATTTGGAGCCCGTGTCATGATTAGTCACCCCTTGCGAAACCATTAATCAACGACGATATAATCGTGTCTCACACGTTTCCTCCCATCTCCCACCGAGATCCAAGCCGCCCACCATGCCCTCGCGCAAGAGTGATGCCCGCCGGAGCGACGTATCCGTGGCAAGATTTGTGCTCGCCGATGAAGATAGTACCATGACTACAGACCCCCCCGCCACGGAACCAGCAGCACCGGCGGCATCAGCAACAGCAGAACCCTCCGTATCCGGCTCGACACCCGGCCCGCAGCATACTAGCGAGAAGAAAGACAAGGACAAGGAAAGGGAAAGAGAGCGGGAGAGGGAGAGGGATACGCTGACAATCGAGGTGTGCATGGCTACCATAGAGTGACGATGCGGACAAGGCTAACCAGGCACGGCTGTAGGACCTAACGCTGCCCAAATCCATCATCACCCGGTTGGCAAAGGGCGTACTCCCGCCCAACACACAGATACAAGCCAACGCCATACTGGCGCTGACCAAGAGCGCGACCGTGTTTATTAGCCACCTAGCCAACGCGTACGTCTTCATCATCACCCACCTCCCACCCCACATCCTAGAGAAGTATCTGACCTAACATAAACCACATTTAGCGCCAACGATTTCACCGTCGGCTCCAACAAGAAAACCATCAACCCCACCGACGTCTTCAAAGCACTCGACGAGATCGAATACGGCTTCATGCGCGAGCGCCTCGAGGCCGAGTTTGCCAGTACGCACCCCCCTCCCCCCACCCCATGATTCCCACACCAGACCAACCAACCAACCAACTAACTAACCCTCCCTCCCCCTACCCACAGAATTCAACGAAGTCCAAACTTTCAAACGCCTCCACCTACCGCAAAAAAGTCGCCGCCGCCAAAAAAAGCAGGCGCCGGCGGTGGCCGGGCAGGCAGCTTCCACGCGACCCGACTAAACCAGTCCATGACGACTGAACGCCGGGCATCGCCCGCTCAACGCGTCCATGCTGAAGCATGGGGTCCCCCACACCGGGAATGGGTGGTGTTGGTGACGACGAGCGACGAGAACCGAAGTTCGATCGCAGTCTGCCTCTCGGAGGGGTCGGCTGGCTCCCCTCCTGGGGCGGGTGCTGGGTGGTTTGGAAGGGCCCGGC